ATCACGATATTATATATATAAAGCTACTGTTGGTACGAGAAGGATACGGAAGACGTAGCACCCACGGATTACGTAGGTCCTATATGTCTAATTGTATTCTGTCTAAAGAGCTAGCTACATATTGAAAGTAGTAAGTCTTATATAGACTTACTAAAAGAGCTAGTCTCTTTCGCGTTCGCTTAGTTCTTTATTACAGTAGTAATTGAATTGAAGTCATTCACTTCGTTCACACAGCTACTATTGTATTCAAATCACTTAACTCAATCACTTGATATTGGATGTTTTAGCGTATTCAAACATTCATATATTTGTCAAATTGAAGGATTTATCAAGGCTTATATCAATTATATTTCTAAGATTGAATTCTTTATAGCTTTCAAAGCTGTATATTAACAATCGATTACTATTCAGATTATAAAAGCTAGTTTTCGAGGACCAGATCTAATACCATTTGATCCTCAATCTATACTCTCAAAACCAGATATTAGGATTCGTACTTCTACCCCTTTATCTACCTTTTTGGAACTTATCAATTTCTGGATCTCTCAAACCTCTCATAATCCAACTGAGGCTCTTTTACAATCAACTCTAGTAAAAGCTTGAATGGCTTGTCATCAATCAAGCTCTCCTACACCTATATTTGAGACTGTACAAGCTTTAGTTAAAGGTACAGAGAGATTAGCATATGAAGTTACACTTTTGAGTGCTGAGAATCGTATGCTTCAAAGAGCAAATGAGGTATTAAGTAAACGTCGACGCGCTAAAAAAATTCAACTACGTAATGAAGGAGTACTTACTGGACAAGAAGCTAAAGATATATTATCACAACAAGAGGTTGATAATCAGATTCAACACGACGAGCGTCAAAATGGGGGAAATTTTAATAGGGAATCATCTACTAGTCGATGCTGTAGTAAGTGTGGAAAGACTGGTCATAATTCAAGAACTTGTCAGAATAGTATAATAGATCCTAGATTATTAGATTCTTGATAGTTTCAATCAATTGATTTAATTGTTGTTAAATAATATGGGTTTGAAATGATAAATTGAGGTAAAAGTGGCCCGCTCGGTGATATGGCCCGCTCGCTGATAAACCACGTTATAACATCTGGATATTATACCAGAGAATATTTAAATTTGAAATTAATTTATATTACTCTTTATATAAATTCAGTAAATCGATTTTCTCCGAAAATATTATATTTGAGTTGCTTGGCTAATTCGTTTTCAATTCTTGATATAAGATATTTATATACACCTGAGTGTATTCGGAGAATAAATTGTTTCTCAGACGGAAAATAATCGTATCTATGTCGTCTATATATCCTTGAAGGATTGGTTGAAAGATGGTAGAAAGCAGTATTTCAATGTATTACATGTCTCAAGAACGAATTTTGGGCTATTCCGAGCCCGCTAAATTACCTTTGCAGTCAAGTATGATGTTTTCTGGTGGAAGTGACCATGACACGAAAATAGCAGCGCCGACACAAGGAAATTCTTAGTACTTGCTAACATCAATGTTTTGATTTAATTTACGGTTACTATTGATTGCTAGGAGATGCTTTTCCACTCAAATCCAACTCCCAGAAAACCTAATTTGGGCGGACTTGGAAACACAATAATGCCAGTCATGCAATAGACATTCAAACTAATAAACGTCGAATTTGCCGTATTTTCAAGCTTGTGAGAACTCAAAAATACCTTCCGGGAATAGTAACAGCCAGGTACGATGGAACTGATGGGTTACGCCAAAACGTCGCTTCTTCTGAGAACAATGTTCATATTTCAAGTTCATCGGTTCCTGTTCTCCTTCTTTGATTCCTCCAGAATTTGAATAACCATCTACTTTTACAGGCGAAGCTCGTGAGCGTTCCTTCGCCCTTTTCTTTCCCTGTCAAGCGAATAAATTTCCTCGATTAAACGCAGTGAACTCTATAGTTATTATCCCATCAATGTCAAGGTTCCTTCCTTGGCATGATGAATTTGGTAAAAAGGTCTGAATTGGATTCTAAATTCCCTATGAAGTGGAAATGGAAGGCATAAGGTCGATTGGGAACCTAGAATTCTTTACTTTAGATGGGATATATAACAAAAGCCTGGGAATCATAAAGTCCTTAAAGAATATTTACACTAGATTCAACCTTGCTATAGTGAATATAGATCACCCCCTGGGTACCAGCGACACAATAGTGTGTTTTCAGACATGGGGTGATATTTCCAAAACCAGTAAGTAAGCAGGGCAAGGTATTAAGGCAATCTTAAGATACGGCTTTCGCATGGAATTTTATATTGTGAAGATTGGTCCTCAATTCACTTGTACTGTCCTTAATGTAGGATAATACCTAGTGTAGAGCATATTACATATTAAGGTTAGAATTTTTGTTTGATCAGTCTGATTTCTTTCACAGCATCAAAGCTTTTTGCCAGCTAGCAATCAACTTTCCAGAACGACCTCCTGTAAAGAATTTCATCATTTCCAGCAGCTATACTTTAATAAATTCTTTCATAGACTTCTCAAACTTCCTAGGGCGGTCTATAATACCCAGCGGCTTTATTGAAGATCGACAATTTTTTTACAGTTTTACACCCTTCATCGACCTTGTACTAAAGTCATTACCACTACGTTCCTCACATTCTTTACAACCTTGGTTGATTTTGCCGCCTGCCAGAATCATTTCTACATCGGTTAGAAACTGAGAACGTTGTGTACTGAGGTTTCTGAATTCCATTAACACCTTTTGAAAACTCTACAGAGCCTCTGGCAGGCATATCTTGAACCCAATCTACCACTTTTTGTCCGACACAATTACTTTCTCAATTGCTTCACAAACAATCTTCTTAAATTTCGGTCCGCAACATTTACGCATTCAGTATTTTATTAGGGCTACTGTACACAGCATACTCTTTCATTTGCTTTCAGTGCGTTAAAAACAATGAACAATATCGGTCACCGCGGCGGAGCTGTCCCCTTGGGACGATCTTCGAAAGTCGTCATTTGTCCAACAGCAGATTATGAGGCTCCGACTTATATCTGCTATGACTATATTTGTCCGCACTGTCCCAGCGGAAACCAAGGAAATCAACTTATCTACCTACCACAGCCATCATCAGATGAACTTCAAAACGCTCCTGCTCCACTGGTTTACACCCGCCTTTACCACGACTTCCGCTACCAGGTCTATGCTGTGAGCCATTTACAAATGCCTCCACAGTTATCCAGGGCCGGAATCTGTTTCTTTTGGTGCTATCATGAGGTTATATTTGATTCCAATTTGCCATTTCACTGTTTTTAACATGCTAACACTTGAATCAGATAGACTCGAGTCCTACAATCCAGCGCACCTGGTATCATGGGGAGTGGAACAAGCCCATACGTGGTGTTCTCCAAGATGATAGAAATCAAGCATTCACGGGCTCCGTCACTGGCCACACCGTCATACATCCTTCTCCTCTCGGCTACACAATTCATCCGGAAGCAAATTGTCCTGTTGGTGACAGTGCCGAGGCAGCTTTCCCCATTGTATCCTCCCAAACCGAGAAAGGCATCACCACTCCCAATCTCCGGGTTTCTTCATCGAGATCGATGTCATCCGAATCCTCTTGCCTCCTCTTAACCCCTCGAAGCAATTACAACACGGCGAGTACATATAGGTTGCCTGTCGATTTTCAGAACCAAGTAGAGGAGGTTAATGAGGGCGAAGTCGAGGACCTTCGTCGCGAAGGAGCTGTCTTTGTATCGGAATTGAACGACAATGACAGAACTCCAACTAGAGATAACTTTGGAGGAAGCCGAGGGAATGAAGGAGAAGGCCGAGAAGGTGCAGCGGCAATAGTCCCTCAAAGAGTTACCGCTGGCTCCGATCGTGTTAATGGCGCCGGCAATATAAATCCGCCTCATGGTCCTAGACGTGGAGGAAATGGTGGAGGTCAAAATCGTGGTCGTGGAGGACGTCCTGCCAGAGTCTGGAATTGGCACAATTGATCTCGATGATGACATGAGGAATAGGATAAACATTTTGTTTTCTGAATTAGTCCCTGTCCACTTTCTATGATCGTACATAGCTGTAAGTATTTGGCTTTTGCAGTCAAATAATGATATATGCTAGATTACAACCAAAAACTATTTATATTTGATTCTCCATCAGCGATTCGCTCCAAAAGTCAATAACAATAGTCTTAATCACATCGGTTGTAAGTCGTGATAATGGGGAAATACTGGACGTAATAATTAGTCCAGAGAATGCGTATTATCTACAACTATGAACCCACATTCATTTATATAGGGCTCAAAGCTTACTCCCCGCTCTCGATTTCATCTCGTTCTCCTGGGCTTTCCTCAGCAATGCATATAGTGTTTGTAGTCTCGGCATTTCTAGCCCATGGCTCCTTGCGATTCGAATTGGATTTCCCATGATGACTTCAAGCTCCATAGTCTTCCCTTGCTCCCAATCCAGCAGCATGCTCGGTTTACTCCCGCTCGTATTTTTTTGTGTGCTCTTCAGCAGCTGCTCGGAGGTTGCGAATTCCTCCGGTAGTTTCGTACCCAATATCTTTGGAGCTGTTTCCAACACTTCGTCCATAACACCTTTCAAATGAATGTAAAGCTCCGGATCGAGTGACATTTCATTATTTGTGCTCCCGGCTGAAAGGACAGCGGAGGGGTTCATACTTGCATTGATGGCAATTTTGTGCCATCTAACCATTTGGAGCTTCCAATGCGAGTACTCCTGGGCGTCGGAGATCCCTCCCGCCTGTAACAACTTCACAAATGTGCTGTTTCGATTAACAGCAATCTTTTCTTCATCATTCAGTTTCGTTGATTCAGTAACTCCGGGCAAATATGGACCAATGCTTATTCTTGTCCATCTATTATGCTTAATTATACCCGGGGAAGACTGTTCGGCGCTTACAATAGTGACAGCACTTAAGATGGTACACTCCGGGAACCTTTTCGAATATGGTTCCTCGACACCAAGACCATTTTGGATCAACACGACAGATGTATGACCTGTTTTTACAAGGCCTTCAAGAATCTTGGAATCATCGCAAACATCTGGAAGTGCCTTCGTGCTTACGACAATGAAATCCCAATATTTATCTGACTTTCGTGCTTCTTGGGGATTGGAAAATGTTTGATGTGGGATAAATTTGTATTCCCCAAATTTTGGTGACGTGACATTGAAGCCATTGGCGACGACAGCTTGGTAGTTTGATCGGCAAATAACGGAAACCTGGGTATCTTGGACTTGAGCAATTCGAGATCCATAGAATGCACCAACTGCGCCTGCGCCGACGATAAGGACATTGACAGTCATACTGGATTTGATATATCAGCTTGTTGGTGTGATTTGATTGATTATGACTTGAATTCGAGAGAGAAATAACCTCGGCATTTTTAGCACCTTAATTACATAATTGACCTCCAACAACACTAACTGTCACACTCAAGAATACTGGGTAAAGTATCTTGTATTAGAAAATACTAAGCTAAGGAGAAAAGAAGAAGGAAAACAAGAGTAGAGAGTTTTCCTGTAATTAAATACAAACGGGGTATGCTACGTGACCTGTCACACTCAAGAATACTGGGTAAAGTATCTTGTATTAGAAAATACTAAGCTAAGGAGAAAAGAAGAAGGAAAACAAGAGTAGAGAGTTTTCCTGTGATTAAATACAAACGGGGCATGCCACATGACCCGAAGGTGTGAGGCGTCACACTAACGTGGTTTATCAGGACCCTGTACACTTTTACCTCAACTATCACCTTTCAACTTCAACACGCGATTTATCAATATTTAATTATGCAAACTACTTCAAAAGAAGCTCGAATCATTTTAGTTATTGAAGCTATTTGTATATCTCAAAATTTGAGTATTCGGAAAGCTGCAAAACTCTATAATATACCTCATACTACCTTTATGTTACGAAGTTTGCCGTCTAGATCACGTGGAAGTGCTCTAGGCTCTCGAGGTGGTTTATAACTAGACGTTAAGCAGGGACTTAAAGTAATGACAATAATGCAATTCGTAACTAATAGTAGAGTATACTAAATGATTGATCTTGAGCACGAAGCTCTATACAAAGGAAATCCATCTTGATTATATAGACCTTCGTGCTCCAACATTGGGTTGGAGCGAGGGAGCGAAGGAGCGAGATTCGAATCTCGCTCCTTCGCTCCCTCGCTTCCTCACATGACTATTCACATGATCCTGGAACACGTGATATTGGTTTTTGACGTTCCGACGTAACAGGAAAGTGGCCTATATTAGGGGGTGGCCCAAAAGTAGAGTACTAGACTTAATATATAAAACAAGGGCTTGGAAGGTTTCTTGTAAAATGCCCTAGAACATACAACTAAGTGTCAAAGGTCATTTCTTTAGATTCATCCATGATGGAGAAAATCTGTTCTCACTAAAGAATGTGTGTACCACTTGCTAAACCTGCAATAAGAGCATTGAACAAGTAACATCAAAACTTTTATTAGACTTTTAACCCTGCCATCATTCACCACGTCTTAACCCAATCCTCTGTTTTGTTTAACCTTCATAGCTCGAATTAAGAGCACCTGCATTCACACTGGCAGAACTAAGGGTTGTTGTACTCATAGAAATCAATCTTCGAATCCAACAATGCAATTTAAGATGACATTCAACTGTTGTAAATGAAGAGCACGTAGATCGCTCTTTGCCGTCTTCAGGTCTGATTAGATTTGATTTGGTTTGATTAGATTAGATGAGATTAGATTTAATGCTTGGCGTGCGCGAAGACCAAGGCTACATAAGGTTAAGGTCAAAATCCACTCTGAGCGAAAGGGTGAAAAAAGAAATTCCTCTCATATCAAACTTGACGATCTCCCTGCCACCAACTTAACCCAATAGGCTTTATTACCGCCTACGTATCTCTGTGGATACTGGAATGAGATTTTCATGACCATTCATCAAATGAGAAGAAGTCGTCGGTCCGCAAAACAGTCCGAAGTACGGAGAACCACTTCGGACTCAAATCTACTTCAGGGAAAGTGCCTGATCAAAATTTCTACCCTAGATCTTTTTACGTTCCGTTTAGATATCTTGAACGCTCCTATTAGCGTGACTTGTGACAGTATATGCATGCGCATCTGATTAGATGCGATTGATAAGATTGAGGTTTAGTGCAAAAACTAGGACCATAAAGGAGAAGGTCGACTCAACTATGCCCAATTTTATTTGCCGATCTTCTCGACCGTTCAGGTCTAACCACTAGATATCTTCATCTACAATTTATTAATATGGGTATGTGAATGCCAAGTTCATCCTCCATCGTTCACGGCTAAAGTAAGCCGTTTATACTTACCATGCTAGAAATGCCAGCCTGGCTATGGGAAGTGACTTATCAAGCAATACCGTTGGAAGTCGGAAGAGAAGCCTCAGCTGTTACTTGTCATTCAAATTTTTACTCCCACCGTTGAGATCTGGAGCGTTCCTCGAGTGTTCATCCCATTCAAGAATGTCAGGAATAAATAACCTTTCCCCCTTTCTCTGTTTTTCTTACTCAGTCGCTTCTCTTTTCACCTCTTTTAATTCTTAATTGTTTTCTCACTATCTGTCATTACACCATGAGGTTCCGACTGAATCATCTCGTCCCGAACGAGGTACCCGTCGCTGAAAAACCAGCTCAAACCTCATCTGCGGATGAAGAGAAAGTGCCAGCAACCACAGCCAGTACGCTCCAGGAAAATGATGAAATTATCACGAACAAAGAATTTCAACATGGAGTCCAAGCAGCTGAGGCTATTATTCAAATGTGGACAAAAAATCATTTGATTTTTGCTTATGTTCTGTCAGTATAAAATTTTCGATTTAAACGCTTTTGAAAATCGAATTGTTTCACTGACAGTTCATAATTTAGTATCTGGGTCATTGAATTCATAATGACATTCGCCTCCGGATTAACTAGCACACTTACGCCCTATGTAACCTCCTCTTTCCAAGCTCACTCCCTCACAGCAACAACTTCCATCATCTCTAGTCTCATAGCCGGTCTCATCAAACTACCATATGCAAAGGTCATGGATATCTGGGGTCGTCCTCAAGCGTTCTGTCTCATGGTCGTCTCATGGACCCTTGGTATGATCATGATGGCGGGATGCCAAGACGTCAAGACATATTGCGCAGCTCAAGTGTTCTACTACGTTGGATACAACGGTATTGGTTTTACGCTTACAATCTTCATCGCTGATACCACACAACTTAAAAACCGAGCTTGGTGGATTGCTTTCTCATCTTCGCCATGGATTGTAACTGTGTGGGCAACAGGGCCTGCTGCCCAAAGTGTTTTGAGCACGATTGGATTTAGATGGGGCTTTGGTATTTGGGCTATCATTTTACCAATTATATGTGCGCCTTTGTTTGGGCTTTTCTATTTCTATCAGAAAAAAGCTGAAAAACAAGGGTTGATCCAGAAGATCGATAGTGGAAGAACTTGGACTAAGTCATTCTTTTACTATTGCAGAGAGTTTGATGTCATCGGTCTGTTGTTAATCGCTACTGGCCTGGCTCTGTTCCTACTTACATTTAGCTTGTACAGCTATCAGAAGGGCGAGTGGAAGTCTCCATTGGTGATTTGCTTCATCATATTTGGTGGAATTTTGATAATTGCTTTCGCTTTGTACGAAACCTATTTTGCGCCTGTGACATTCATTCCTTGGGCTTTGATGAAGGATCGTACGGTATTTTTCACTTATTCCATGGTTGCCAGTCGTTACTGTGGTATGTGCCTCCTATTTTCCTACCTACTTCGATCAGTGGGCCCAATATTCCGGGTTGATTTGGATTTTGCAAGAATCTGAACATATGTATCGATCGAAACTTCAAACTTCCCCTCGTCAGACTGCAGTTGAAAATCTGGTATAGAATTGATGAGAGAAACAAACCGCTGATACTCAACTAGCATGGTACATTTGGGACTCCTATTTCTACTCCATGCTCATAGTCGTCTTCAACCAATCAATCACCAACGCTAGCTATATCTCCAATATCTACACCATCGGATCCTGTTTCTGGGCACTAGTTGTTGGAGTTGTGATTAGGTATAATGGTCGCCTTAAGTGGATGGCTATGTATTTCGGCGTTCCTGTCACAATTCTCGCCGTCGGCCTCATGATCAAATTTCGTCAGCCCGACACCAACATTGGGTATATAGTAATGACGCAAATATTCATTGCATTCGGTGGTGGAACTTTAGTCATGTGCGAGCAAATGACCGTCATGGCAGTGTCCTCCCATCAACACATTCCTGCTGTTCTTGCCATAGAAGCTATGATTGCCAGTATTGGTGGTGCCATCGGGTCTACTATTGCCGCTGCTCTGTGGACAGGAATATTCCCGGTTAAGCTTGCTGAACTTTTGCCTTCATCCGCCCAAGCCGACTTCAAAACTATCTATGGCAGTCTAACAGTACAGTCAAGTTATCCGATTGGAAGTGAGACGAGAAACGCGATCAACCAAGCTTATGGTGATACTCAGAAGCTAATGTTGATTTGCGCTACTTGCCTTTACTCAGTTACTCTTGTTTCGACAATGCTCTGGAGGGATATCAACGTCAAGGAAATTAAACAGATCAAGGGCCGTATCTGGTAATTATATAAGTGAAGGAACGTTGAGGACCTAGGTACGCCTCATATACATGGCGAACTCCTCAATGTCCCAGTTCAGGATTGACAATCGATGGTCTGTTGGGAGTTCATAGAAACGGGAAATCTATCACGATTCAAACTCGAAGTACCTTGATATTTAATAACATTTTCTCATGATCCGATTATATCTCGCAACAATACAGCTTTTTAGAATCAGATGCTTAGGATTAAACCTCAGTGTGTCATTCATCCGGAGGATCAGAAGAAAGATAGGCTGCGAAAGAGTAGAGATTTTCTAGCTCTCTAACACATTCATTTTCCTCGGGTGGCGCACCACTCTACTTCGAATCTCGGAGTTTAGCCAAAAATTCTGACAGGGTATTGTGACTTTAAAGCAAAGAAAATACATGAGGCTTGACAACCATCATGAGGGACAGATTTGGCTAGAAGACACAATCAAGTATCAGAGGAGTAAATTTACCGCTGCCGTAAAACAGGATAATTATTAGAAACATGTTTTTAACACCGCATGATCTGTCTAGATCAATCTAGTGACTAATGTAATTCGAAATGCATTAATTCTTCCAGACGACCTTTCCTGATTCAAACACAATCCCATACCAAAAGTAATGCTAACAACCAGGCGCGTCCACAATTAAGTTTTCTTCATGAATTGCTTTGACACAAAGCAATGTTGACAAAGAGTCAAGGCACAGTATGGGCATTTGTATTGCGTCATACCTCTTTTCTGGCCACAATTCAAGCACTTGAACTTTCTCTTCATTTGTTCCTTCGGCCAAAAAGAACAATGTTCACAGCATGCCTGCTTCTCAGCATCGGTGGCACAACCATTCGCAACAAATATTTTCTCCATCTTCAGTCTTAATTGTGCCTCAACCTCTCGCTTACTTGCTGCTGCTGCATCTTCCATCGCCTTCTTCACCTTGGCTTTAGCCACACGTTTGGCTTGTTCGGCAGCTTCACGCTGGGTTTTCTCGAGTCGAGCAGCGGCTCGGGCACCTTCTTCTTCTTCTTCTCTCATGGGAGCCTCACGTCTTCGGTGCTCTATCTCTGTCTCGGATGAAGTATATTGAAAAGGGTTGTATCTCGAGGATGCTCGAAAAAAGAACATTCGTAAGAGATGGTTGAGCATCATCTCGTCTATCTCGTCCATCTCATCATCCTCATCCTCATAATATTCTTGAGGGCGGTTCTGTTGCCTTGTTTCACCACCAAAAGGACTAGAAGATGTCGGCTGATCGTATGCTTCGCGTTGGCGCTCGTTGGAGAGTATTTCGTAGGCAGCTTGAACCTAGACACGATGCACTCCAGGTTAGCACAGTAACCTGAATATTCGTCTAGTTAATCGGGATAGTGCCTGGACCCTCCAAAACATCTATTATGACTTACCTTTTGGAATTTAGCAGTAGCATCAGCATTGTCCAAGTTTTTATCGGGATGATAAAGTCTTGCAAGTCTTCGATATGAAGCCGTGATATCCGGTACGGAAGCATCTCTCGTGACCTCGAGAGCCTCGTAAAGATCGAAGTCTGGGAACGGAGGCATTGTGTTTGTTCAAATTTCGGTCGCCAGTTGTAGGCCAAACTGTGCTATTTTGGTGGAATTAAGTTTTCTGACAGAGTGGTTGTACTCGATGTTGGAGATTGATTAAGTTGATAGAAATGTAGGAGGAAGAAAGACAGAAACTGCACTATTGTAAGCACAAGTAAAGTACAGAAAGTGCCAAAGATAAAATCTCCAGCAGGCCGGGCTTTAAAGAAACTTGGGGACTATTCGTTGTTTGCTACCTCTATGCAACAATATGGGTGTATGCATATGCTCGATGAAGGGAACATGATCTGATTGGGTAGCTTTCCAATTTTCTTTTTGTAGTACATTGAATAATGAATAAGAAAGTAGTGAATACTTGGATTGATTTGAGAATGTAGAGAAAAGAGATGAAATCATGTTTCCGTGATTAAATGAGAGTGAGATCGATTGATTCTTACTCTAAGTATCCACAAAGCTTTTGATATCTGAGCTGATGAGAAATAGAACAAGAAGTTAGAGAGTACTGACTTGACATCATTACCATTGTTCTGAATGGAATTCAACCTTTTTACCAAATTCACTCAAAGTTTTTTAATAGTATTCACTCGTGAAGATGTTCAACTTGTTTCCACTCGGACTTTTCTCTGATTTTTTCCTTCTGATTCGGGAAGTGCCCCAACTCTTCGCGTTTTTGATGTTGTTGCGCAACAACAAAGTCACCACGACTTGTTTTTCCCATCTCACACTCAAATTCCACAGCAAGTACATTAAGCAACAAAAAACCGCCAAATATTGGCCTGTTGCTGAAACTCGTCCATGCAATCAACTAGAACTATATTCCTAGAAATCTACATACCAACCAACAACCAGTCTAACCATAAACCGTTTCAAAAACCCAACGCCTGACATCCCAACCCTGTTCTCTTGTGAAAATACCAATGGAAAATTGTCAAGATCTAATATGGATTAAAACCAGCTGTCTTTATGTACAAAAGTATTAGGCATATTTTCCTTCCTTCGCTCTCCTTTATATCCCAGATACGACCACCCTATAAAGTGCTACATATCACAAATTCCCATTCCTAGACGCCATAGTCATCCATCATAGCAATTTGCATGCAAGATATCCATTCACACTTGTTCGCCAAAATCCATCTATCATTTGCCCGAAGTATCTACCAGAAACTACACCAACCAATATAATGTTGGCAAAGATTCTCCAACTTTGTCGCCTCAATCAACAACTTATCAACTTGTTGAATATATGGTAATTCCTCCTCTGGCTTGAAATCATGACCTGTCAACTTCTCCTTGACACGGACCAATACCTGAACAGCCCTGGTGTTTTGGTTTTCATGTGCCTCTATATCCTGTGAACCTTGTGTCGTGGAATTTGTTCTTGCGCGGGGACGTGAAGCTGGTGGTCCGCCTGGAGCTGCTATCGGATCTCCAACATCGGCAGTTAACGCCGAAGGAGGAACATTTCCATCCATTACTGAGGGTCTACGGACTTGGGGCGAGATCATGGATTCACGGCGCTCGGAGCGGAAATTAGGTCCTACAGGTGAAGCTTCGCCATTCAAACGCCAATTGAGAAGAGGATCATGGATGAACTAAATTATTAGCAATGAATTTAGACGGTGGAGTGGGACAAAGCTTACAGCCTCAAGAACAGCCATCAAAGACTCTTTGTTCTCTCTCAACACTCTCATCACGTTCTCGCAAGTAATTCTAAAGCTTCCTTCAATATTGCTAACTTCCATAGCATAGGTCAACATCCTAGTCAATCTGAATGGAACACGTTCTGGATACTTCTCACGAGTCATAGCAACTTCGAAACAATCTCCAAAATCAATGTGAACAATGTTACCAGTGATTCGATCAAGCATCAAATTCGAAGGATGACGATCACCAAGGCCAAGAATGTATCCGACCATTGACATCACTCCTAATGATCGAGTGTAATTTGTACGTCTTTCCAGCCAGGATTCAGAACTCTTGCTCTTTAACCAGAGAACACGATAAAGATCTTGTCCAGTTGTATTGTCGAGAGCATAACCGAAAACTTCAACCTTCTGCATGAGGGTAAGATTGTCGTAATCAGGAGCCATCTGTAACATAATTCGGTGCTCAATGTTGAGTAGTATCTTCCTACTTTCTCTGTACTCTCGAATAAGGACATGTAAGGTGTCACTATTAGGAACCCAACCAAGGAGACCAGAATTCTGAGACAATGGTATAGCGGGATATCGTTGAATGTTAAGATGACGTTTGTAAGACTCCGAATCGCTAGTAAGTAATGTATTGCAAAGACCGAACAATTGCATAACACGCTCATCTTGACGAATATCTTCATGACCTTTAAGACAAAAGACATAGGCATTACCGTCACTACCCTTGAGACTAAGCTTTCTTGGACGTTGCTTGGAGGAGATAACACTGAAATTGCTCTCAAAATTGACGATCGATATGATACGCTTGCCACTTTGATAAGTTCCAGGAACAGCCAGCTCCAGATCATGAGCATTAAGAAGCTTTGGAGATACGTAAGCCAGCTCAAGGTTATTAAGTTGCGGTAGCTGGCGTGCGATTCTTCTGAAAACTTGATAGTACAAATCCCAAGCTTGATTGATGTCTCCGAGATCCTTCGTTCTTTGGTAAGTGATACACCATTCTCGAGCCTCTTGAAGATCACGGCCGAATGTTTGGGCAAAAGAAATTTCTCGCAAGGTCTCCGGCCCGTTGTCGAGCATATCGTGTAAAGGTGCGAGTGTATTGAACATGCCCTCAATATTATGGTCACCAAAGTAAAGTCTGGATGCCTCTTCAAGACCTTCATGCCATTGCTCATGCCATAATACTGCCACGCGAATCAACTCTTTGCTGACTAAATCTGCTTGATCCACCAATTTTGGACTATGTTGGCGCATGCTATCCATGATTTGCATTGCAGATCGTGAGCGACGTGTATTCGGTGCAGACTTCATGGCGACAGTCAATGGATAGACCAGCGCCTGTGGGTGAGCTCTTCCAACATCAGCGAGCAGATTATGAATGGAAGCCCGGACACGAGCATTTGGTTGGTTGATGCGTGCAATAAGTTGAGGAATGACTTCCAACCAAGTGTCAACGCTAACGGATGAGAATCCTTCAGTAACGGCTTGATTGACTTCTACATGTCCACCATGAGCGAACCAAAGTGTAAGAAGGCGCAATGTATCTTGTAAAGAACTTCCCTGCGAGAGAGCAATTGACTTGAAGAAACCACGAACAGCAGGAACGACGTGATCAATGACGGCATTAGTAGGTATATTATGCCAGTCGTGTCCTAGCTCTGTTTGAATGGACTGGACAATCTCAAAGTTTGCCAAAGCCCAAGCATGCCATGCCTTGTACCACTGTGGATTAAAGTGAGTGGCAGCTTTATATGAGGCGAGAATATCGTTGACATTGTCATATTGCCAATTACCTTTCTTCTGAGCAACCTGCCATTCACCTTGTTTAAGGCAACATCTAGCGAGTAGCGTGGTATGGTCAGCTAAGCCCTTTGCTGTCAGCAGACTCTGAGCATTTGCTCCCAGACCATTAGTATAACCATTTCCATTCATCATTACTCCGTTAGTACCATTATGACCATTCATAACATGCACCTCATTCGCAACACCTCCTTGATTTGCCACCTGTGCTTGCTGCAGTTTCTCTGCCAGTCCAGATGTGAATATCTTCAGAGCCTCCAATGCTTGAGATTGCTTGCCGACCGCCCACTGAAATTTCAAGATAGCATATTGAACAGGAGCTTCAATATGTTTGGTTGAAACTTTCAGTCGCCGTTCTCCATTAGCAGTCTCAACAATTTGAGGTAACACCACATCCAAGCTCTCATCTCCACCCATCAGAGTCTTGAGATGCTTTTCGGCTAAGCCCATACGCCCAGACTTTCTGCAAAGGTTCGCGAATTTGATGGACATCTGCATGTTCTCCATTGGAGTTATGACCAAGGCTCTTAACTTCAACATTCTCTGCCAAACCTCAACATTTCGTTGGCATCCAAGCAAACGAGTCTCCCAAGTTCGGCGCATAACTTCTTGCTTTTTAGGATTGTCGTCGCTTTGCTTATAAATGCTAAGCTCTTCCAATTCTGCAAGCATCTGTACGCGAACAACGACCGTGTAGGCTCGATTGTAGGACTCGCTGACCAAAGCACTCAATTCGGTATCTAGCCCTTCTCTCGCCTTTTGGACAAAGAGTGCAGCCTCGCGGAATTGATTACGATGCAAGGCAAGAATTGCCCCAAAGAATGACCGATCGGGTGTGTGACTCTTCATAACACTGAGATAATCGTCCATAAGATCCCATTTTCTGAGACCCCAAGCAGCCGCTGTAGCCAAAGGTGCAATGGCTCGCTTGATTTCCAGTGAAGAGGTGTGCCATTTGTCCTCAGCTAAAGCCGATAGTGATTCCCACTCTCCCAAAGCATGAAGACATCTCATCTTACCCATGATGACGTCGAAAGTTTCTGCTTGGTCAGGGAAATCTTCCTCGCGTCTTTTGTAGAATTCAAGAGCCTCTTCCCATCTCTCAAGCTTTTCAAACCAAGTCTCTCGTAATGTGATACCGTCCTTGTAAAGTTGTGCTTTTCGTAGGATACCAATCGCGGCATCATACTGCTGTAACTGGTTATTGATTTGAATCAATGCTTCAACAGCACCACTAGTTTGATCCTGACAGAACTCCAATTCCTTGTAGTGAAGAGCCTTGGCCCAGGCATGGCATCTACCAGCTTCTCGTCCTAGAACTCGTATGTCGATGGGCAAAGCCTTATCATCATGCTCCATGAATTCTGCAAGGTTGAGTAAGATACCTAAGAGATCAGGAGTGACGTGAGGAGATTTGATTGCCATTTCAATGTTTTGGATCAAGTCATCTTGATAACCTTCAAATAGCTCTCCCCAACATGAAACAAAAGCAGAATTGAATAGTTCTCTGGCGAGCGGCGGGTATACTGAAGCTAGTTGAGCACATGATCGAAGTGCATGATTCGGTGATTCCAATAAGACGGCGGCACTAAATTTGCGCATCCACTCCTGCCAATCCTCTTTTGTGGATTTACCTGTTGCATCCCAAGCTGCCTTCAAATGAACCGGATTGCTATCCAATTTCTTATTAGAGACATCTGAGAAGTCGACTTCATCAGATTGATTCAAGTACCGTTCCTCGGCGCTCAAATCTTGTGGCAGAGCTTCACCTTTTTGAAGTTTACTAACCAAGAGTTCGTAATTTTGATGCTGGATTTGATGGCTGTTCAGAACCTTGTTGATTGTGCCGGCGAAATGTAAGTAATCTCTTCCGAGCTGGAAAATCAGTGCGCAAAGTGTATCGAGCGACGCCAATCTCAAAGAGCTATCGCTACCAGCCAAGACCCTCGAAAGAGGGTGAATGATTTTGGAGGCATAGTCATTGAGATTAACATGTCTTGAAATCTTACCGATAGTCTCAATCGCGGCCTTTCGAATAAATGAAGGTTGCTGCGGCTTTTCGAACACACTGACGATAACAGGTACGATGAGGTGCATGTACTCCTCAGCACTAGGACCGAACACCAGAAAAGCATGTAAAACACGCTCTGAAGGAAGGCGCCTGGTGGAGGTATCTTTCTCAAGTACGCCCAACATAAGCGGCAATAGCCCCGCTAAGTAAATCTTGAACTCGCCTTCTAGAGATCTTGAAATAGCCTCGACAAGTTGAAGTATGTTAGCTTGAAGTGGTGCAGACGTATTCCAGAATTCCTGAAGTACCGACACAATCTCTGGTAAGTAATTACGGATATGTTGTCGAACGATGGTCACCAGGAGACTCAATTGACTGAAATATGACTCCAGACGATTGACGGGAGAGGTTCGGATGACAGACAAAAATGCCGGAATAATCTTATCGAGAAAAGAGACGCATTCTAAACCCAGAGTCCTGAATATTGACATAATTGCCTCAATGACCATGGCGTGGTGTTGATTGAGAGATGGGTCCTTTAAAATGTTGAGAAGAGCATTGATCACGACAGTTGGGAAATATTCCTTGTTAGAAGGTGTAAGACCTGTCATCATAAGAGATATGTCCGTCATTTGATTTGACTCCAAACGTAGTTGCATCTCTGGAGATCGCTCTTCAACTTGTTGATGTCGATACGGGTCCAAAGCGCCAAGAATACCCATCAATTTGATAGTTTCTTGTCGTAATGGTCCTCTCTGCGGTTCTCCCCGAATGATGTTTTGCAAAATCTCCAAAAGCCGGGGATATTCCAGATAAGGCTTAATGACATAACCTGAATTGCTTGCCAACTGACCTAAAGTTCGTAAAGAGGCTTCTCGCTTAGCAGAAGAGCTCTGATCCTGCAAAGCTTCGATAATTATTGGCATGAGCTGCTTGATATATGGAATCATACCCTCTCCTCCCACACATGCAAGTTCGCCGATAGCTTTCATGATAGTAGCAGCAACCGCCGGGCTAGGATCACGAGCTTTGGGTAATAGAACAGCAATCATAGGATCAACGTAGGGCTTGATCAGCTTCTGTGAATTCTGAACGAGGAGACTAAGGAGTTTTGCACTTTCTTCCTTGTTCCTCGCTACATCAGAAAACTCAAGTTCTGTAAGCATTTGGATGAGAACCTTACGCAAAGAGGGAATGACATATGCGGGATTAACATGCGTCAAACGACCAATGATTGTGATAGCAACTTCACGGATTTGGAATACTTCATCATTCAAAGCGAAGAACAGAGTTCGAATATTCTCTGCTTTGGCAAGGTGTCGGTCAAATCGTTGATCTAAGGCTGCTAAGACAACTCTTCGAATGCTAGGATCTGGATCCCCAACTCCGACTGTGAGCAGCTTCTCAATAACTTCACTGACAACCTGAATTGCATGATGACTTGTTTGATTGACAATAGGATCTCGGACATAAAGCTGACAGCAAGTCAATGCAGCTGCCTCTCTGATTTCCGGATTTTCGTCTTCGACATACTTGATGGCAACATCACGCACAAATTCATTTAGTACGTGCCCGGAGAAGTCGAAACTACCCAGGGTATTAAGAGCGAGCTTGATCTCACTTTGTCGATGCTCATACGCTTGTGGATCCTTCGAGTCTTTTGGTACAACTGGCGCGGCTGCAATATTATTCGGTGTAGGTGCCCCCAATGGCTTGAAAGGCTCACCACAAAGAACCTTGCTCAACATATCCAGTAATCTTTCTTGGATGATTGGTTTCACCGGCGGAATGTAGAAAGCCATATCCACCAAAGCTTGAGTCAACTTAGGACTTAGCTCACATGCGAAGATCGGGTCTAGGAGTGCCTCCATATATTTGCTGAGAGTTTGTCCAACGGCCACTGCTAATCTACTGATGCAATCGAACACTGGATCCACCGTGCCGAGTCGTCTCCTAAATAAACATTAGTATTGGTACATATACACAGATTGTAACACAACTTACGATTTCAAAGACAAGCCTTCTCGGACATATATTAGAACTCCGTCTAGGTAAGGCGCAATAGCACTTTTGACAGCATTGGCAATATTCCCAATGGCCAAGAAAGCGTCGTTTCTATCCTTGTCCTTCTTAAGCATACCTGACAAGAACACCATGAATGGATGAAGGTAGGATTGAGCAAACTCCGTTGGAGAATAGTGCGCCAACTCGGGTATCAGCATAACGACGGTCTTCCGAATCTGTGCGTCCCGATGATCTTTATGTCGGAAAACAATCTCGCAAACTTCTGGATAATGCTCATGCATAAACATTCCGCCTTGCTGAAGAAGTTCCTTGATCACGAGCAGGGATCCATGGATGGATTCAACGGTCCCCTGTCTCACGCCCTGGACGGCTTCATCATAAATTTTGGCCTGCCATGTCTGTCGTAAATTTTGATCTCTCTCTCTGATTATTTGAAAGCACGCACTTATAGCTTCTGCGGCGGTCTGTCGAATAAGGAGCCGCTGGTCTCTCAATCCCACCCATATCTGGTCGAATATCAACCCAACAAAAGTGTAAACTAGTGTTGGTGAATTTCGGCCCAATTCTCGCAGAACCAGTACCGCACTGTATCTCCTTTCTTCGATTCGATCAGATTGCAACCATTCCAGGGCAGTTTTAATCTCGCTCTCCACCAGATCAGATACCAACGAACCACCAGGCCTACACATCTTTCCCAATGCTACAGCGGCCGGTTGCATAGGAACGAGATCTTTTCCTCTCAATACAGCTCGAAGGGATTGCCCAAATCGTGTGACTCGTTGTCCAACATCTATACCCTCGAAATCGACCAGCGCATCGACGGCATATATACCACCAGTTCGCTCCAAATCTCCATGGCTGATTAGGCTGGTGATCTTGTTATTAACTACATTATACAATTCTAGAAATCGTTCTTGGGGGAGATCTACAACAGCATGGATTAGTCCTTGATTCCCAGATCAACACGAAAGAGAATCCTCACCTCTAGAAGCGACCTCCACTAGCTCCCTCAACTCTAAAGCTGCCCTTTTTCGTTGCTCATCGCTCCTACATTCAGACTATTAGCCTTCAACACTTCATCACTGATATATTGTATTCAATCCCATTAAACACTAACCGTGATCGTAAATCTATCACAATGCGATTCAAAGCATCGAATGCTTGAGTTGATTGTTGTGACATTTTGACGTCCTTTCAAAGCTTCTGAATGTGTGATTTTGTATTCCAGCCAGCAACAATATTATGCGCATCCCATCCTCGTCCTCCTGCGCCAACCCGGTCGTAGTAATTGCTTTCGTTATTATTTGTTGTCAACTAAACCTGCAGCTTCGTGGTGGGCGGGCAGGAGTTTATATTGCTCGCTGTCTCAATGACGGAAAGCTCATGTTTGGTGCCGAGTCGACCAAGTCGGACACAAAAGTACGCTAAGTCACACATTCACTGCTTAGGCCCCGTACAGGCGTGGCGATAACGAGCTTATCAGTAAGACCGCCTTCAAGACCGCCTCAAACCGCTTTCTTTTTTTTGGAAACCCAAAATTGATCTTACTCTTTCATAATCGACCATACAAAAAAGGTTCATTTATATCCTCAAGGCTTTCACAGGTTATAGGTATTTTGGCATCATGGGTAATGATGGTGGAAGTATTCCTACTCGTCGCGAACTGGTAAAGGAAGCAGCTCGCAATCCAAATACATCCGAATTAAAGGCTACCCTCCACGAGGCGCAAACACACGCCTGGACATATTGCCCTCTCTCTAATCAACCCCTCGCTGCACCTATAGTGTCCGACTGTGCTGGGACGCTGTACAATAAAGATGCTATAATCACACAATTACTTCCCAAAGACGACGATGTCCCAGCTTCTGTCATAAAGGAGAAGGAAGAGGTTCTACAAGGACGAGTCAAGTCATTGCGCGATATCGTCGAGGTTAAATTCTCCACGGTTATGGAAGATAAAGAAGAGAAGAAGATATGCCCTATCACCAGTAAGGAGTTAGGTGCCAGTGCCAGAGCTGTTTATTTAGTGCCATGTGGGCATGCCTTCTCGGAAGTCGCGATTAGAGAGTTAAAGGGCGACGCATGTGTTGAGTGTAATGAAGGTTATACTGCGGAGAATGTTATACCGATACTCCCCATTGCGAAAGAAGACATTGCAAGATTAGCATCTCGAGCTGCCAAGTTGAAGGAAGATGGATTAACACATTCGCTGAAGAAAGCTCCAGGGGGAAAGAAGAAAAGAAAACATGCTGTAGAAACGGAATCTGCTGTTCCTATGGAAAGCGGAAAGGATGATTCTATCGACAGCAAACAGCCTCGGTCGCAAGGAACTGGAGTTGCTGATAAGCCTCAGAGTCGAATACAAGAGAATGGAAATGGAGCATCGACACCAAAGTTGAATAATGGCGCATCTACAGTTTCTTCAGGCATCAAAAACGCTTCAGCGGCAAACCTGACAGCTAAAGTTTTAGAAGAACAAGAGGAACGAAACAAAAGAAGAAAATTGGGAATGAATGACAACCTCAAGAGTTTGTTTTCAAATACCGGATACAATGCACAAAAACAGAAGGGAGGGGATTTCATGACAAGGGGATTCTCGATGAACAAGAAATCATAGGACAATAGGTATAGGACGAATGGGAAAGCATGGCGTCAGGTGTTGATGGTCTCGCCGGCTCTGTTTTCAAGGAATGTCAGGCCCTGATTTGTACATCATATATTAATTGGAAGTTGATGAAATCATTTTCTTGAGACTAGTACTCCATTGACCGGGGTGTTTCGAAAATGTGATGAACCAGTAGTTACGAACTAATAATCTATGGCTGCAAGCGTGTGAATGATAGAGAGCCTCCTGTTAGTACAGAATCATCCTGCGTCTCCTCATACGCTCTCCCACGGATTCTATTCATGCACATGTAATCTTACATCCTCATTCCCATTTCCAAAAAAAAAACGATAGATCTGAGTCTACTTGTGGTCGAAGTTTGGACTTTTCGAAAGTTGACGTGTGGTGTGTAAAATGTATTTTGTAGACCAGTCGGTGCTGAGGTTCAACTTAGGCTGCTGCTGTAGGGAGGCATTGCGGCAAGAGGTTTAAAGGCCAGACTTGGAAAGGAGATTTGACAGTAAGTTCCTAGGAAGGAGATTCATTCACGGGGGGTATTTCGGAAAAGACCATACATATACAAGGATTGAAAAGAATTATGGCCTAGAATTGCTAGCAGCTGATGCACATCTTCTCTACAGACCTATTTTGAATTTCTCGATCCCAGGCAATACAGTTCAAAATCCATTTATATCCCCTGCCCCCTCAAATTCGTGCACTACAACCTATCTACAATTCATCCTTCGCATCCTCTTTAGCTCCCTTCTTAACAACCCTCTCACAAACTGCTGGAGTCCCAACATCCATTCTATAATTGCACTTCTCCATTTCCACAACCTTCCAAATTTCATCCTTCTCGGCACAGCCTAATACAACTGTCGTGGCCCTATTCGGTCCATTCCAGCAATGTTGTCCATTCTCATACACCAAAGTAGTCCTGATGCCTTTACCAAGTCCTTTGCCCTCCGCATCAACTTCTTCATCGACTTCTATTGTATCAAAACGGACGAAATTGCCCATGTTAGTGTTTCCACCACCTTTTTTGGATTTCTGGGATGTCTTGTCCATCCAGCAGAGTTCGTAATCGTATTCACCAGAATCTTTGGATACGCAGATGCCTTTGAGAGCGCGAAAGATATCATCTACACCGTAGTCTTTCTCAAGGTCGGATTGGAGATCAGAAAGTGTGGTTTGCTTGACACCGAGATCATCGCTGACAGTCTGGTAAGCACTTCTCGCATCTTGAACAGCCTTGGACTCGGAGCCAGAATTGGCATTATCTGCCAAAATTCCGTTTTCAACGAGGATGATCCGAAGATCAATGACCTTTTGGTGAACCCAAGCACGGATGGATTGTGGAAGATATTCTTCGAATTTGTAAACTATTGTGTGTTAGTGATAAGATAGATTATTGATGAATGAATTAATGGGTAAATGAAATGATTGATATATGAAGAATTTCTTTTCAGATCACATCTCATACAAGCACCAGCATTCGTTGAAATGCACGTGTGCATCAGCTGTGATATCTTGACTTCTGCAGTCTGATGTGCACAATGTGTAGACAAATGGATGATTCGCTGGGCCCCCAAGCCACTGCCGTGGAGGTCGACTATTTTTCATGAAAATACTTCAAACAACCTTTGAGAGCAGCGAGTCCAAGGGGTTTGCGGCTTATCCACACCAAGAACATTGATATGGAAACTTCCACCTTTTTCCCGACGCCTCATAACCCTTGACATTCCTTCATTATACACTGAGGCATAAAATATATGAGAAAAAAATCTAACTTACTCGCATCAACGTCACTCTCCTCCTCATCCTTCTCCCAAACATCCCACTCAATGCCATCATTCTCCGGCTTCGCCGTCTCTTCGACCGCTTTATCCTGACTTTCCACGTCCTCATCTTCACTTGCATCCTTCGAGGCAGCATAATCCTCCCAAGCCTTCACTGCCCTCTTGACACCCTCATCATTAAAATTGGGATTACGTTCCTCCTTAAATCTCGACAAAATGCCCTCGAGCTCATTAACTTTATTATGCAACGCCAATTTCTTAGCCTGCACGCCAATCAATGCATCTCTCAACTCCTCGACTCTCGCCTTAGCCATCGCAGCCAAAATCGAAGCTTTACTAGTCTTCTCTCCCGAAGTCTTCACGACCTTACCCCGCTCTCTTCTCTCCACCTCCTCATATTTGCGTTTGAGCTCCTCCTCTTTCTTCTCCAACTCGACGATTTCCAGCTCCGTCCTTCCAATCTTCATCTGTACACCCGCTCTCAAACTCTGCGCCTGCTTAACCAGTTCCTCCCTCTTCTTATTCGCTTTAATTTGAGCTTTCGTCCTAATATCATCTAATCTTCTCCACTCCTTTCCAATTTCTGCACATTTATCTGCGCATTTTGTTCCTCCTACATTTTCCCACTCATCACTCCCATCACAACATAATTCATAATCGCACACTCCATCATTCACATAAGTGAAGGGAACATAGGCGGGTATATGGCCCTTGTTCTTGCAATAATATCCAGGCAGAGCAAGACTCGTATTATGAGGGCTCGAGCCCGTCGAGCTTTGTAATGGCTGAGGAGGGGAAAGATGGGAGAGGTATGTACACGCGCTTGTGCCAGGCTCGTCACTTCCATCTGGGCAGTCGCAGTAATCGTCGTTTACTTTGGAGATCGCGATTGAAATGGAGGGGTTTGAAAGACAGGTGAATTTGTCAGTTGATTTGTAGAATTTGGCGACTATAGTTCAGGAAAGAAAGAGTCAGTTTTGTGGGCTAATGGAAATATATGTAACCTTTCTTAACAGTCTGCCTTCCACGACGGTCTTCCTCGAAAGATCAGCGAAAGAGGGCATTTCGAGAATTCTTTTGAGCATGTCGATGGAATAAGACCCAGAAAACCCGTTGCCTTCACGGTGCTCGAATATTTCGATTCTTGTTAAAATAATCAATTGCAATACGGAGAGAGTACTTACACTCAGGCCCAACACCCCTAGGTCTCGAAGCTTCTGCCGCAAGTACAGAGGTAGATAAAGTGCTTAAAAGCACCAATGCCTTTGTCGCCACCATCTTCATAAAATTCACAGAATCAAGACACCCTGCAAATGCGATCAAATGGTGCTTCAAGGAGGAATTGAAGTTGATATAATGTGTCGATGAACTCAAGATAGCTTCAAGCTGTGGGGTTGAGATTTAATAAAGATGCCAGCTTGCTATCTTAGCGAACAGGCCTGTGACATCAAACATCTGCACGTCTTGGGCGGGTCCCTTGTTAACTTGAACAGCAGCCAATTAAACTTATTGTCGAGTTTATCGATGTCTTTACGGAGTATAGAACTTATCATTGCAATAGAGAGCTCAGCTTTTAGGATGTTAGAACAACGATTCCAAAGATTTAGATATCACAGCACGTTTCAAGACACTGTTCATGTATTTTGATTCATTTTATTCCTATGGAATCAGGCGAGGCTCAAATGCCCACTGCATGAGCTCTTTCATCCATCAGTAAAGTTCAACTGCAGACCACCCAATCCATCCTTTCCAGCCCACTAAACATCCATCAATCCTCTCCAATAACTCAGTCCCGCTGCGCCATTAAGATATCCCAATATGCTATGTACTTCCTCCTTCCATTCATCATCCTTCGTGGCCCGCGGATATGGTATTTTCCAACTTCTGGTATGAAATAGGGAGACATGTCTGTCGTATTCTCTCTTCGCCATTTTAAAAACTCCAAGATGCTGCTGCCCTAATTTTTGCCGCGAGGCAGATGTATGAAGAAAATGGCTCGTGTAAAACATTAAGATAAAACAAAATAAAAACTAATGTGGTTTTATTACCATGGTGATCAGAACATGCTTCCATCCTGACCTGGTACTGGTCCTGGTCCTGGTCCCATCACACCTCCAGCTCCAGAGAGGAAATCTGGCATGGCCGGACTTGGCGCGTTGTATGCCTTTTCTCTTGCCTCGGCATTCAGATTGCCTCCCTCACTCAGGCTCTTCCTCAATCTCTGTCTGTGTTTCTCTCGGGGAGTTTCTTCTTCGTCTGAGAAGGTGCTCATCTCTTCACTACTCGTCGTAGACAATGGAATCTCATCCCTCTCAAGATATTCGCTGGAGTCCTTTTTTCCCATCATCGCACCAAACATAGCTCTCGTTTGTCTTCTTCTTGGATTAACTGCAGGAATAGGTGGAGCAATACCGTTTTGAAGGCTCGATCCAGGTGGAAGATTAATTGTTGAGACACGGGAAGTAGATGATATGAAAGTGGGTTCCGAGATCTCGGATTTTGTTACCGACTTCTTGCGGGCGGCCATGTAGCCATTTGCATGGGATGCTGTTGGAGTAGTTGATCGTGGCCCAATGGGTGACGGATCATGTAAAGAAGGTGTAGAGTTGACTGAAAAGGGGGTGACGGGTGATGGTCTAGGTGAAATACCAATGTCCAATGCGTCACCCGTTTGCAGAGCGTGCATATTCTGAGGTTCAAAATAACTCGAAGGTTGTGCTTTGCTGTTATTTCTGGGTCTTGGCCCCATCGCTGGGGATGGGATAGGGGATGGGCGGCCAGGTGGCAAACCAGGAGATGAACCAGGGGATACACCTGATACGGTAGGTTTGAGCATGAGGCGAGCATTGTGAAGGTCTTCAACAATACCTTGACTTGAACTACCCGTTCCCTCGGCCATCGCTTTAGCTAGATCATCTCTGTATCGGCCATTGCGGCTCTTAGATCGACCAGAAGCATCAGAACCTGAACGATCTCTAGAGGTACGAGATGCAGGTCGCGACCCTGAAAAGCTCGTGCTTATACTGCCCTTGCTTTCTCTGTTTGCATTCCGTTGAGAATGTGTCACCGGTGGGGGTTTTCTCTCTCGACTTTGAGCTCTTTGACGCGTTGCGAAATTAGCAGATGCATCATTTATTCCCTGCATGTTTCTTGCTTCATATGGATGCGCTTGTCGGGGCTCATTAGGCCTCGGGCTCGACCAGTTAATTTCGTTGAAAGCATCGTCACCTTTCTGCTGATGCCTCAAAGTCATTTGATGCTCCCGATCACGTTGTGCATCTCTTCGAGCTTGACGGAAGGCCTTCACCTGGGGTGGCGTGGAAGAAGTAGCGACATTTCGTAACATTTCCTCCTCTTCCTCCTTCCATGAGCTGTCATCAATTCTCTTCTTACCTGGTTGAGGAGGTCCATTCTGTATGACTGGACTACTGCCAATCCCGAACATTTTCATGGCTTTGGATTGGCCTGCGGCTTCCTTTTGTTTCATTGCCAACGCGCTGAGGCTGGCCTTAGTCTTCAATAGAACGGCCGAGCCAGGAGTAGGTGAGGCAACCTGGCGTTCAGGTTGACGTTCAGCTTCAATCACTAGGCTCTTGAGGTTTTCCTGAACTTGCTTTCGACGTTGAGCAAGCTCCTCTTTGAACTCTTGTCGCTCTTGTTGAGTAGCCGAACTTCCATCTCTATTGTGACGTGATTCCATCTCCTCCTCCCATGCAGCCTTTGGTATAGTTTCAGCCTCGGCATCCGAGTCTATCGGCTGTATGGCAAGAGGGTCGAGAACGGCAGCATTTACTTTAGCCAAAGGACTTAGTGGGGTTTCATCCCAATCATTAATTTCCCAAGGGTTTCGTCTCTCACTATAATCCTGAGAAGGTTCTTCAATCGGATCGTAAGATATTTGTTGATTGAATCCAGCTGCAGTGATGCCATATATGGATGAGCTGTCACTGTCAGATCGTAAATGTGAACGGACCATTCCACTCAGGCCCGGCAGTGTTGGCGAGTCGGCTGGAGGCTCAGGCTCTCTTTCGCCATCATCTGGTGGTGTGGTTTTGATCTCCAGAATCTTTGAAGAGCTGGTTGGAGGCGCCGGTAGTGGCTGTTGTGGACCTAGAGCCGCAAGGGCAATTGCCTGATTTGCTGGATGCTGAGATTCGTCAGGTCGTGATGTCATTAACGGATCATTATGATTACGATATTTCAGATTGGGAAAGCTGCGGGGTTGAGGAAGTCCCCATGGTCGACTGACAGGTCCCTTGGAAGGAAACTCTGGTTTGCTAGGAGATGCTACTGAACGACTTGGAGAGCCCATAAACGGTACTGAAACAGAGTCACTTCCAGGAATTATTATCCGTTGTTGTTTCGGGGATTGTAGCTCGGGAGCTCGATCTTTAGGAGGGAAATGCCTCTGAGGAGGGTAGTTCTGTGCACCAGAATCGTTACGAAGTCGTGGTCCTGGCTGTTGTCGTGGGACAAAAGGTCCCGGCGGGGAATGCTTTCTTGGAGGCGGTGTCTCTCTACCGGTGTTCATTTGGAATTGGTTCTGGTAGGTTCTTTCCTCGTCATGGGGTTGGATAGGCTTAATTTTCCCACCAGTCATCATAGCCTTGACCCTGTCATTGACTTGTGATATTGGTGCTGCTTCATCATTTTCGCTGGCTGGAGGGCTCAGAGGAGGGTTTGAGAATCCGTACTGTGATTTAGGCTCCACCTCCAAGTGAGCTGATTTCGCTGATGGACCAAAGTCAAACCCGCTGATGGGTGACGGAAGATTATGACTTGGTGGTGGACTTGCGGCACGCAAATTAGGCATACTGCCTTTAGCAAGCACTGGCTTGCGGTCCCATTTGTCAGATGCATTAACAGAGGTAGCTGATGTAGGCGAATTCATTGTAAGTGGAGGTGTCTGAGCGCCCATACCACGTTGTCTGGTCAGGCTATCGATTCTGTTCATGGATGAGTGTTGTTGATCGTGTACATGTTGATCCAAACCAGTTTCGTAGAGTCGGCGCATTTTGGGTGTAGATCTTTCCATGCCGGAATTCGTTCCAGAGCCTCCTGCTGAAACTGGCGTGTGAGATCCACTCAGTGATGGAGTACGTTGTGAAGTGAAAGAAGTTGCAGCTGTAGAAATTCTCGTGGTCACTGGCCCAGAGGAAGTGGTAGATGATGTTTCCCGGTTACGATTGTATCCAGTCGGTGGCGGGGAACCAGCTCTCGAGTGTTCTGCTGTCGATATATCTGCATTGTTGTCCTCATCATCGTTTCGCTCATCCCATTGTTGTTCCTTTTCCTTCTGCCGTAACTTCTGAAAAGCCGACGGGCTAACATCATTGTCATACAATACACGACCTCCTAGACCACCATCACCCGAACTTTTGGATCCTGCGGGAATTTTATAAATCTTTTGACGGCCACCGAAAAGAACATTGCCCTCGCTCGGTTTTGGTCGACTCATAATACTCCCGGTGTGTACAGATTCGTCATCCGTCCCGTAACCATCTGCGTATGTATCAACCTTGGAAAAGGTAAACGGTGGTCGAACCGATCCATGTATCGACGATACCTCTGCGATGTCAGAGAGACCATGTCCTTGGAATCCAAAGTCAATCAGTTTTGAGGCTCGGTTGGGGAATAACACACTGTCATCACTAGCTTTACCAATCTTTGAAGTTGGATCGTCTTGTTCTCGTAACATAGAAAACCGAGCTGATAATCCATTCATCAACAGACTTGTTCGAAAGTCATCCAACGGCGGCAAAGCATTCTCAAGGTCCAATTCTACTTTTGGTTCGGGCTCTTCCTTCTTCTTTCCAAGTCTAAAAGTTATTGATGATTTGACGGTGGGAGTGTGCTCGATATCGCTAGATGCTCGACTTGCTGCCTCTGTTGCGTCCTTGGCATCCTTCTTCTTGCGACTTCTAAACATGGTGCTCAGTATCTCGCGCTATGAACTTACTCCTCTCCAATTCTCGAATATAACACCAATCCTAATATGATTCACAAAGTTGCAAGCTTCAGTGAAAAGTAGCGAGACAGCTTCAATTCCTCGGCTTCAATTGTCGAGCGAATGTCGTTTATGTCGAGATGCGGGATGGCAAAAAAAGACAGCTCGAGATAAAAGACCAAAGCGTGAACGACAAGTAGAAAGTTGGGGAAATTGGAAACAAGCTGTTCTGACATACAAGCATTAGCCTTGAGAGTTTAAGGAGTGTTTGGGGCAAAGGAATTCTCGGTGGACTACGCACGGGAGAAGTGTAACGGGTCGAGTCTGATCAGACGAAAATTGTGAGCAATAGCGAAGATGTTTTGTTTTGCAGGTTTTCTATTACCAATAGTGATATCTTATCAAGATATTAAAACCACACAAAATGGAGGAATATTATCGGAGGTTGTGCTTCAAAAGTAGTAATGAACGTATTTGGGTATTTCGGTATCCCTGAGGAATGGAGCTCGTTTCTCGGTGCATAGATTGAGCTGCATAGGAGTTCCGATTCGATGTTTGTCTAGGTCAATATGCTGTTGATCATTCGGATAGGTGACCTGCACGATTTGTACGGTACGAGGTTTCGTGATGATACTTGGGGGACCAAATTAAAAAGAACGTATGTAGAGTCGATGTTTTGGGAAAGACAAATTTGGATGTTGATAACCACAAATATGCAAATTGCTAGGTAGCTGGGACTGAACTCTGGAAAAGAATATGCCAATGAATGTATGCAAGTGAATATCTATGCAGAAGAAATATCGTATCGAATGTCGAAATATTACTACCGAATCCGATCTGTCTGACTCAACTCCGCCTCTTTCCTTCAAGTTTAATTGCAGAGGAATAAACGTTTTGTGTTTCGACTTTTTAACGTTTCTAACGTTTCCTTGAGGTGTGAATGTGCCGGTATTGTAAGGGCAAAATAAAATGAGCGTGGTATAGAATGCGAGCGAGTGTGGGTGAGTGGGTGAAAGAGCGACAGGTATGAATTGATCGACTTGGTTGGACGGAAGAGAGCCAGAGAGGTAGGGGACTGGATTGCAAAAGAGAAATGGCCGTTTCGATTCTCTCTTCTCTCTCTATGTACGGAGTAGGTTACCTAGTATCTCATTGAAGAAAAGCCAAGGTTTTTTGATGGTCTGCCAAAATGCAAACCAATCAATGTTTGACTTGTAGATTTGATGTATCGTTGGATGAATAAATTTGGAAGGAAGGATTGGTTCAATTGATGGAGCGAATTATGCATTGCAGTTAGGACGAACCACCAGCGAACCTAGCTAGGGTCGTCTGCTAGGCTTGCTAGCCTTTACCGGCTAACCTTATTTAGCTAAGCAATCAAATACTAAATGTAACCCTTTCCGTTTCTCATGCCACACCTCTCTCACCCATCCGAGTCAAATTCTACATTTTACCCTCATCAGATCTATCAACCCAGAGCATGTATCCCTGATAACAATGTTTTAATTGTTTACATTGTTTATATTGTTCCATTGATTACATTGACGACATTATTTCTATATCATGACAACGCATCCAATAGTGAGCGGCTGCCTTGGTTTTACCCAGTACATAAAAGAGAAAGTGGATTGAAATTTAGACAGCGGTAACGAGAAAAAATAGTAAATTGTGATACGACGGTGATGATGGGATACAGTATACCTTCCTACTACCTATGAAGGGGGAGGCAAGACTAGTTAAGGTTTGTGACAGCTAGATGAAGATGAGCTTACCGTGCATGCGAGGATATACTCCGCCGATAGCATCACGAGTGAGATGAGGTGATGTATGGCATGTCTATTCTGGTAAGGTTAAGGGTTTCTTCAGCAGACAGCAGTCAATAAGGTTACTTAATTCTTGTGTGGGTGTGTAATAAGAATAAGTGAGGCAGCGGCGTGGAAATGAAGCGAATCAATAAGATGCTTTTCAATAAGACATTTTAGGAGACGAAGAGATGAAGAGATCTCTTAAAAGGCTTGTCATACATACTCTGTACATCTCCAGCCGAATAATGCTGTAGGTAGTATTAGAGATCGATATCATCCAATATAGGAGGTCAATTGATTGAACTCAACTAAACCCAAAACAACTTTGCGCCCCCAAATTCCCGATTTCTCTGATCTGAGCTTCTTAGCATCTTTAGCATATCGTGAAAGTGCCGATTGACCCTGGAAGATAAGCTTTTGACTGTAACTGTACTCAGTACCACTGCACTCCTGCATAGTGGCGCGGCTAATCATTGACATTGATTCCTGGAATTAGCTACGAGTGCTGTAGTATTTGATATATCGGTCATTAGCTGTTTCGGAGGTTCTTCACTAGTGGAGTATCAAGAACTTGGTAAAAGCTAATCATTGTATGAGATGAGATTCAAGAACATGGTATATTAGATATTTTCTCGTTCCCCCTCCCTTCCTTATTATTCACGCCTTCTTGTCTCATGATTTGCTTTGGAAGAGCTGGAGTGTCTTGTGCGTCGTACCATACAGATACCATACAGCAAGGATCATCGAGCGGGCAATAAAAAAGCAATGTACCAAAATTACTTTGACTGCTGTACGGGATGCATATATATCTATCAAGAAGGATAAGAGAGTGTGATGCTTGTGATATCGACCTCCACCTGCTGCAAATAGGTAGCTATAGTAAAGTTTTCAGATGAGATGAGACGAATGAAATGAAATGAAATGGGCTGAGATGAGCCGACTTTTCGTTGACAATCGGAAAGGAACCTGATGGGGGTGTCAACCTAATAAAAGGGTTTGCATCTAGTACCTTTTCAATCACTTCGAACCAGGATTAATAGGCTATGACGGATCGAGACGCCAAAAAGTTTTGAATCAACAAGCATAATCTATCTATGCACGGGACGGATTGTACCCGCAAGCGAATGAAAAGTCAATTGTACCTGAAAAATACTTCAAGTAATGCTAGGTAGGTGCCTGACACTTGACCAATTTAAGAAATACTAAGGTTATCCATTTACTTTTTCTTTTCCTTTTCTCTGTTTCTCTTCTTATCCGAACGTTCATAATTCATCCAATCATTATTCTTGTACAGGAAATAAATAATCAACAAATTAATCAGGCATTACTCCTTTTCATATATCACTAATAACAAGACTCGTGGTCGTCAAGGATTAATATCCCCCAAAGTCCCAAAAAGGCTTGAATTATAAGCAGCTGAAATTGTCAATTGTCAATTGTATATCCGGCGATGAAGAAAGACTTTATGCGAAACAAGAGCTCAAGAAACCATCTGGGATTATTACGATTATTAGGATTATTCGTCACTTAAGAAAACACTTTTGGCGAGAATTACACTCTGTCATCCCGTCAACTCATCTAGCCAGCTGGCAGTCTCATTTCCAGAAGTCCAGAATTCCAACTTCCTCGCTTTTACTGGGAAGATCGAAGTTACTTCATGAACCTACTTTGTTTGTTTTTTATCAGAGCACTCGGGAAGTGGGTCTGTATATATTTCTTGTCTCGCAAATCACCGGTTACTTGCCCTTTTTTTCCCACCGCATTGAATTCTTGTCTCACATTTGTTGTCCGTCTTAACCACAGACTACAGTACTTACGAACTATACATTTACAGTTTCGCTTTCCAGCCGTTTTCGAGGACTGTTAACTTTCATCGAATAAAGGCAAAACAAACGCTCCAGGGCTCAGAGAGTCAGAGCTCAAAGCTCCGAGCTCAAATTGTTCGGACGAAAATGTCAACGAGTAATGGATCCTTCCTGACCAAGGGTATCATTGTTCCTGGATCCTAGCGATATAAAGCTCATCCACTCATAGGGCCGGACCAAAGCTTCCATAAGATTACCCAAACAGGTATCAACCTCAAGGTTTAGAGATGATATATAGGTTGATATATAGTACCTAGGTAGATATAGAATCTGGATACTTTCCATAACATGTCAAACTCTCTAATCAGGAATTTTACGATTCGCGAGTAATACATGGCAGCAGCATCCTGAAACCAATACATACGCCATAACAGCCTTTTAACAATCTAATCCGATCTAAGCTCAACTCAACTCAACTCAATTCTTAACTTTTAAGCCTCAAAATTCAAAGGGGATAATCTCTATTCTGTCTGCCAAGGGCCGGTAATAGATGTACCCGGTAGGAGAGGAAAGGAATGGCATTTGATGGAATTTATTAGGAGAATGGTACAAGACTACAAGTACTAGGTAGATAAGCCCGCTGATCTATGGCCTATATGAACAGACTCCTTTCCACAGTGGTTATTACCTTATTTCAATTCCCCCGCTCAAAATCATCCTAAGCTATGACGATCACTCAGGTCTTTTTCATATTTCCGAACATCTCTCTGAATGCTCGAGTACAGTACTCCATATATATCATTGTATTTGCATTGTGCGAGCTGTAAATGGAACGGCCAAGATAAAAGCAAATGACGGAAAATGAAATCTTTCCCAAGCTGGAGGAAAGAAATGACGTTTTGGAAATCTCCATGAGCCCGACGCCTCGGATTTGCTTACAGACTATCCAAGTAACCCCTGCTTTATTGGTCCTTCAGGCTTCTAGAAGTTTGGCAGGGCTTCTTTTCCGCCCTTGCTCCTCGTGGTAAAATGACATATCAAACAGGTTTCATAACTCCATCCCTCCCTTCCACCATATCGGAGATGAGTCGAGTCTTTCGCTCATCCACATTTACCTTTCTATGAATCTTCTCTCTCAAGTGATCTCCTGAAGGAGGCGCCGTCACACGCGTCAATGTAAACAATAAACGCACCAATTATGTTTCGGTCAATTTGGCACTGCAAGTCGCCGCTTTAATTCAAGTGCAGGAACTGTACAATGCTGTGAAGTACTTCGACCTGCATATATATGATGCAGGCGTGCATATCGATAAGCGTGCAGCAACTTCTCCATGGGGAAAGTCATCACACTACTCGTTTGACAAAATGAACACATTCATCAACCACATTGTCCATACGGGGAACGTTCACTGAATGTCCGACATGGCAATCTGGACTTCTCAGCGTTACATGGATATCTTGAGTCATGTACGTATATATCATGATTTAAGAAAATGGCAGTGCCAAAGCACCTGCAGGGACCGTTATCTGCCAGTATACCTAGTGGTAGAGGATATCAGGCTAATTGCATTGCATGAAGGTGAGAGCAGGAAAATTATTAGCATGGAGGATTGAGCTGTGTAGTAGATCCAGGGAGATTTACCGCCAATGGTTTGTTATCGAATATATATCCACCTTCCAGAGCAATGGTGGTCTCTTGCTTCAAGTTCGTTTGCTTTAAATGTGCATATCTTCTTCAAATTTTCCAACCCTTGCTTCATCATTTAGCTGCTTCATCAATTTTATTCTTCTGGCCCTACTTATCTACCTTTCTACTCATCTACGTACTTATAAAGCCTTCCAAATACTTTGATCCCTTATTCACAAATCGTCACCAGCGGGACGTTGAACTCTAAATCCAGTTATATCACGCCGTGGTAGCACAATTGAAATTAAAATTTAAGTCTACACACTCGTGTGAACACTCGTACGAACCTCCAACTTGTGTGAACTCAATTATATGCTGTCACACCTCGTACAAGCGCTATTACATTAATGGCCTCAAGGGGCTTGCATGGGCAAGCACTACGTCGTGAGTGTTTTACTTCTGGGCTTGGTTCCAAGTTTAGTTGTGAAGTTAGTGGGTGACACGGCTGAGTGGTAAGCTGAATCAGTATCTATTGATATTGTTTGGATAGACGTGGGCAATAGGGATTGGGTGTAACTTGGAAAGATAGGTGGCAGGCCATAGAAGCTGTATCAAAAAGTTTTGTTGCACATCTACAACTCCTGGCAGTATCTTGGTGCACTTGTTTCCTGTGAGACCAGGTGGTTTTTGCACATCTGTAATTTTGCGTTTCATTTAATTTGACTTTGTGATTTTTCTGTCAAGTTTCAACAAATCACTATATCAGACCTCGATGCATACTTTGAGCGAAGTGCTTTTTTACGCATGTTTGGGGTAAAAAGTCTGAATTGTGTAACCATCCAATTTTTGAGTTTCAACTTTTGACAATTAGTGGCCTACCGAGAAGTATTGTTCCACAAGCACGTCTCTAATTCGAAGTTTGAATCTGAATTAGATTTAATGACTTGTTGACCTACAATGGGAATTAAGAAAACTTCAGTTTTGGGGTGTCCCCCTTCGATATTCCAGAATCTACCTGGACTGCGGCAGATTCTGGTGATGCCTTTCTTCGCGTCGATAGGTTAAGACTTTGTGTATTGCATGATTCGAGTTGAAAGCTAAGAAGAACACAATGAGAGATCAAAAATAACGGGTCATAGTAAATCCATTGCTAGCCCTCGCAGTTTCATCCTCTAGTCTAGTTTAGACAAAACAACAAGACGAGAGTTTATCTCCGTACCGTTTCAATTAAATCGTTTTGGGCCACGCTTTTCCATGTGTATGTGACTAGGTTGCTTCTTGATTTCTCAGTAGATTGATTGGATTAGTTGGCCTACGGAAGATGAATCTACAGGGTGGATTATCATTAAAGACTGAAACATTTCAACAGTAATGACATGAAGTGTGACCTTTGGAAAATTGGCGCCTTTATCTATGGAACAACCAGTGGCTGTAAAGCCGGCAAGATCTTTCTTAAAAATAGGAGCTGCGATTTTGATTTTAGGCTGTATCTTCACGAGTGGATGTAGGAATCTCTGCGCTATTTTGATACAGAAAATCGATGATGGACTCATGGGGACGATATCAAGTTCTACAATTTGGACGAAATGGATGAAGATGAATTGTTGACAAGGTAGTTCTAGTTCCTGGTGCATCGAATAGGGACTTTTTGATGTGCTGATTGCTGCTGGAAGTTGTGCTTCTCGTTGAGAATTCCAAAAACATGGCTATAATAACAATAGAGATGAATGGCATTGGTTCGCCCAACATCAAATGACCCGGTAGAGTGTAGATTCGGGTTACCAGAAATTTTAACGAGATGTAAGGTCAAGTCTCACCACGCGTCCAAAATGGAGGGTATGTGAAGAGTATTTGGCCAATAGAGACAATCAAGGATAGAGTTTGGAATGGAGTTCAGATTAGCCATCGTTGTAATTCTTTATCATTAGTGCGGTGATCCATTGGTAAAGAATATATGATTAGCCAAAACTACAGGCCAGGTAGGAAATATGAACGAAACAACACGAATGCATCATGGTGAGTTTTTGTATATATTTCTGATATGCTTTGATTAGTGGCCGAGGCAAATCAGTAGGGGTGAACAAGTCTTGATTAGAAATTTCAAGCACCAATTCGAAAGAGTTTTCCCTATAACTCTCCTTGAAACTTTTGGAAAATTGGACCGGTTTCTGAGTAACTGATATGTACTGGATTCTAATGGAAAAACCTCTGGCTGTTGCGGACAACAATATCTCAACACCACCAGCTGCAATTCTTCCACCCAAATCAAAAGCCGCGGCTCCAGCTATAACCCCCGCATCTGTAATTATATCTCTTCTTTTGACCTTTCATTCAAATCTAATGACGCGATAGAAACCAGCTGCAGCCAGCAAACGCAAAGCTTCTGAGATTGAAGAACCACAAACTTTACAGAAATTGATAGCGATGATGAAAGACTTCAAATGGTCGATCAAAATTGTGATCAAGTCCGTCGCAAAATTTGTAGTTTCCTCGAGACCGGTGAGATGAAAGTCACAGAGTTCCAAGAGAAAATCGGTGCCAACAGCAAAAGCTATGGTTCTTTCATGGGTCAAAATGGGAAATTCAAAGGGATAAGAGCAATGTTTACTTCAACGCGTTTGCTTTCTTCAAAAAGAGAGAGTAAGTCACACAAATGCGTGACACCAGCAGCCATCAGCCTTTTAACTAATATGTAATAGGCTACAGGGTATAAAACCTCAAAAGAAGGCAAAAGTCAGTAAAGCCGAAGAAGCGAAGAAGTTCGATGTCTCCGCCATCAAGCTCGATGGAGAATCTACCACTTCTGTCCCTGTCCACGACAGCTGCGATGAAATCCGTAAGAAGATATCAGCCTACCTTCGTGAGCCTGGTTTCACCCAAGCTGCTTTTCTCCGAGAGATCGCAAAGACCTATCCTGAGGAAAAGAAAATCCAATCCAAGGTCTTGAATGATTTCTTGAGCAAGAAGGGTGCAACCGCTGGCAATACTAGTTCCGCGTACTATGCTTCGTATGTTTTCTTTGAGAAAATTCGCCTTGGAGATGGAAAGCCAAAGAGTAAGCATAGAGAGGAAATGGAAAAGCAGTGGGCAAGCGAAGGTAGTGTCGATACGAAGACCTCAAGTTCTCGACCCTATTTTTGCCATTGTCAGTGAAAGATCTTTTGAGGACAAGTATGGTAAAGTTTCGTTCTATAAAGTCTAGGACTCTCAGCGGCGTGGTGATTTTTGTACTAGTTTGGAGTTGGAGGATTACGCTGGCTTTCTCGATGTCTGTACTTTTCGGGCGTTTAGCTTAGCTTCATTTTCGGACTTGTTGGTGCCTGCCTGAATTTGTACCACCGATTTCTCATTCTGACATTAATGAAAGGATATCGCATTAATACTGGATAGTACAACACTTCGATTGAATTGAGTGATTTTACTTCCTGCTTTTTAAATTGAAGGATTATCTTAAAGCTTTATTTGAGATACATACCCGGAAAGCCGTTGAGTATTGAGAGTATGCCTCATGGGATTGGCGTAGCTGAACGATACCAATCATGTATAATGCGTGGATTGGTGGGCCGTTCCGTGTGCAGAGTGGCTTGCAACCACCTCTTGTATGTCTTAGAGCATACGAATGACAATAAGCACAACAATAGTTCCGTCTCTTACAGGGGGAGGTATTTTTATTTCACGTTTCTATTCTATATTCCGTTATTTTCCTCCTCAAATACGATAGATACCGATCGAAGCAAGTAACCCATCATGTTGTGGATCAGAAATTCTTCACTTCGCTCCTCATTATCTCAGGTTATTCTAGGATACCTGATTACATCTTGTCACGCTATTGTCCTTGCTTACGATTTCGTGATAATCGGCGGTGGCACCTCTGGTCTCGTGATAGCCAATCGTCTATCCGAAATCCCAAACATAACTGTCGCGGTAATTGAAGCCGGCTTTTCAGTTCTCAACAACACAAATGTTAGTCGAGTTGATGGATTTACACTAAGCCTTAATACACTGATCGACTGGCAATATGAGACCATCAATCAGACCTATGCTGGTGGTAGAACGGTCAAATATAATGCTGGGAAAGCATTAGGTGGAACTAGTACGATTAATGGTGAGTATCGTAATAATGAACGATATCTGAGAGGTTGGACTAAAGTAATCTTACATAGGAATGACATATGTGCGCGCTCCATCGCAACAAATTGATTCATGGGGAGAACTCGGACTTGGAAATACTGGATGGAATTGGTCGACTCTCTATCCGTACTATAAGAAAAGTGAGAGTTTTACAATTCCCACTCGTTCTCAAAGAGCGGCTGGTGCATCATATATTCCTGCATTTCATGGAGATAACGGACCTCTTAAGGTGGGATATGCGTATGATCTCAATAATGGTTCTCTTTCCTCTCAAGTAGGAAGTGCGTGGGAGATGCTGGGAGTACAGCGGAATCAGGATATAAATGGTGGAAATGTGACTGGATACATGGTGGGACCATCTACGGTAGATCGAGAAAAGAATGTAAGAGAAGATGCTGCGAGGGTTTATTATTATCCTATACAGGGTAGGTCGAATTTGCATGTGTTTTTGAATACTACTGCCAGAAGAATTGTTTGGGGTAGTAACTTGGGAGCAACTTACACGGCGAGTGGTGTAGAGGTTTTGGATTCGGATGGGGAGATTGAGGTTATTAATGCGACGAGGGAGGTTATTGTTTCTGCTGGGAGTTTGAGATCGCCAGCTATTCTGGAACTTTCTGGTATTGGGAACCCGAAGTAAGTCCTCAAAATCATGGCAAGTGTGCTATACACAGTTAACAAGCTCAGAATCCTGCAAAAATATGGTATACCGATCAAGATCATCCTTCCTGGTGTAGGAGAGAACTTTCAAGACCAACCCAACAACTTATTCGTCTATCAGGGTAATACCACATACAACGGAACAGTACCATATGTGACTTACGCTCCACTATCTTCAATTCTCCCTAGTGTACCAGCAGCTAATATAAGCACTTGGGCATCGACAATTTCCGCTGCAATCAATAGCTCCATTTCCCCTGGAGCCATGAATTATCTATTGACTATACAGAATAATCTCATCAATCATAACGTTCCAGATATTGAGGTCATCTTCGGGAACACGGTAACCATTGGATCCGGACCAAGTGTTTATCTGTACACAGCGTTTTGGGTACTCTTACCATTTTCTCGCGGCAACGTCCATGTTTCTTCCTCGGATCCTGCTGCGTATCCAACCATCAACCCTAATTTCTTTCTCGTAGACTTCGATCTCCAAGTCCAAGTAGCAATAGCAAAATGGACCAGGAAATTATGGGCTACCAGACCGATAGGAAAAGCGTTCACCGAAATATCGCCAGGATATGATATCCTGCCAAAGAATGCTACGGATGCACAATGGGAAACCTGGATCAAATCAACGTGTAAGCGATCTTTTCCCATCTTTCTAGGTTCTAGGCTGTCCATTCCCGAAGGTTAAATTCATTCAATAATAATACATATATAGTTGGACCCAACAATCACCCAGTGGGTACGTGCTCTATGCAGGGGAGAACATCTGGTGGAGTGGTGGATTCCAATTTGAAGGTGTATTTCACCAGTAATGTGAGGGTAGTTGATGCATCCGTTTTGCCTTTCCAGGTTAGTGGACATTTGACGAGTACATTGTATGCGGTTGCGGAGAAGGCAAGTGATATTATCAAAAGTATGTATGGGTTTGCATGAGGAAGTATAGTGTGGGAATTTAACATGATGATATCGAGGTGATGGGGTGGACAAATGATTGAGCCGTAGTTCTTATTCATTCGGGATTCCGGTACGGAACGAAAAAATGACATCAAGATAAAGATCAAGGGTTGTTCAGCCTCCCAAGCGTAAAAATCGATTTATCCTTTTTGATATATGACAGACTATAGCCATTGGTCAGTTCGTGGACCTCTAACCTCGATCTTTCTCCCCTAGCAATCAGGCTGTTTATACTGCACTTCAATAACTAACCAATCCATCAGCTCAAACAAAGACTTCACTCAGTGTACCTGCCTGATATGGATGTGACGAGTTACTCAACTAATCCCCAAGTAAACAACCTTACAGCCAACATCAATATTTAGCAACTCATCCAACAAGTCCCAGACTAATTCCGGTGAAGCTTCCGATGAAAAAATGGACCAAATTTGTAAATAATTCCCGTTGGACCCCGTACGTGCACATCCTTGATATCATATCCTTGTGGAAATTAAACATCGGCTTGTTTGGCGGTTAATTTTCTTTTTTTCTTTTGTCCTTTTTCCTTTTCCTCCGGTTTCCATTGTGATTCATTGATTCATTGATTCATTGATTTCATTGATTTCATTGATTTCATTGATTTCATTGATTTCATTGTCCTGAGGGAGGGTCTAAGGGGAAACAAACCATTGACCAATGATTGGTAAATTTGAGATATAAATAATGATGATATCCTTGTCTACCAACGGTTGTCCTCCATTACAATATATTGAAATTGCCTAATTCGAAAAATACGGGTCGTATATTTCTTGTTTCTGTTTGTTTCCTGCCGTTTGTTGGAGAGATGGATTGTGGATGAATTGTGGATTGTAGATAGATTATAGATAGAATTTTAACAAAGCTTCTATGAGGTTGTGATTTCTGTGAACCGTTTGTTGGGTTTATTGGTGTGCCCTGAGGTTGATTACCCTGAGGTTACCCTGATAAGTTTTCCTTACATTGATTGAAACATTCATATGTTGATATTGATACATTAATAATTACCGCTAATGCACCAGTGCAGCAGTGCAGCAGTAAAAAGATCCATGGTGTTGATACCGATATGATTGCTATACTATTGATACCACAGTCTCCCGTAGCATAGAATGAACCGATTGGATGGATTGGGACCAGAGTATCGGATAACTGCACAGAATGACCAGGCTAATTACTGCAATCTTTTTTATTTTAGGGTACTTTTACTCCTTATACTCTGCACCTTAGCAGCCAGGGCAATAAGCCAGGGGATTAGATCTACAAACCCCACTACAACTTTTATCAATCTACTGTAACAACCCTACCAAGGTGATGATCAAGCAGCCTTATGTCGCTCAGAACCGAGAAACGAAAGTCTATGTATGTACTCTAATACTCTAATACATACTCCGTAATGCCGTAATACCGTAACCTTATACTTGTTATACTTGTTATACTTATTATACTTATTATACTTCCTATACTTAATCTACTTCACACAATGCAGTCATTCATTATACTCTCACATCGTATCATCTTCTACTTTCAAACCCCCAATGCCCAACCTATTAATTAATATACGGTATATAGCTAATATCCAAATAACTTTACTACTCTCCTCACACATAAACTTTTTAGACTCATCCAACATCGATCATCACCATTTTAACTGTGCCTCGTGCTATAAACCCCAGGTAATTCTTGGCATTAGTGTGATGTGACTGACTTATTAAACATCAGGGGTTTGAGGTTACTAGGAAATTACACCAACATTGTGCCAACAACTTTGCAGCCTTCTTGCATATTACTTGTCCTACCAAAATTGCTTTGATCTAGATAAGGTTAAGCTGGATCAGATTATCGTGCTAATCGATGATATACAAAAGCTCCAACTTATTCCACAACTTTTCCTTCTTTCGTTAGATATTTTTCTCCATTCAAGAATTACCTCTCTTCAGGTTTTATCTACCTACCACGCTCTTTAAGCAAATACTGGCTCTGCCAACTTACACTCTTTTCAATACCTTCTTAATCTTCTAAATTCATAATGTTCTCCAAAATCTTTTCCCTCACCACTTTGGTGGCCGCTGCCTCTGCCTACACGGTTTTGACTCCAACCCTCAACTCTACCGTCCCAAAGGGTCAAGCCACTAGTGTTACTTGGTCTTCCGTCGACACAGATGCATCTACATTCTCCATCTACCTCGTCAACTTCAAAGATTGGCCACCTACCGTCATATCCCTCGCTCAGAATGTTCCACAATCCGAGTCGAGCGTCGATGTTACCATTCCCTGTGATGTAAGCAGTGATTACGGATGGCAAATCAATTTCATCAACGGAACCAACACCTACGTGATCTACGCTCAATCTAACAAATTCTCTCTCTCGGGATCATGCGTTGATCCAACCACCTCTTCCTACGTCTCCGTCACCACAACCACTGCCTATGCAACCAAAAACTCAACCGTTACTGCTTACAATAACTTTACCGCGACTGCTTACCCTGCCACTGCCACCACAACCGCCATTTCCAAAGTTATCGAAACTGTAACTTTCACAAGCCCAATGGTTTGGTTCGTTCAACCTACTTCTACTGGCGCTATGTGTGCACCACAAAAGACGAATACTGTTACATACTACGCTAATGGTCCAACTCCAACTGTTACTGTCTACGCTAGTCAACCAACCTCAACCTCAACCGTTACTGTCTACGCTAGTGGATCTGTTCCAGGTTCTTCATCTGGTTCTGGTTCTGGTTCTTCAACTCCGGGTTCTTCGTCTGGTTCAGGTTCTAGTTTATCAACTCCAGGCTCTTCGTCTGGTTCATCTACTCCAGGCTCTTCATCTGGCTCATCAACCCCAGGCTCTTCGTCTGGTTCGGGTTCTAGCTCGTCGACCCCAGGTTCCTCATCTGGCTCATCAACCCCAGGCTCTTCGTCTGGTTCGGGCTCTAGCTCGTCGACCCCAGGTTCTTCATCTGGTTCATCAACCCCAGGCTCTTCTTCTGGTTCGGGCTCTAGCTCGTCGACCCCAGGTTCTTCATCTGGTTCATCTACTCCAGGTTCTTCATCTGGCTCATCAACCCCAGGTTCTTCATCTGGCTCATCAACCCCAGGTTCTTCATCTGGCTCATCGACTCCAGGTTCTAGTTCGTCAACTCCAGGTTCTAGTTCGTCAACTCCAGGTTCTAGTTCGTCAACTCCAGGTTCTAGTTCGTCAACTCCAGGTTCTAGTTCGTCAACCCCAGGCTCTTCGTCTGGTTCGGGTTCTAGCTCCTCGACTCCAGGTTCCTCATCTGGCTCTGGTTCATCTACTCCAAATTCCTCATCTGGTTCATCAACCCCAGGCTCTTCATCTGGTTCATCTACTCCAGGCTCTTCATCCAGCTCCGGTTCTTCTTCATCTGTCCCAGGTACTTCCTCTGGTTCAGGTTCTAGCTCATCTGTTCCAGGTACTTCATCTGGTTCAGGCTCAAGCTCGTCCGTCCCCGGTTCTTCATCCGGCTCAGGTACCCCTTCAACAGGAACTTACAGCGGTAACTCTACCAACCCTGCCTCACCATCCGGTACCGGTGCAACCTCAACAAGTACATCTACCCTCCCTGTCTTCACTGGTGCTGCCACCTCAGTTCAAGCAGGCAATATGCTCGTACTTATTGCTGGTGCCGCTGCATTCTTGTTGTAAGTTTAGATTTTAAATTTTGTGTTTTGAGAGATGGGGTGGATTGGGGTGTAAGAGATGGATAGGATGGGATAGTAAGTGGTTGAATTCGCATCGGCGATAACTGGAAGGAGAGGAAAGGAGAGAAAAATATTATTATCATCGGATAAATCTGATCTTCATGTACAAATAGATAACCTTATACACATGCATTTCCACACAGACAAATAAACAGTCAAGCAGACAGATATATACCTCAATAGACCAAAAATTGAGAATTGACAATAAAACGATAATCAAACAATACCTGGTGTACCTACCCACCTAACATGAACATTATCCCATGCATCCCAGCAAAAAACCTACACTACCTACCATTCCATGATCCATCCCGAACTTCCTTCCCATATTGATAGAACGAAGCAGACTATCTATCTATTTATCTCACACCACACCACACCACACACACTACAGCACGAATCCTAATCAAGTCAAGTCAAATCAATTCATAGATTAATATTTAATTAGAATTTGTAATACTATTTAGATAAATGATAATTATAGAATATAAATAGTAAAGCTGATCTACCTACCTCTCCTAACGATTCGATTCAATTCATTAATAGGTTAGGTAGGTATCAATACGTCTTATTTATCTATCTATCTATCTATCTATCAATTAAGTTTATTCTCACCACCAACTTTTTAAAGTAATTCCACGTATCTCTTTTTATCCATCTAAATTTCAAAAACTCCTATACAATCCAAGAATCCAAGAATCCAGAATAATCATTAAATATCCCAACTATCCCAACTATTCCACTCTCCATTCTAATCTAATCTACTCAAATCCAATATCCACGAGCCAAGAACACATCTTTGTATATTGATACTAATCAGCAAATAAATTTTCCACAATTTCATCCACTATCTAGGGATCGTCATTATGCCGCAAAACTTGATGCTTAAGGTTAACCTTAAGGACTCTTTGACTCTTGAAGCTATGACAAAAATTCACGTTGCACAGACAGGTAGGATGTATATCAGTCCGATCATTTCGTCATTTCGTCATTGAATTCATAATAGGGTAGGCTTATCATATGGCAATATCTACCCAGGGGTAGCCTATAGCCTATTCGTTATCTCAAGCCAAGGAAAAAGAAAAAGAAAAAGAACAGATATCCGTCCCCCCAAAAATCGTTAACCATAATATTTGCATAAATCCCTTAATACCCAAACCCATATCCATATTCATAGCCTGTCACCGTTAAACCAAAAACTCCATCCATTCCTCTCATATCGCCCAGCCTTCACAGTTCACACTTCATACATCCCAGTCCCCAAACCATAAAAAACTCGAACCCTCACGCTACCCATCTCGATCCCCTAATGACTCGTCTAGCTCCAACTGTAACCGCCGCTACAAGAGCATCCAATGCTGAGCTCTGTGTACTTGCGTCTGCCGGTGAGATGAATGGCCCTGCCCAATTAACACCAAGTGAATTAGTAGACGGATCTCTATCGTTTGCCCAAATACTCTTTGCATTATTTGCGATAAATGTAAAGTAACTTGAGTCGGGTGATGCTTGGTGGAGCCTCTGGAGGTTCCTCACGAATACTCCTTTGAATTGTGCGCCATCTGCTCCGCAATTAGGTTCGCATGGGTCGTGAAGAATTCCATTTGAGTCTGATAATGCTTTGATCGCTGCTGAGGCAATGCTTTTCGCCTTGTTAATGTAGCTTGGGTCATCTGTCGCCCTAGAAAGTTCGACGAGTCCTCCTAGTATAACCCCTTGATTATAACTCCAAACAGTTCCTCCATTGTTTCGACAGTCACTCGTCAACCCATCATTAATTGTTCCTTGCGTATTGATCATTCCCGTCCCTTGGAACCAGCCCCATTGATCTTTTGCGATGGTCAAATAACTTGCTCTATTTGATGCACGATTTGCAAGATGAGCAGCTACGCTCAAATAAAGTTCGTTTGCAATGGCGTTGACATATGTGTTTGGCTTGTCCCACCAAATACCCGAGACACCATTTGAGCAAGGTGTGTTACTGCCCTTTTTCATGTCGGCGAAAATAGACTCGGCCATTGATAGATAGTCCCTATTTCCAGTGATATCGTATGCTTGGATCCAGGCTAGAGCCCACCAACCTTCATCATCGTAATAATCATTCAAAAATCCTTTGAATTGTCTGGGGCTCAGACTAGCTCTTGCACGTACGGGAATATAGTTCACTAGCACATCGTCCGTGGCGTTGGTAGAATCGCCATACAAACAAACATAACTGAAGTCTGGCAATACCGCTTTGGTCATTTTTACGTTATTCGTTTGAGCCCGGGTAAAAGTATTCGACATAACACCAGTGATGTTTGACCTGACATTCGGATCGACTGCGGCCAGATCCCCCAGGACGGTTAGACAATTCGCAGCATTCCACCATCCCGTTGTGGTCCAGAGACCAGAAGCGGTGTTGTACCAAGTTTGCAATTGCCTGAAAGCAGCTTCAGCATTGGCAGTAGATTGTTGTGAGGTAGCTATGTCAGCTAAGCTGAGCACATAGCATAGAAAGACAAGCGAGCGACGCATTTTGAGAGTGATGAGGAAAAGTATGAGGGTAGGAGCCCAATTCTACTTGAGAAAATAGACTTATCTGGCACTTTTAATAAGACTTGGGGAGAGGAACTCGGCCTTTCGGCACAAATTGGGTTCTCAAATCAATTGAAATGGGTCAGCGCGCATGGGAGGCGTGGGCCGAGCAGCTGGTATTATTTCCATGACCAAGCAATATTCAATAGCATGCGTGATGTGTTATTGATACCTCCCAATATCATATTGACCAGTTAGTTAGTTTTGAACAGACATTTGGTGAGGGGTTTTCGTCCACCCTCACAAAACGCCGCAAAAGGTGGCACAATAGGAACCACTTGACATGTGGGCTCGACTGCCAAGATTCGATGCAACCTATGCTTTGGGCGACCTACCTATCAAAGCTATTGCTTGCAGGTCGAAGCTATCATTTACTTACCGAGGCATCGAACAAGATATCCCAAATACTAAATGATTCAAGGTGCAAAAAGCACTCACTGAATTGTGATGACGAATGAACTATGTCATATTGAAGTCACGTAGGAATACCTCAATAATTCACCTCTACCTCTTTTTGGTATTTGCACCATGTGACGCAGGGCGAGTCAAATGTGGAGAAAAAGTATTGATAGTATACCTTGATGCTAGTCTGCTGACTCGAACCATTAAGTCTGTACCTAAGCCACTTGACTCCGGAGGTGCAATTGTTGCCCGCAAGTTAACAATAGAAACTCGGCACTTGAAGCCACGAATCAAGTCATAATTCCAAATCCTGATCAAAGATCAGATAAAGTTCTCGCATCTTTTCGAAATTGAAACATCTCTTCCCGTACTTCTGGCCCGAGCCGGATCCACTAGTTCTAGGTCTCCTCGATTATTGACTCGTGCCAAGAGCATCTGACACTAGACAAGATAGAACTAGAATGTCACATTGAAAAATCAGTCTTACTTAATCAGATTGATCTACTAGATTCGGTCAACTGAACAAAGAAAGACTTCTCTCCGTCAACCTGTATGTGAGCTTTTCTACGTAAATTGTTATTTTGGCTCGCTATCATTCTTGCCTCTCCGATCGCAAAAACCAATTAGCAGATGCCACGAGAGGATGTTGATTAATCGTATGTTTCATCTCATAGTCCTACGGACATCTCCAACAGTTTGATACTCTCCCAAGTCGTTGTGAGGCGGTAGACCATCAAAGTACTATTGTCACCTTGGTCTGTGCAATATTCTCGAATGGGAAAATCTGATTGGTTAATATTCCTTACTGAACGTACGCGACAAATCTCAGCATGAAACTTAGGAGACTTTCTCAGATCCAGCCGAAATATACGGATTTCGGAAATGGAAAAGGAATACCTAGGAACAGGTCGTTCGATGCTTGGCATGGATCAAACAGATGGAATGAGAATATTGCCACAACTGCAATTGTCGTGACATAATCTTTTCCACTAATTGGGGAACATGGCTTCCGTTCATCTCCTTGGCAGGTATTCTCGCATGGCTTGTCTTCTAGCTGATTGTTGTCCGAGGTGACCATATGAAGATGCATACTAGTATGCACTTAATATCATTTCTGTCATCCCTATTGAGAACATTCGTCCCGTCGTTACGCCGGCCGTACATATGCTATGCCATTTGATGTTTTTTTTGTTATTCACGGTGTTGGAAATAGTCCGGCCTGTGTGGTTGACTGCGGACAACCCCAGTTGGATGATTTGAGCCAAATGTTGAAATACTGAAAATTCAGTATCACATCCTACACTTTCGTCCATGGGTAGTTTGTCTATTCAGACCTCGAAAACAATAGCTTCCTCTCCTCTTTTCGCCCTCCAAGCATTTGTTGAAGCCAATAAATCCTCACACCCTTTGACTGTCCATCCCCAATTCCTCAAGAATGTCTCGCTGACCTCCCATCCCCATATGTCCCACGGTTCACCCCAAACAATAAGGCCCGTTTGTTCGTTCATGAGGCCTCCAAACTCGAGCAGATCATTGCACAATTTGTCTTCGTCATAATTTCCATCATGCAGCAATAAAGTATCACGCATTTGTGGGATTGGCCAAAGATCTATCCATGGATGATGCGGAATTGTGCGCTGAGTCGGTGTTGGACATAATGCTTGAGGACAATGAGCTCCTGGGATAGGTTGTGAGGAAAGATTAAGCCATGGTGATAGAGGGTCAACCGTGCAGTCCAGCCAGTCCAGATTCCAACCCATTGTTTGTGTGTTTTGCATCAATGCTCGGAGAACATTGAATTGAATAAGGGTGAGAAGTTGATCTGATCGCGGAGAGCCCATGTAATAATTTTTACGAGCTTCTTCTTCAAATTCGGCCATCGTAAAGCGGAGTTGAGCAAAGCCTTGTCGTCCCGAGATACGACCTGTCGTCCATCGTTTTACGTTTAAACCTGCTGATGAACTGTATGCGGTGATGTTGGGTAATGTGAAATGACTGAGATGATTCTGGTTAGGGTTTGTTATCGATAATGGCTCTGTAGCACATGTATTGATGGAATTTGTGATGACTGAACGTCCTTGGGGGGTTCCATTCATGGATTGGTTAGCGGAATCCGCAAGATATTTCGATGCGGCTCGATGTCTTTGGCCTGGCAGGAGACACAAAGTGAACGAGTTAGCGACTGTCACTCTAGTATATCTTCACACTGACCATACGCAGCGATAGAACTCACGGTATATCCTCTGGTTCAAACGGTTTTGTAACTTCCTTCTCGTTGCTGAATCAACTGTTCCAGTCCAATCATCGTCTGCACATCTCACTGCAGTCTGTTGAGGCATACGTGTGAGCTCGACTTTGGGTTCCATGTTCGCTTTCCTGTTCTGTAAATCAGTGATTCAGTTCTTGGTGATGATCCGCGTCTCGGCCGAAGAGGAATGATTAGTATCGGGTGAGAGGTCAAGATCAATCGACCTTTCGGGTTTTAAACATTCGATTTGGTAAGATCTTAAGCACTGTGAAAGAGAAACGTCTGCCATGTTGGAAACAAATAGCCCGTGAGCCTGTGGGCCTGTGGAGTTTGAGGGTCTAAGCGTCAACTCGGCTATGGAACAAAACGCAGGTGCAGGCTTGTGGATTTAAGAGGATTAAAAGGATCGAGCCTCATTGAGGGGTCCAAAGTTTCGGGGATAGGCCGAAAGATCCACGAATGCAGGCTGAGGTCAAGTTTGTGGGCCTTTCTTCGGCCTAGAGTTAGCGCTTGGGGCTACGTCAGTTAATGCTTTAGGCCCTCGACCAGTTAATAGCGCCTTAATAGTGGGGGGTTTTATGCGGGGTGCCCTAAACGAATACTCGAGTACCGATGTTGCATGGTAACATTGTAACATTATCAACTGCCCAAAACTGCTCAACAACATCAACATCAACATCAACGTCTATTACAAATGTACGGTAAATGAATTCAATCCTTGTCATCAATCATCATGCTATATGATGCAATGTGGCTCGTGAAGTTAGAAAGTTTAATTCTGTTTGTGTTTTCGGCCTTCTGATCCAATATGGATGCTCTGAGGTTTCTTAGATGGTATAAATACCTCTTCATCCCTCCCAATGATTTATCTATCATAGACATACGGTTAAGCACTTGTCAATATTTCAATCAGTCAAAGTTTTAATTACAACCACAAACTTTACGCTCAGACATCAAAATGCCACTACCAATCCCACCAGCACCAGCCGCGGAGTCTCCTCTCTTCCGTCATCGCCAACTTGCCCCGACAGCTAGTGTACGAGTCTCTCCAATCTGCCTTGGAGCCATGAATTTTGGCGATGCGCATAAAGCCAATTTGGGTGAATGCAACAAGGAAACTACATTTGAGATTCTCGATACTTTCAAGAGTCTAGGCGGTAACTTTATCGATACCGCCAACATATATCAAAATGGGGAATCGGAGACCTGGCTCGGAGACTGGATGAAGTCAAGAGACTCTAGAGATGAAATGGTCATTGCCACTAAATACTCCTCTCCTTATCAGCTGTATCATCCTGAGAAGATCCAATCAAACTTTGGAGGCAACGGAACGAAGTCCCTCAGAAACTCAATCGAAGCCTCACTCAAGAGACTCCAAACCGACTACATAGATCTCCTCTACATTCATTGGTGGGACTACACAACCACCATCCCGGAACTCATGCATTCGCTCAATGACCTTGTTTCATCCGGCAAAGTGAATTACCTAGGTGTGTCTGATACACCTGCTTGGGTTGTAACAAAAGCAAATCAATATGCTAGAGATCATGGCTTGCGTCAATTCGTCGTATACCAAGGCTTGTGGAATGCGGCTAAACGTGATTTCGAACGTGAGATTGTCCCCATGTGTAAAGATGAAGGTATGGGATTGGTTCCATGGGGCTCTCTTGGGCAAGGGCGTTTCCAAACCGAAGCTACCTTCAAGGAGCGGGAGAAGAACAACCCAGGTCGTCAAGGCAAGCCTTCCACTTTTGAGAAGCGAGCTTCCAAAGTATTGGAGAGTATCGCCGCCTCTAAGAACACCAATATCACCAGCGTTGCCATGGCATACATCATGCAAAAGGCTCCATATGTCTTTCCAATTGTTGGAGGTCGCAAGGTCGAGCATCTTAAGGGCAACGTCGAAGCTCTCAAGCTTGTTTTGACTGAAGAGGATGTTGCCAAGATTGACAGAGCAAATTATTTTGATCCAGGCTTTCCAAGTACCTTCTTGAGTGGTTCGCAGTTTGATGAGGATCTAGACACTGATCATGTGATCCCTGATGGTCCTAAGGATGTTTGGTTGACGCAATCTATGGGTACATTTGACTGGGTTGAGGGTCCTAAGGCTCTCAAGCCGGTTGAGAAGAATTAGGAGAAGCTCCAGTATTTTTCCGTATCTAATGTTGAAAGTTACAATCTTAAATATTCCATGAAGATTCACATTATTTGGATTTAGTGTGAATTCAAGGTTCCCTCATGAATTTTTGTTCCAAATGTTTTCAATATTTCAATTCCTTAAATGTGCCCAACATATCTGATTTGCTAGATCATCGACTATGACCAACAGATCTAAACTTCAAGTGAACTCAACGCATGAACATGCTCAATCTTCCATTTAATTTTAATATACACCAGCTTCATCTTTCAACAATTATATGAGTCACTTGTTGGACAATGCGTTAGTGTTCAAAAGCATGATAAATCTGGTCAGAAGGTTCAAGTCAAGCAATGGGTTGAAATCAAATTTCATAAGTCAAATCGGTCATAATAAATCTGCCTTGCCTCGAACATACATAACTGGGAAAAACCTTTTAGCTGAGTGCATATTGGTCCTCAAGTGACAGGATAAAAAACCCGCTTTGGCAGGAAGGCAGAATAAGGAAAAATATCCAAGTCTATAAACACGAGGAGTATACAAAGCAAGTTTCCTTCAAGACAAATAACACCCATCAGTCAATCCTCATCGGCCACTTTAAATAACCTTGTAAGCAAGTCCTTGCTGGTTTTCCACGCGTATGGTGTTATGGTGGCCGTCTGTAATAAGTCCAGGGACATGTATTGAGCAGGCAAGCGATACCTGCTCTACAAAACCATGGTTTGAGTTGGCACCCAAACGTAATCTCAATCGAACAATGTGGACATCTCGGCGAGGAATATTTGTATATGGAAATTGCCCCGTTCTTCGGCTTATCTGAGTTTTGTGATGGATAGCAAGGATTTGGCAATGGCGCCAAGTCGCAGGCCACATTCAATGACATATCAATTATCACGTATTGTCTGCCTTCATAAAACGTCATATCTGAGGACCCAAGCCCGTACTGCTTGAGCATCTCGAAGAACTCCAAATCCTTTCCATAGACCCGAGATAGGAGTGGAACATCGATCTTCCCCATATCTCATTTCTTTTTATTTTTATTTTTTTTATAGTGGTGGAAACTGTGTAATACTATGTCTTAGAATTTTCTCTCGTTGAATTGATCAAACTTCAGGTGCCTGAATGCTTTTCTATAAAATGTCTATGCCGGTTATCGAGGCGGGTGAACGTCTTTGAGCAGCCTGGATAGGTACATTCAAGCTTTGCATGATCCTCGTGTTTGTTTTTGGTGTGACGGCGTAAATCTTTGGAATAGGTGAAGCTTTTCTTGCAAGATGGTTCGCGACACTGATATGGCCTGCTGTGAGAGTTTGTGTGCTTTCTGCAATGAAGATTTTTAGCCCGAGTTTCGTTTCACATTTCAGGTAACATACTTTAAGTCACAAGCACGTGGAAAGTTCTTTGGGCAGTGATTGCACTTGTATTGAAAGCTGCGATCCTGGGGGCCTGCCAATAATGTTGATCTGCCAGAAGAGTTGCCAGGCTTTGTGGGTGGACGGACGGCGCTGATGGAAATGGAGTCACTCGGTGGAAGTGATTCTCTAGTTACAGGGGTTTGAAGGGGTAACAAGCAATCCTGATTTGACGATTGAGGCGCAGGAGATGCAGGTTCTGGAGTTGGCTGTATGCTGAAACTTGATCTAGGACTAGAGTTTCCTTGAACTGTGCTCGGTGAGAAGTGTAGTAACTTTGGAGGCGGAGGATGAGAAGAACTAGACCGCCTTTGTGTCGGAGTCCGCGCGATGTGAGGTGATGCCGTAAATGAAGAGAAAGAAGGTGAGGAAGAATCTGAAGACGTAATTGAGTCGTTATTAAGCTGTTCCACAGCGTCGGTTTCGAGTTTTTTTGGACGTCCAAAGGTTCCTTGGACGACGTAATGAGAATAGATCGTATCGATGTAAAAGTCGTTGTCTGATATACCCTGAATATCTCTTAAAGAGACATACGATCGGAGATCCTGTTGTAGAAAGCTTTCTAAACTATGGTCCCTGAGGTTTCTCGAGATTTCTGGTGCGCGAAGACAATATGTCCCCGCGCTCGCGAGATCTTAACTACTTAAGTAGCTTGAAAAGATAAGAAAACAACGAATTGTCAACTTATCCCGACTGGCCTAGAGAAGCGGCCGGCGGGGTTAAAAACTAAAAATAAGGTGATTGATTTCAACTGATTTGAGCTCTAGAAATAAAGGTATGTGTATGTATAACTTGTGGTGTTGATGAGAACCGAGAATGATGTTCTAATTTCATGAGAATTTATGTATTCTCGGGCAAGGCTGCAAAGACCGGATAGGCGCTGGTGGCCTCCCTTGGCTCTTCAGCCTCAGAACCTACCCCGAATTAACGGCCATCTCTTCCTCAGTAAGACTTTGAGGCCACCCATGTAATCTTCTTCTATTGGGTGGAAAATCTGCAATGCTACGTTTATTGATGACAGAACTAATGCCGGTTAAATTGAATCTTTTCCTAAAGGCGACATCTAGATATAAGTTTACACAATTGAACATCGTGTGCATTCAAGAAACAGCGGCCTCTAGATCTGATTACGTGAATTGATCGTTGCAACGAGAGTTTATCATCTATCCAATCGGAAAAAGATGGCGGGGGTAGGTTCAATCCCAGAGGCCACCAGTTCCTCATTCCTGTAGTTCAAATTGTGTACCGACGCCAATGAGATAATAATCTCTGTGGTTGTACCTTTCAGCCTCCGTCAGCACACCCCGCCCACCATTTTCATATTTATCCTCTTGCACATCGGCGCCTATATCTGCTCTTTGATCCACATCAAATTCCACAGCTATTGAATGAGCAGAAGTTTCCGCATTGCGGAATTCATGAGGAAGAACCGCAACATTATAATGTTGCTGGAGCCTCTCTGTGCCGAGTCTTTCCATCTTTCTACACATTTCATTTGCGCAAATGTCCTCAGCCTTCTGGTATCGAACATTCCATGATACACCATTTATCAATTGAACTTCATGAGTTTGAGGTTGATGAGCGACCCCGACAGTAGCATATCTAGGACAAGCCACTTGTGTGATATCTGCAATACTTTCGGTAATGCGAACCGCATTTTCCGCTACCTGGATAACGGAGCCTTGAAATTTGTCAAAAATTGGGTGTGGAAACAGCAGGAAACATACATACTGCTCAAAGTGCCAGGAGATGATCTGGATGATTTATTGTTTTCCTTGGAGCTACTGGTGGAGAGTATCAGTATCAAATGTGTCAATTGGTATTCAAAGGAGATATCACCTGTGAAGAGTTTCATATCTTGTAAAACGCGCAGGGCAGCTTTCGTTATCAGAACCCATATTGCAGCAGGCTTGTGAGAGTTGGACAGTAGTTGATTGGGATAAACGCGGAATCGAATTATAGTTATCGAAATCTAATGCATGCTTTACGAGTTAGAAAGGTATGAATACGACCTTTTAAGCATGCATCTAGAGGCCGCCATTATAAAAATTTTCTTAGGAAATTATGGTATTCTATGCATAATAATCGTCCGGTAGATATCTCGACCAAGCATTTTGGAGCTCGGTCTGGATTGGCATATACGCATACTTACTGCTTACATTTTTGCTGCCCTGGGCATGAGAGTGGCGGCCCAGAAAGTGGTGGTGAGGAGGCCACCATGGAGTACAGGTGGCTGACTTGATGTAAAGCCGAAACCTTGACACATCTAAGCATATTATCTGATATTTCAGCCTATACTGCGTATCTCTCTGCCAGTAAGTGCAGGGCATCATCGACGCATTTCATCTTACACCGATAAGCGTGTGCATATGACATTCAATCAACGGTACTTTCAAGATTTCAGTAGTGTGAATGGATTCAAACACATAGCTCTGAAATCTTTCGAGACACTGAATCTACATTGAATAATTAGTTCACTTGAAACACGGAGAAAAGAATGAGAAGTCAAGTGTGCCTTCCGAAAGTCTGCATAGAATGTTTGGTGAATGTACATACCTTATTCACTATGCACAAGCACATGCGCATGCCACCACTATTCAACTTGTATTAGAAAAGAGTCAGTCTTTGCAATGTCGTATCCGGGAAAAGAAGTGGATAGGGGATGATGATACAAAAGGTGAGAAGAATAAGAAAAAGGCGAAACTGACAGTTGGAAGCCGAGCAGATGGAGGGTCAAAATCGAATCAAAAGTAACCTTCATCTTCCATTTTCGCACTTCCTTGGTATTTGCCTTTACCTCCAACAACCTGGGAAGAAGAATCTTCTAGGATCCTGCCTTGAAATCGCTTACAGTATGAGGCGATTAGTGAATATAAACTGCTACTTCAATCTATACCGCCGAGGTGGCATTGAGATGACTTTAATTGAGCGTTCAGACGTTAGATGGTGATGCATTACTAAATATAACATACGGCTATCGTACTTGTACAAGCACCACTCGTCGTATACAGCTATCAACCCACAATATTGAGTAGCGCGTTAGGACCCGTACTACCACCTGCACTTAAAATTGTACAAGTTAACCTCACACAAGTTAGCGAGCACGTCCTACGGTCATCTCCATGCTAATGATTACAAATGACCGAGATATACAGCCAATTTTATGTAAGTCCTTATTTACGCTTCAACTTACGCAAATTACAGAACATACTTTAAGGCCATCCAAGGCCAGCTAGCTCTCACGCTGACAAACAAGCGAGATATTAGCCTTAGCTCTTGCTTACATACGGCCAAATATATGCCTTACGCGAATGAGCGAACACAGGATACTGCCGCAGTACAGCCAAATACAGCCATCTAACTCTCCTGACACAAGCAAACGAGACATCTGCCTTGATTTTTGCTTAGGAAGTTCCCCAGCGTAACTGTTCAACACATGCACGGCACACTTTGCGCAAATGATTAGTCACATACCGTAACATACGGTGCAAACTGGGGCCCTCATTATTTTTGTATATAAGGATCTCTTTCCCCCCAGCTCCTTCCAAATCTCCAAATACTCAACAACTTACTACCAATCCACAACTTGCAACTCAGAATAAGAATAATTCCATCCCCTTACATTCACGTAAAACATCTTCTTTTCATCCCAATATCACCACAAATCTATCAGCATGTCTGATTCAGGACAAAACATGAACATCCGCAATTTCGAACGTAGAAGAGATTCGCGTTCCAGATCACCTCAACGTCATCAATCACAGTCCTATCGATCACGATCACCAGTCAATAACCATCGTGGCACCATCGCTAGTAGCTCACACTTCGCAGAGCCAGCTCTACTACGGAAACTGCCAAGAGAGTTGCGCGACATGGTGTATGGACATCTGTTTGATTCGACCCGACTAACATTTGGATACCGACAAATCAATTTCCAATACCGCAAGGTCATACCATCACGCAGTGCGCTCGCAATTCTTCGCGTATGTCAGCAACTCTACGTAGAGGCTGGTGAGCTTTGGCTCAAACGGGTCTTGTTCGATTTCGAGGACACAATGACGCTTATGGATAAGTTCTCTCAGCTGCCGATGGTTAGCCTCAAACAAATTCGCAATGTCCGTATTCGTATGATGGGTGATGAGCCTAGTCCACCGGACAGCATCAATGATGAACATCAATGGCGCGGGCTACAGGTTTTGGAAGGCTTGCAACTGGACAGACTGACAGTGGTGCCATCATGGGGAACCAAGTACAATGGCTGTGAAGACATCAAACGATTCATGGTATCTAGTTTCCCGTGCAAGGAACTATTCTATTTCACCCCTACATCTGTTTTCCATGAAACCGACCAAACGACTTCGGCTGAGGCCTCCACGCTCCTTACTCAAAGAATCAACGACATGGCTAATGACCTAAAGTCTAGAGGTGAATTTGGTACTAGGCTCACAATGACAATTCTCCAGTCATCTAAGCCAGACAGCCACTATACGGGCACTTCCTTTAAGGACTCTGCAATCGAAGTACTTGCCGAGACGGCAATTTTGCCCGATCCTGCTCCCACCAAAATGATCGCATGTGGCAAATCTTTAAAGCCTAACGTCGAGACACTAGTCATCTTCAAGCCTGCTGCCACGACATCTACTTTACCAGATGCTTCCATCGAAGGAGTGTGGAAAACCGTTGATGACAAAAAGGTTCGAAAGACCTGGCGAGACGACTATAGGGATGAATACATTCGGGGCGCACAAGAACAATCACCCGACATGGAAAACATCACTACTGGAGAACTATTTCCATGGCCTTATGATATGCGAAAGGGATACACCATCATCGATCGGTATGACAATGTTGATGATATCATCTGGCCTGGAAAGAACCATGATCAGGCATGGGAAGGAGTCCTTGACAACTAAAGGTCTTCTTCACAACTAAGATTTCTTATCAACTGTTGAAGGATCTTCTCGACATGTAACGCTCAATTTGCAAAACTTCTCGGATTCTGCGCATTGGGGACTGCATGGAAGGATATGATGGTATTGATGGCGTTACGGGATATGATTGGGAATGGGATGGGGATTCTTTTGGATGGATATTACTGGATTAGAGAAATAACAGCACTGGAACATGTGATAGAAAAGGAATTGATTAATATTTTTTAAAGATTTAGGTGGCGGGTAGCTTTCTTCGGGAAGCATGGGATACTGGTCCGGGCATGACTATGGAAGGAAATATTACTGCCAAAACATGGCATGGCGGAGGAGTAGTTTGAGAAACTTCGATTTTAAGTAGTAGATAGATAGTTTTATTGAATGAACTCATTTCCACGATCTTGCTCTTATGATTGTAGTGCCTCATACTGAGACTCGTGAATTTTCATGATGATGAATTCGTGAAGATTGGACTTTTGAATTGTAGATTGTATACTGTGCACAGTAATTCCAAAATAATTGAAAAAGGTGCGACATGTGTCAGTTTCTTGCTCCGTGTTGTGATCCGATTGGACACTAACTTATTTACATAAATTCCTATGCAATATGTAAAGCATCTGGCTCAAGTACACTTTTCATCAAGAAATAGATCACAAAACTGGCTATCTCTCAAGATCTATAGTATTTTGCCGCAGAATGTATTGTCTTTCATACGATCTCGAATAGCTCATCATCTCTCAAAAGTTCAATGGATAGACGACTTAGATTGATACCAAAACACCAAAACACTAGCAGGTGTCTATGAATAGTCTGGCGAGAACAATATACGAGTTTCTTGATACGTATCATGAAAGTATATTCTTGAACGCTGTCTCAACAAAGTAAAAAAAACAAACAAAAAAACTAACAGGGGAATACCGAAACATCCCGGCTTCAAATGCCCTCGGTTCCAGACTTTGAAGCGGGACATCACGCAGCTGCAGCAAGCCTCATCTGCATCCGGAAAAAGTAACGCGGAACGTCTTCTTCCAGCCAAACAATCGTGTTTGATTGAAAATTCAGATTTCCGCCAATGAAATTTATTCTTTTAGCTCGGAAGATTGGAAGTTATGGCTCCGAATTTCAAGTGCTGGGGCGTAATGGGAATGTGAAATGCAATAATTTTCAGTAGTACTCGGAGTAGAAGAGATATTCCCTAAATGATCAATATGGTTCCATACGACAGGTACAGTTTCTTCGTAGCAGCCTTCCGTCACGGTGAATATCTGCATGAAATAATACTTCCGACCTTGGCATTGATGCTGATATGACTCGGGGTCGCAAAATAATCCCTCCTGCCTTGCTTGATATCCCTTGATTCCTCCATTTGGTCAAATTTCATGGAAGGAGTTCTTCCTGACGATATGCAACAAAAGAAATCCTTCTCTCGAAACATGCATATATGATTTGCTGTTGCCTTGTCTCAATCATTACAGAGATCTTCCAAGATATTAAGCATCCTTCTTTGTAGCTCCACCAATTCATCCTCATCAATCATGGCCTTCTCCCCCTCCGTTGCGTTGGTTCCCGTTCCATTCGTTGCAATAGCTTTTCCGGTAATTCTAACCAACTCACTCTTCGTCCCAAAGAATGGCACTCCTAAATTCCTCAATTTTCCGTTCATCTCCCTAACCATTTGGGTCTGGGCTCTGTAAACTTTCATATCGAATGTTTCTAGCTCTTGTGCCAACTCCTCAGGGCTAGTGTTAGATGCTCCGCTTGATGTGGCTCCACCTACTGCTTTCCTGTATCAATGTCAATCAATTGCACTAGTCGAACTCAACCAAGGCAGTAAGGCGACTCACAGCACTTCTTCTAATTTTCTTTGCCCTTCTTTTCTAGCGCATTGCTTTTCTATAAGAGCTTCCCTTGATTTCCACCATTGCTCTTCGTGCTCATGTTGCACCTTGATCATCTACGTATGTGTAAGCTCATGTAAAATACCCCTACAACTAGTTATTGTAGAACGATCTAAGCTGTAAAGAACCTATGTGACCAACCTTCCGAATCTCTTGGAGTACATGATCGTGTTTAGCCACCGTCCTCATAACACACCGTAAGCCGGCGCTCCAGTCAATGATAGTAGCTGGATCAACGACCTTTGAGTTATTGACAACTTGAGACTGGCCAGGATACACCACTGGAGGGGTTACATATGGAGGCCATTGTTGTTGTTGTTGATGTTGGGTTGCTAAACCATGTGACTTGATCTCTGGTATTTGGGCTGAAGCTATTTGTGTAGAAGGTTGAGTTTGCTGTTGGCCCCTGGCTTGTTGTTGATCTCTAGCTTGTGTTAGACCTGCTAAGATCTTCATCACAGATGCTAGATCTGGGGTTTGGTTATCGGAAGACATCTCAGCGTCCTGATGAAGTGATATTTGTTTGTTGTCCCTTGAAAGCAAGGTGGAAGGAAACGATGAAGCTCGCAAACGACGCGACTTGTCTATCACCACACTTGTTTGCAATTATCCAAGCTCTAACCGTGAAGTCGAGCTCCTTTAGTTAACCAAAATTTCGAGGAAATGAATGAATTGGTCCGATATAAAATGTTATAAATGTTACAAAGAGCTCTCATTATCTTATCGTGGTAAGTCTTCCTGTTTGCCTTTACAATATTGCAGGGATGCGGAATGACCCGCCGCTAAGAAATTCCACTGGTCAATGACATCTCGAAAAAAAATCATTCTATATTGGAAGTTTTCTCAAAACCGTAAATTGAATACTACGAAACCACCAGAATACGATCCCTTTTGATTCCGACTTCCTCTACTTCATATCTCAAAGATGGCGCGCTCAGCAACAGATGCAACGAGATTTACATCGACCACTCCACACGCTGCTACAAAACCAAAGCCCGTATCGAGAAATCCAGGTCCACCGGGAGAAACACCACAACAAAGAGTCAAGAGGTTAAGAGCTGCGGCAGATAAAGCTAGAGATGCACAAATTTCGACCTTTGACAAGTTGATTATGAGGGGAAGAGTGTGGGCGGATAAGGCGCATAGGTTTACAGCTTTTAGTTTGATCGGACTTACTTGTATGGTTTCCCCGCACCCGCTTCTCATTCCAATCCACACTCCGATACTCGAAATCTTACTCTCGAGGATCTCGTAGCTTGAGAGCAGCACATTTGCTAATTCTGATGTTTGTAGTTATTGCCGGTGGCGTCACAGTTTATGCATTGGGAGATATGATGATATATAATCGCAAAAAACGCGCTGAGTTCTACGCCGAACAGAAATTTCAATATGCCATGGCTCTTGAGAGCGCACAAAAGGCCGCAGCATTTGGCACTGCAACAGAATCACAGCTAGAGTTTTTGGATAGAGAAAAGGAACGGGAAGAAAGGGTGAAAATCGCCGAAGAAGCCAAAAAGAAGTCAGGGCCATGGAAGAAGAGCAAGGAATGGCTATTTTCAGGCTTAAAGAAGGAGGAGGGAGGAGATAATGTGGGCACTAGTGAGAGAAGATTGGGATATGAGGCACTGAGTGAAGAGGATGATAGCCTTGGTGAGAGGGAGAGCGATGTTTTAAGGGCGATTGAAGGGAAGAAAATGGCAATACAAGATAAAGCGAAGTCCGTTTTTGAGGCGGAGAAGGAAAGACAAAGAAGAGGTGGCCCCCTGGATAGGATAGGGACTGAAGCGGAGGAGGAAAAGCCGAAATCTGGTGGTTGGACATCATTCATGATAAGGAGGTGAGTAATAGGTGTGAATGGGAAAGGGAAAGAAATAAGGGAGATGAATGAATGTCTATGTATCATATGGGATGACGGTGTCTTGCATTGGTCTTGGGGTCTGATATCTTCTCCCTTGTAAAATTGGAGGTCAAAATCACCAAGTCGACATCTCGCTCTAGAATTTCTTCCAACCTTCTGAATCACGTGTCAATGTGCCGTTGTGTTGGAGACCATCGGATTAGGCTGTGCAATAGTTCGGAATCTAATGTTCGAGGGCTATATGTCGAGATCAGAGACATCTACTTTCGGTAAACTGGGTTCAGAATCAGCGGATCGTTGTGTTCCAGACCCCCTTTTCCTCTTTATTTAGATGGGACAAAGTTTCTCCTTTAAACTCTAAGGATTATACCAAAGATAGAGATACCACAGGAAGCATAGACCAGCCAATTCAGCACAACAATAGTTCAACCAGAAAATCAATTTTGAATCTGGAACGAAAGGTAAGGCTCATTCCCGAGAAACCCCTTTCGAAGTACCCGAATTTGGTTCCGTCTAACCAAAACATAACTCCACGGTCATTAGTTCCATGTTAGTCCATGTACTCAAAACAAGACGCTGCATTTTCTGTACATTAACATCCACTTCAGTATACTAGCTCGCTTCATTCTCCCTAAGTTTTAAGGAGTAAACAATACAACAGTCATCACCACATCTCGGAGACGTCGGCATTGCCAACATTACACAGCCCAGTCGTACCGGAAAACCCGTGATTTTCTCATATAGTATTCTCTCGGAGCTCCCCTTCTCCTTTCCTAGCACGTAGTAGTAGCACCACTTATCCCCACCAGCGACTCTGCATCGTCCAACTTCTGTCTCCTATTTACACAACAGAAATTAAGCATAAACTCTTCATCTGAACAATTCAATCTGCCTTTCCAAGTCTTAACATTAACCTTGACGATCACCCCACTATTATCTCCGCTGTCAAATTGTCTAATTGGCTGCTCACGCTATATATAGTAACGCCAAGTGGGTGTACAGGCATAAATTGACGATCTTCTAGAAAGATTCTTTCATGCCACTCACAGACACAACAACAAATGACGTTGAATACGAAGGGACCGGTAACCCTGTCTGATGTGTACACGACATCGAAATACGAGAAATAGGTACCTCATGTAAGCAAGTGTGCATGGCTGGTAGTCGTTGGGTTGTTCTTGGCAATCGGATAAGTATCTGATGTTTCCCTCGTCAGTTCTTTCCATGTTTTTGATATATACTATATAATCTACTTCACATACCTACTCAGAGTTCTTCATTTGCACTCTATACAATCGTTACTTTATTATCTTCTCTATTCCTACCTCCAATATGAAGACTACTTCCATTGCACTCGCACTCGCGAGCACCCTTACTGGCGCAAACGCATACTGGAAAGGTTTCAACTCCCAAGCTACCCTTGGAAACGGTGCTTGCAAGACCCAAGCCGATTGGGAAAATGATTTCCGCATGATCCAATCCTTCCCCGGCGGTTTCAACAGCTTGCGTGTCTACGCATCCTCCGACTGCAATACCATCGCCAACGTCGTCCCTGCTGCTATTGCCACCGGCGGAAAAGTCCTTGTCGGAGTTTGGACTGAAGATGCTGGTCACTATGATGCCGAAAAGCAAGCTCTCTTGGCAGCTACCCGTACCTATGGTTTCGACTGGATGGTCGCTGTATCAGTCGGCTCCGAGGACTTGTACCGAGGAGATACTGACGCTTTTACATTGTCGCAACAGATATATGATGTTAGAGGAATGTTGAGCACTGTGCCCGGATATACTACGACTGGAGTACAAGTTGGACATGTGGATACATGGACAATGTGGACCAACGGAGCGAACGTGGATGTTATCAAGGCATGTGACTTCATCGGCTTGGACGGCTACCCATACTTCCAAAACACGGAGGAAAACGACATTGGTGTCGCAGATGATTTATTCTGGCAATCAGTAAACGCAGTCCGCGGAGCTGTTCAGAATGTCGGAAGCAATGCTCCGGTTTGGGTTACTGAGACCGGATGGCCTACTGCGGGTGCTACGGAGAACGTAGCTGTTGCTTCTGTTGAAAATGCTCAGACATATTGGAAACAGGTTGCTTGTTCGGCGGTTAACGAAGTTAACACTTTCTGGTATAGTCTTCAGGACTTCAACGCCATCCCAGCATTCGGTGTTGTTGATGGAAATGGTAACCTTAAGTATGACTTGAGCTGTTAAAATACCCGATGAGTGGCTATTAGAGTTGGAAACTGTCTATGGATAGATTACCACAGTATAAATTAATCTTAATATAATTATACATCTTAACATAACGACGATTCAGCAATCGTTAATCTTCGTGCGGTTCTTGATCAATTACTTTTTTCTACTTGTTCTTTGATTCTTGTCCAATACATACTACGTAGCACAATATGCATTAAGCCATTGCACATAGTCAAGAAAGAACAAATGTAGACAGAACAATTCTCTATTTCTAATAACAACTCCCAGACTCCGAGACTTCATAACAAATTTCCAAACGCCATATACTGTCTATTTTTCGTACTTCTGTTTTCTTTAAAATCCCAATACAGCCCAAACAATTTCTTCACATCTCGTCAAACAACTGAAATGCATCAGGGCATTTACTCTTATACTTTTCCTCTCTATCATACCTCATTCCCTTGATCCGTGTGCTCCCGGTATTGGCACCGGCTGTTTTGGTTATTATGTTCTACCATCAATTACGGCGTCTCGAAGGGGTTTCGTCAACCGATCTGTCGCGGCGACGATCATCGCTCCTTTCACCACGTCGGCTCTCTCCTAGATCACGATCGCGGCGACGCTCGCTGCCATGTCGGTCTTCATCGCGTCGGTCTTTGTCACGTCGGTCTTTCTTATCACCACGATCTTCCTCACGTCGGCTACTCTTGTGATCACGTGTATCTCTACTTGGCCCGCGGCTACTTTGATGCTCTGATGGAGCTTGGGCGGAGCTGACTCGGGCAGTCTTATAACTTCTGTCGGAACCAGCAACGGACTGGCTTGAATTACCACGACCCTCCTCACGTCGGCTCTCTCCTGGATCACGATCCCGGCGACGCTCGCTGCCATGTCGGTCTCGATCTTCCTCACGTCGACTACTCTTGCTATCACGTTGATCTTCTCGTTTATTTGACTCGCGGGTACTTTGATGCGCTGTTGGTATTAGCTCCTTTGGAGACGGTCCCCGCGATGATGTGGATCCAATAACTGATGGATCAACAGCAACGTAGTCGGCATAGCCATCATGTCTGTGCTTAATAGAATCTCGCAGCTTCTTCGCATCTTTCTCGTACTCCCTGAGTTTTTTGGTTCTCCATTCGGACCTATGATATTCATTAGTTTTTCCTTTAAATCTAAAGCGATCTATTTCATGCCAAACATCAAGCGGAAGGAACGGAAATTACTCACGCTACTGAATTATCGTCCGTCACGATAGAACTGCCGTCTGGAACTCTGCTTCTGCCGTCACGCTGTCTGTCTCCTGGAGTGACTGTGTGTTCCGACCCTTCTGGTGATCTTGCACGAGCAGTGGTACCAAATTTACGGGGAGCTCTTGAATCAACGGTTTTAACGTCGTCATCGCGTCTACTTTGGCGATCGCCCTCCTTAGTGCTTCGCCTTTCACCACCATCTCTTTCGCCTTTTGAATCAGCAGTTCGAGCAGCACTCCTTCTTGAATCAGCGGTTTTAACGTCGTCATCGCCATCCCGTTTACTTCGGCGATCACTTTCTCTAGTGCTTCGGCCATCACCACCGTCTCTTTCGCCTTTTGAATCAGCAGTTCGAGCAGCACTCCTTCTTGAATCAGCGGTTCTAACGTCGTCATCGCCATCCCGTTTACTTCGGCGATCACTCTCTCTAGTGCTTCGGCCATCACCTTCCCTAGTACTTCGGCCATCACCACCGTCTCTTTCGCCTTTTGAATCAGCGGTTCGAGTACCACTCCTTCTTGAATCAGTGGTTTTACTATCTTCCTCTGTCCTTTTGCTCTTTAAATCAACAGTTCGAGCGCTCCTTTTTGAATCGACAGTTTCAGCAGCACTCCTTCTTGAATCGACAGTTTCAACAGCACTCCTTCTTGAATCGGTGGTTCGAGCAACACTCCTTCTTGAATCAACAGTTTGATTATCTTCATCACGGCGTTTGTCTCTAGAACCTCTTGAATCGGTGCTTTTGTCATCGTCTTGTCTTCTTCTATCCTTTGAATCAATGGATCCATCTCTCGGCTTTTTTCTACTGCCACCTATCCTGAGTTTTGCCGGGTACCTGGCGCCATCCGAGTCTAAAGTGTCTACACTTTCGGCGTACTCGTAAGGATTTTCCTTTAAATCCCTCTCCCTCTGCCGCCTATCTTTCTCATCGATCTCGAGTAGTTTGGGCATATCTTCTTTCAGTTCTTTATCCTGCTCCTCTTCCTCACGCCGTTCGAGTTCGTCCAGCTTGATTGCCAGTAATTTCTTTTCCTCTGCGTCTTTTACTTCCTTCATTCTGTCCTTCATACGAAGATATTCTTCCCGTCTCCGCAACCCCTTCACAATCATCACTTGCCCGTTCTTCCTTCTGACAAACGAATAATCATTGAGCTTCCTGTCTTCATTCTTTTTAGATTTCTCTTCCTTATCCATAACTCTTATGGGGATCTTATCGATCTTCACAGCCTTTTTTCGAAGGTCCATTCTGATTATTTACGCTGTGAAAGAAGATTTTTTTTATCAAGGATATTATGTCGTAAGAGCAATAGAAGAAAGATGCAGTAGATTGCTGATGTTTGGCTGGTTGCTATGGTGCTTTGAACTGTGTTCACTGTATTATGATGGTTATTTGGAATTTGGAATGATATTCTCGTATCAGATATACCAGTACATTTATACTCATAGTCATTATGCTGGCCAACTTATCACACCCATCATATCCAACTGAAGTACTACATTGAAATGAATTTTGATGTCAAATGCTTTGAGATGGCGTGGTTGGTAATCTATTTCCGTAAACATGTCGTTAGGCAAAAGTTAGTGACCCGGATATCATTCATCTTTACGTTGGACGTTGATTGAGTATATCCAATTGGCTCCTCGTGCTCAAAAAGACGGCCTTTGTTGAAAGAACATGTTATGGCCTGGCCTAAGTTTCATCCTTGATAATATATTGGATGTGAAGCGGATTCCTTTGGAAGCTATACATTTACTTGATTAAAATGAGGTCAAGCTTGCGCGAATGTGTACCTACACTCGCCTAGCCGCTATGTTGAGATCGATTGTTGGAGTCGATATAATTTTGCAAGAGAAATTATGTAACTTGCTTTTAAAAGCCGCGGATGATTCCTTGTGGTTAGATATAGGTCGCTAGACCCCATATCAGCCCCAATGGCGCTAGAAGCCACAATTCGAGTTGTTGGCATGGCCGCGACCAGTCCGCGGATCTGACCGCACCAACATCAATACCATGGAAGTAGAACAATATGTTAATGACTTGATTTATTATCCTTTGAAGCACTGGAATTGGAACATTATTATAGGCAATTGTAATACATTTTGACAGTATCTAGTTGTCTTGTCCCTGTTGCTGCATAATGTTCTCAATGGCAATCACTCATTAGCCGCGAACACAACTCGGTCCATTTTTATGAATGCAACGATATTTGTTTCAAGAACTATCAAACTACACGATCTCAGGAAATAATTCAAGATGAAATGCAACAATTGAAGGGAGCAAAAAGTAATGCACCTACAAAATACCCACCCACATGGCAAATTAACCCTCTGGCGAATCTCGCTTCTTCATTTACAAGACTTGAAATTTGAACGTTTATATTCATACTTACTTCCTTATGTTCACTTCACTATTCCACATTTCAATTATATCTTCCTGGATATTATGGTAGTGTATCTAGTTATCTTTGGGAAAGTCTGTTGACTAGTCCACTTCTATAATTAATTATCACAAATACTGTTTAGCTGAGGTTGTCGATTTTAGCTGACAGTTTCTCTTTGACTTTCAAGTAAACGTAAATTCTGAAAGTAGATTGATGTCAATTCATATAATCGAATTTTTGAGGATGTATTTTTGGGAAATATTCATGACAAACGTTGCTAAAAATATCAATCCTAAGAAGAATGAATATTTTCGATGGTAAAAAGCTAATATATGAGCCGCAATCTTGATCCACGTTTCATCACAGGATGTGTTGACGGATATAATTTGACAGTACTATCTCAGTTGACAATTGATCTACAACGCTATCACCAGCATTCCCTTTAAACCCTTTTCCCATTCTATCTTTCCCTCAGCTCTCCTTGTCCTATACTATAGCTTGAATCTATACAACCACCTTGTAAATCTTACATCCATCCAACCCATCCAATACTGCTTCACTCCCATCTCCTCCATCTCCCTCAACTCCAACCTCGCAAAGCATTGAAATATCAACCAAACCACAGATGATTATTCCCCAAATTCAATGAGGGACATAAAACTAAAACCTCCTATAAATTTCAATCCCATCCAGTATTCTCGTCTCGCTTCTACATATACCATCTATCCCCCATCACCTAATAAACCTCACTAAAATCCGATCGAAATCAAGTCAAATCAACCCATCTCAACTGACAACTATAGTATCTCTATTTTCATTGATTATCCATAAAAAGACACTCAGGTACCCACCTACACTTCCTAAATGATTCCCTAATAAACATCCTCGATCTGCAGATAGAGTACCAGCTGAAATACTTGAGTACAACAGCTCAAAAATGATTACCTACCCCGAGCTATATATTCCTCAAGCTCAACGCTATAAACTATCAATTATGAACCACTAATAATAAAATATATCCCAGACTGCTCTAACTCCAATGCTGTATCAACTATCAATTATCAACTATCAATTATCAACTATCAATTATCAACTATCAATTATCAACTATCAATTATCAACTATCAATTATCAACTATCAACTATTAACCATTAATAAAAAAAAATATATCCCAAAGTACCTACTCCAACTCAAGTATAATAATCTTACTAATCTTATATCTAGATCTTCCAAAACAAAATATCAATCTAATAATAAATTTATAGTTAGTATTTACATTCAATCCTCTAGAATATAAATATAAATATCAAACATCACATCATAAATAAACAATTATAATAACTCAATTATGAGATCACTCCCAGAAAGATCTAAAGTTAATTTTATAAAAAAAAAATTATAATTATAACTAATCTTGAATTTTCTAACATTTAATTTTTTTTAAAGAGTTGGGTTTAACTTTATAAGATTATTTTATATTAAAAATAATGATAGAGATAGAGATACAAGATAGAGATGATTAAATTTGAGGATAAGAAATATTTATACTTTTTGTTAAAAGGAATAGAAGTTACCGGTACTAATCACGTGTCGTGATTAGTAATACGGTTACCTAAACAGGCTAGATTAGACGAACCATAAGCAGGCATATTGGTCCCCTCCGAGGATACCAAGAGGAGATTAATATGCCTACAGACGTAGTAATATAGTCAATATAGAGGCCTCTTCCACCCAATCTTTTAATACTTTTTGATATAAAAGGGTTTTGGATTTTGATGATGGAAGAGGTGTGGAAGAGAAGACGAGAGAAGGAGAAAGGAGAAGGATAATATAATAGCGGAGACATTATCTTCCACCTCATGCATTTCTCAAGGACTTTTGATTAACATCAGGATACAACACACACACACATCGAGATAACAGTCAGCTAGCATCTATATGATGAGAGGTATATTCTTTCTTTCTTTCTTCTTTGCTACTGTAACAAATCCATTCCACCATCGTAAATTGTACATCGCATCTGATCAAGGTAATCGTAATCTAGTCAAAGCCAGATATACCAGTCCAGTCCACTCCATATCGCACATGATATGACTTCATCTAATCTTCATCTCATTTTCCACCAACCACGTCCAAAGATCTTTCTTTCAAATGGGTAGAAAGTCTATTCATCCATGCATCCATCTAGAATATTTAAATCCACCAAACTCCCGCTTATCGAAAGAACAAGCAAAAATCTATCTACCTATCTATCCTTTATCTATTACCAACCCCAACTCTATATCGAATTCGATTCGTTTAGTAATGTAATGGTGTATCTAGGCAGTAGGCTTGAATTTCATAGGACCTTGTTCTGTGGTCTCTGCGAAAGGAACACCGAGTTCAAAGAGCTTGGTGATAACATTTGCGAAATCTTTCATGAAGAGAGATTCATCTGCAGCGTATTTCTCGACGTATGAACGGAAAGTTTTATCCGAGACGAGAGCCATGTCAGTTGGAAGCATCATAAGGGTTTTGGTAGTCTTGTCTTCGTACTATTTTAGTTTAATATGTTAGTTTGTTTTCTTTAAAGTCCAGGAAGGAAAGATTGGGGAGATATTCATACCTGCTTAGGACCATTCCACTTCTTCCAGTTCCACTTCTCATTCAACAAAAGCTTGTAGTACTCATTGGTGACAACAGTTGGGGAGAAAGTCCAAGGACCCTCAAAACCACTACGATCAGTGTGGCAACGACCAAGAGCATGAGCACCACTCAAAGCAACGATTTCTTGATCATTGAATCCCATACGACCAAAGATATCTCTCAAATGTTTGTTACCTTGAGAAGCATCTGGGAGACGTCCATCAGGTGTGCAAGCTGCAGCTTCCTTATCTTGTCTACCTGGTCGGAAAGGAATGGTTGGACCTTGCATTTCCTGGATAGCGCAAATACCAGCCAGGATCCAGAGGTCAGAGTAGGAGATCCATGGGAACTTTGCTATAGAAATATTAGTAAGGAGACTCCTCAATTTGTTTCATTTGTTAAAAATAGCCTCTTCAATAGTCTGCCTCCACGGCAGTGGTCCCCGAAGGGCCAGCGGAGCGACACTTCCTCTTCCATAGAAAAAAAGATGGTTGACTTACCCTTAACAGGTTGCAAGAAGTCTCTGGCAGCAACCAAACCAGCATTGGCACCATGATCACCCTCAGGGGCAAATCTCATAGTCGCACCATTGCTACCACCAGTACCAGTTGCCTTATCGAAAGTTCCACTTGCATGCCACGCTAATCTGACTAAGACAGGTCCATAAGAACCATCATCATAATCATCTTTCTCCTCCAATCTCGCGGCAATCTCATTATAAACCTTTTGATAATCTTCAAACTTAGGAGTGATGAGACCGGCAGTTTCTTTAGCAGAACCACTCAAGAGTGATCCATTTCCTTGAGATACAAAGTAGTATCCAGCACCTCCAGCAATGGCCAAAGCAGCAACCCCAACGGAGAGAGGGAAGGAAGATTTGGCAGGTCCTTGAGAAGCATATCCACGACGGGATTGTTGACGGAATGCTTGACGAGGAGCACTGAATGCATTGGTACGAGTGGCGGATCTGAAAGGTGTTGACTTGAATGCAGCGCCTGCCCTAGCGAAGGTTCGAGTAGTAGATGCCATCGTTTATATGGATTGTATGATTATTGTATGTGGTGGGTGGTATAATATTGAGACAATAGCTGAAATTGATAAGTCAGTAGGTAAACTTTTTGGATTCCTTTCCTCCCACTCTATTATTGTATGAACTAAGACAAGCAAAGAAAGCAAAAGATTTCGATGGCAATTAGAGTAAATCGCAGAGAATAATAACTTACAGGAGAGGAGGATAAAGACGGAAGTGAGGAAATCTCTGTCAGAGTATCACTATGGTTGATAATATTCCCAAGGTTGATATTTCAAAAGATGAAGGTGGTGAGATTTTATTAACAACTTTACCACAACCTTAACCTTAGTGCAGTGACCAATCTACCACTCCAATGCTAGCTTCCACTTTACTTTACTTTACTTCACTTCACTTTCACTTCACATCCTCACAGACCTCCTCCCTCAAAAAGCCCACCTCTCCACCAGATTCAACCATAGTCACTCTAGTCATTCTGCAACAAACTTCCTCATTGAGTTAGCATTGAAATGCAAAACCCACTCCTATTCCCATTTCCGTCTCTGGCTTCTCATTTCCGAATCTATTTCGAAGGAAGCACAGTAAATAGCGTAAGGATATTCGCAATCATAACCCGTGGCATACCAAGAAAAGACGATAACGACCCACTTGATTTCCCCTCTTATCAATCATCATTTACATTGACCAATAAGAAGTTACGCATTCGAAAGAGCATTAAGAGAACAGTTGACATGACTCTTCTGGATTGTTCGGTTTGACAAATTATGTTATATTTTTGGGCTTTGCTTGAGAAAATCAATTGTTAATGTTTTGTTAGACAGTTGGCTATGTTTGATTCAGATGATAATTTTATTTTTTTCTTGTGCTACAAATATGTATCATCATATCATCATAGATTGAATTTTTTTTTTTTTTTTTTTTTTTTTTTTTTTTTTTTTTTCTGGTAAGGCTGAGCCTCACATAAGGGCTAAATTGATTTGATTGGTGAAAATCCAAAGGGTTCATATTGGTAGTTGTTATTGGTCAGCTAAACTCGTTTGATTCCTATTGGCTGATACTTTGACGGGATCCCAGCTCCGAGTGCGGAAATGTTTGATTGTGCGGATGCTGTCCGAGATTTGAGTTTACCCTTCTGGACATGTGAATTATTAGGTGAGCAGAAGTCATCAAGGTTTCTAGATTTGTATACTTTTGATCATTATCTCGTTGGATGATAGTATGATTATTATTGTTAGAAATTTAGGTCGTTCTAGATCGATGGCTTTGAAAGCTTTTAGTAAGCAAAAGTCTCCCAAGTTCTTAGTGAAATCCAGTCATCTTGCTATAGGTCACGTCATATGGGGGTTGAAAGACGATATAAAATACCATGAGTATCGTAATACTACTGCAGGGACTTTAAATTACTACAATCATCATATTATTATATATATTTAGAAGCCATGAGTATCTATTCTAATAAGCTTGATGTGTTTGAACGGACGACTTGATGTATACCTTCCATACATTACTTATATCCTGTATTAGCCATGTTATCCTTGTACGGTATTGATATAGTACTACAAAAGATGTTCTGCCCATAGTTAATAGCTGTCATCTATACCAGAGTATTCCCATCCGCCATCACCGAAAGGTATATTCCCGCCGTTCCATGCCGTTGGCGAAACATACGAGCGTGTGGTAACCTTATAGTTTGGTCTATCAGATCATAGAAACTCCAGGCTTTATAGATTATATGATCAGAGAATCCACTGGTTTACCAAGGGGCATACTGCTGTCCATAACTCATTCTGGTGGCACCGAGGGGCAACCACCAGAGAACCAGCCAGCTATCGTAAAGAGTTACCCTTCGTAACGACAATGCATCTTTGTGCTTGTCATGCTCGGATGATGAAAAATTGTATATTGAGATGATCGCGGAGTGACAAACGCAATGGTGCAGATACAGAGCAGACGAGATCTGAAAGTTATGGGGCCACACTTGAAGCGCCGATACTATCAAGCTCAAAGGAAAGAGCTCAGCCATTGTGGTAGATCAATCGCGATGTGTAGTTAGTTCCAATAGCCATACTGAGCGATTGAATAGTGACTACTATGTAAGACAACCGTTTTAGCCACAACAAGAACAGAATGTATCCCCTATCATCTCAATAATACCGAATCACTCCCGGAATCATCTTTTTAAGGGATTCCATTAGGACGACATCTCTCAATCCTTGGAGAATGATACCAGCCAGAACTACCATAAAAGTTGTCGCTTCAATCATACCAGCACACACACAAGCGCCACGATAGCATGTAACTCATAGCTTTCTGGTACTTACATGTACTGAAATTACTTGTCAATTCATCTTCCAGGATTGAGAATTGGTAATAATTGAAGATTTTGGTTGCGTCATCCAAAAAGGTACCAGTATCATCGTACGAATTGAGTAAGATACTAGGTAGTCTTATAAACGAAATACTCCTGGTGGGCTCGAGAAATCAAAATGAAGCCCGCCCTTTCAATCATCCTAGCACACACTAGCACTCCGCATCCACGCCAAGATTTCATCCTCGCCTAACCACACTAGCTTTACACGTGACCACACTTCCAACAATTTTTCAAATCCAAACCACCACCTTAGATTTTCTCCCTCGCGCACACAACAACAACGACCAACGACAACTCCTTCGCCATCACCAACAATTCCAAAATGGCCGCCGAAAAGCAACCCCGTACTGGCCTCGCCGTCGGTCTCAACAAAGGACACGTATGTTCATGAAAAACCTCACAAAACACAACCTGCCCGTCTCACCTCTTGGAGGATCTTCTTTTCGGAATAAAAATTTAGAAGATGGACCGGCTGATTTATGAATATATAGAAAACCGAGACTCGTGTCTCCAAGCCCAAGGTTAGCAGAACCAAGGGTCACTTGAGCAAGCGCACTGCGTTTGTTAGAGACATTGTCAAGGAGGTTTCTGGGTATGTTTTTCACTTTTTCTTCAATTTTTTTTTCCCTTTGATCAAAAAGAAATGAAGACTAATTCTATATCCAACAGTCTCGCACCATACGAGCGCAGAGTCATTGAATTGCTCCGTAACAGCAAGGATAAGCGTGCCCGTAAGCTCGCAAAGAAGAGGGTATGTTTTTCTCCCCCCCTCACATTCCAATTCACCCACAAAACAAATACTAACTCAATAACAGCTCGGTACTTTCGGACGTGCCAAGGCCAAGGTTGACGAGCTCCAAGGTGTCATCGCCGAGTCCCGCAGAGCTGGTCACTAAATACCCAATATCACACCCTTCACCACGAAGAAAAAATTATATCGTCTCTTCAATACCAAGTAAAATGGATCGATATATGGATTTATGATGGATCTCCACATTTAAACAGGTCAATCATGCGGGAACTGGAGCTGTAACAATGAAAAATTTATGTTACTGTGATTCTGGGGATTGGGATCCGAAATTGCTAGTAACAATGGCATTTATGAGGATCTCGGGGCAAAAATAAAATACCTTCAACAACCATTCCATGTTCCTTGATGTGTAACTGTTTTGTGAATTCTTTCTTGGAATTGGGGAATCTTGAACTAGTAGACAATTGAGCAACAAAAACGCCTCATGCTATGCTTTCCTTTCCTGACAGTTTGTCGATCGAGGTATATAAGATAGAAGAAGCTCACTACGCCCATTCAATAGTACCATCATAAATCATCATTAATATCCCACACTCATCGCAGTGCACCTCCCATTCTCTCTTGACCATCATGAACATGTATTAGGCATCCCCAAGCTTTCCTTTCATCATTCTTTCCCTCTTCATGTCTACTCATACCCCTAGCCATATTTACATCCTCACCCTTTACCTCTTCTTCAAATTCTTCATAAATAAGATTCTGCAAACCCCTCTTCTTCTTTTCTCCCCCTCCATTCCCATCATCTTTCTTCACCTCCTCGACCTTTTTCTCCTCTCCTCCATCCTCCGTGCTCTCCACAATCGGAACCGGTTGTTGCGTAGCCTTTTCCCTATAAATATCCTTCAACACGGGTTTCCCCTTCAACCCCTCAACATTCGCTCCGCCATCCCACGCTAAATTGATAACCGTCGGACCCTGAATTCCTAGATGTTTGATGAGGAATTTTGTATCGTCATTTGGTATAGTTTCCCTTCCCTTGTTGCCCTGATATATCAATTTAAACGGTTCAGTTTCGTGAATAATTAATCCGCGCACATAGTCGTGGAGCCATTTCCCATGATGTTCGTTATTGATGGATTTACTGACAGCCATTTGATCCGGGAATCGAATCCTCAAGGGGATCTCTTTGATTTTGGATAAGCGAGCGAGTCTTTCGGTTTCGAGAGCGAGTTCTTCGTCGTAGGAGAGGAGTTTGGTGTTTTGGGAACTGCTTTGGAGACGCGACTGTACGAGTTTGGCGTGTCGAATGGTGGGAATGTAGTCGTCTTCGTTGTGGGGAGTGAGGGCTGCGAGAGGAGTGTCGTTGCTAGGTGCGGAGAAGATGGTTAAGGGGAGGCCATCGGGGCCTAGGATTGGGGGAGAAGCTGAGTAGTTGGTGGAGGATGTGGGTGGAATTGAGGGTGTGGTGTTTGTTGATGCGCCAGCGGGAGTAGGTGTTGAATATGGAGTTGTGTCTGAGGGATCAGAATCCATATCCACATCTTCGTTTTTCTGGTCTGGAGAAGGTAGATTTGCGATACCGTCTGTCACAGATTCACGTTGCTGTGGTGTTTCTGTAATAGGTTCAGGTACGTTCTCCTCCTTGAAATACTCCCCAATATCCTTCATAGCCTCTTCAATCGGTTGATCCGTCTGCCTAAACGTAAGCCTGAGTAATCCCGTCCCCTTATTCAATCCTAAATTCGCAAGTGTCTTCTGTAAATCTCCAAATGTAGCCATTTCCCTTCCCATCACATTGAGTACCGGCATCTCATATACCATGCGACCAGCCCCTGATGCGCTATTTTGTAGCTGCGCTACTCCTCTCCCCGTAAAGTTGAGATTTGCGGATGCGTTGCTGGATTCGAATTTGCGGAGGATAAGCCATAGTGTTGTATTACTGGGAAATGTATCTTTTAATCTGCCGCCTGGAACTGCAGATGCGAGATCTTGTGGTAATTGCAACGCAATGGAGACTGGAGCGGGAGATCTGGAAGCTTCGACTAAGGTGAGTTTTGCGCCGGTGCTGAGACCTGTTTGACGGTATGTTTGCGAAAGGTCTATAGTTTTGTCGTTACTCCTATTGTGAGTGTTAGAGAACTGGTGAAAGAAGAACTAGGCTTTGGCAGCTTATTTGCCGGATGGGGAATAGATCTTGGGAGCTCATTTACCTTTTAAGATCATAATTAGTAGTTCTCTTTCCAAGCTTCTTACATGCTTCTGAGACAACCTCACTCATATAAGTCCCGGGGGTAACTTTTATGGTTGCTCTGTTGAAGGACTTATCGATGACAACAACGTTGGAAGCCATGATAATTTTAAATAACTTGTAGAAGGTGTAATTGTTCCAGAAGATGTGATGGATTGTAGGATAAGCTTGAAGTTTAAAAACAAATCAATCGGTACTCAGTTCAAGTAGATGCGAAAGTGGAAAGTGTGTTTATATTGGCACCTTCTATGGATTTCCGTGATATTTGTAAGGCTGTTAAGAGGGGTGTCAAGCTTAAAGTCGGAAGTGAAGCCAAGTAAGTAAATATGAAATTCGAAATTCAATAACAATCCAAATAGAAATAGGAATAGAAGTAGATGTTTACTTCTGCTTGACTTCTTTAAAATGAAATAATAACTCTCTTATAAACCAAAGTTCAAAGTGCAAAGTGAAGATCAATGATCAGTTTAACTCTCGTCACAATCCCATAAGGCGGTCCGTAATCTAGCCTACCTCATTCATAATCGTTGCCTTGTAGGTCCGAGCTTCAGAGCTCAACGTCGACGCGCCAGCCGTGTCTACCTTGTTCATATCTCACAACCTCAATATCACAACCCCAGACCACTTCAACCGCAACCACCAAGTTATCCGTCTGCGAAGCTCCTTTCACATAAGAGCAAATCTACTGTTTCTCGATACCCAATTCTTGATACCCTCAATCCACACACTTCATTCACAATGGTAAGCTTGCTTTGTTAAATATAACATTATATATATCTCAAATATGCTATCAATATCACGAACAACCAGCTAACATCAACATCCAGAGCTCCCCATTCTCCATCAGTACATCCCCTCTTTCCTCTACCAACCTCCAGCTCTCCGAACAAAATACTAACCAGATCCCCCTTCAGATGGCGGTGCCTGCGTAGCAATGGTAGGCAAAGACTGCGTCGCCATAGCTTGCGATCTCCGACTCGGTCTTCAAGCCCTAACCGTCTCCAACAACTTCCCCAAGATATTCTCCTACGGTCCCTCCGTCTACCTCGGTCTCACCGGTCTCGCAACCGACGTCTCTACCGTCTCGGATCTCTTCCGCTACAAAGTAAACATGTATCGACTCCGCGAAGAGCGCAATATTTCTCCCACCACCATGGCGAATTTAGTTTCGAGTTCGCTGTATGAGCGTCGTTTTGGTCCGTTTTTCGTTAGTCCTGTGATTGCGGGGTTGGATCAGAAGACGGGGAAGCCATTTATTTGCGGGTTTGATAGTATTGGTTGTATCGATTTTGCAAAGGATTTTATTGTTAGTGGAACTGCGAGTGATCAATTATTTGGTACTTGTGAGGGGTTGTGGGAACCAGATTTGGTGAGTTTGATTTAAGGTTTCTTATGCTTTTGATGATTGAGGGAATTCTTGCGGGATTCTCTTGCGGCCTTACGGAGGTGTCTGAATGGAACGGCAAAAGCTACCTATCATATCAAATCATAACTAACAACCAACCTCCACAAACTAGGGACCAGAAGATCTCTTCGAGACAATATCCCAAGCACTCTTGAACGCAGTTGACAGAGATGCTTTGTCAGGTTGGGGTGCCCACGTTTACATCATCGAAAAGGACAAGGTGACAAAGAGGTTATTGAAGGGTAGACAAGATTAAACGGCATGGATGATGACTTCGTTATGAAACTGACGGAGGACGAAGTCGTGCTCATAGCCTTGAGGGAGGATGAAATCGCATTCCTGACAGGAAACGACACATACGACGGTATGATACAATGCTCAAGGGTTTTCAGAGGAAAGAATAAGTGAAAGATGCTTACTTGCATGCAAATAGCAAGCAGGTGAGATTTGTAGTATTAGATCTATCTAGCAAGCAGGCAAGGCAAAGCATCAAGGGCTTGAGAGATAGAAAATGAGCATAAATGACACATTTACGTATTGCGTTTGCCATTCCACTTTCATTTCCAAATTCGAAAGCAGCGCAGCGGGTCATTGCAAAATCCAAATGTGAGATGTGCATTTTTATATTTTCTGCACAAAAGTCATCCGTCCAAACTTTTGTATTCTTGTTCTTGATATAATCTCGAGTCCGATACCCGTCTTTTGACAGTGGTATCGTAGATATATAATGTATGTCATTCTAATATTGACTGATATCTAATAATTTACACTTGACCATGCATGAATCATTTTCGTCCTTCAGCCCCTTAACCAAGGCATGCCATGCCATCCAAATCCAAATCCATATTTTTCACCGCTCTATCTATCCGTCTATTCCTTCTTTGGTCTTTGATCAATGATGGCTGATTTTTGCATAAAGAATTGTCTTTCTAGGAATTTGAGACCCTCGTCGATAATACTATGATGTAGATGGTTAGCAAGACATTACATTTTATGTGACTAGTCCGTGCTTCACAAGCCGGGGTGAAGGGGCAAACAGAAATTAACAGGTAAGACTTACATAACAGGAGCACTAATGTATAGAACCGCCTGCCACTCATTCCAGTTCAACGGAAGAATGGAAAAGAGAGTTTGCAAGATAGGTGTATAGAGGAGAGCAAAGTGCAGGGCCATGGATAGCGTGATTGCGTAAACCAACATCATGTTTTCCCAAAGTGGGAGAGTGAGGAGCGATTCGCTGGAGGAGAGAGCGTTTACGGCATTGAACATTTCGATGACGACAAGGATTGAAAGGGAGACTGTGGATGCTGATTTAGCCATATCGTTTGAGAACATTTGGCAGCCGATTTCAGGGAACTGGGAAGAGCAGCGGTGGAAGTGAGATAATTGCCAGAAGGTGATTTGGGGTCCTTCAGGGTTGTACATGAACCACCAAGCATAACCAGCCACAGTAGCAAGACCGACATAGACACCGATTACCATGTAACGGAAGAAAAGCCAGCCACTGATCAAGGCTTCATCGCGCTTTCTTGGTTGTCTCCTCATGATATCGTGATCAGGAGGGTTGAATGATAAAGCTGTAGCTGGAAGACCATCGGTGACAAGGTTGACCCATAAGAGTTGAACTGGAATTAAAGCTTCCGGCATACCAGCTGCTGCTGTCAAGAAGATAGAAACAACTTCACCGATATTGGATGAGATGAGGTAACGGATGAACTGCTGGGTGTTGTTATAGATAGATCGACCTTCCTCAATTGCAACTTCAATCGTAGCAAAGTTATTGTCGGCAAGAACCATGTCGGAAGCAAGTTTAGACACATCAGTACCGGAACCCATAGCAACACCAATATCGGCTTTCTTGAGAGCAGGGGCATCATTGACACCATCACCAGTCATAGCTACCACTTCACCAGCGGATTGTAGTAAATCTACGAGCTTGGATTTATGACTTGGTTCAACCCGAGAGAACAATGAAGCTGTCTTGGCAGCAAACAATTGCTCGCTTTTGCTAAGGTTATCAAATTCGCGACCAGTGTAGCTCTTGCCTTTAAGATCTTCGTATTCTCCAAAAACGCCAATTTGTTTGCAAATTGCTTCGGCAGTGTTGCGGTTATCACCAGTAATGACAATGACTCGAATTCCAGCTTCCTTACATTTCCGAATGGACCCTGCTACCTCTGGGCGAGGGGGATCAAGCATAGTGACAAGACCAAGGAGAGTCAAGTTTTGTTCAAGCTGGGTATATTCGGCAGTAGTTTTTGCGGATTTCAACAATGGATTCGATCCGACATTTTCCACGCTAGCGAGTGCGATGACACGTAGACCTCTGTTACCATATTCAACAACTTCTTTCAATATAAGCTTCTCAAGTGACTGTGTAAGTGGAACTCTCTTTCCGTTAGATCCAACCAAAGTGTGGGTGCAACGATTGATAATCATTTCCGGGGCTCCTTTGACAAGCAATTTTTGTTGCTGGCCGTTATTGACAAGAACAGACATACTCTTTCTATCGCGAGAAAATTCGTAAGTGGCAAGGAGAGGTGTTCTTTTTTCATACCAAGAGCTTGCGTGATGAAGAGATTCATCAGCAGAGATGCTGGCTTTTGCCTGATTGTAAGCTGGATCCAAGGTTCCAACTTTCTCCACCAAGACACGTAGGGCGCCTTCTGTAGGTTCTCCAACGTTTGAATAGGCTTTAGACTTAGTATCATATGCGAGTGCGGCTCCATTACAAAGAGCTGCTACCTCAGCCATTTGGAAGATGGTGTTCGACGTTGTGGCTACATCTGTCACTTTAGTACCACCTGAAAGAATGTTTCCAATGGGAGAGAAAGTAGTTCCCTCAACTTCCAACTCCTCAAGACTAGAACCTGCCTCTTTGATATAGACAATCTTGTTGACACTCATTTGGTTCGTAGTCAAGGTACCAGTTTTGTCTGAGCAAATTACGCTGCAGCTACCTAGAGTTTCTACTGAAGGCAAACTTCTAACAACAGCATTCTTGGCAGCCATTTTACGTGTACCAAGAGCTAAACAGGTAGTGATAACAACAGCAAGACCTTCTGGAATAGCTGCGACTCCGAGGGATACAGCGATCTTGAGGTAGTAAATTGCACCTTTAGCAAAACTTCCGTGGGAAGGATCGCTGAAATGAGGAATATTGATAAGCCAGACAACGATACAGATGATTGAAATGACCTTCGCCAAAGTATCTCCGAAATCGTTGAGTTTTTGCTTGAGAGGTGTCGGCTCCGAGATTTGTGCCGTAATACTTTCGTGGATATCACCAATAGCTGTAGAAGATCCGGTGAGAACGACAATTGCCGTTGCGTGTCCATTGACGACTGTAGTTCCAGAGAAAAGCATATTTACTTGATCCTGCTTAACGGACTTCAGATCCTTGACAGGCGGGGTACTCTTTCCAACACTCTCACTCTCTCCTGTGAGAATAGCTTGATCGACTGAGAAACTGTTACTCTGAATTGCGAGCACTCTGCAGTCTGCAGGAATTCTATCTCCGACAGCAATTGTGATGATATCTCCTGGAACCAAATCTTCCGCGCGTACTCTCGTGACATGCCCATTTCGAATAACCTTGGCTTCATTTGCCGAATATTCTTGGAGAGCGGCAATTGCTTTCTCTGCGCTACTTTCTTGCGATACACCGACGACGGCATTGAGAATTAAAATGGTAAGAATCTAGATCTATCAATTAGTGTGACGGACAAACAGTCTTCATGGAAGGGTCAAGACATACAACAGCAGGGTCCACAAAAGCAGTCCAACCTTCCTCATCTTCGAAAAGAGCTAAAACAAAAGAAATAGCGGCGGAACCGAGCAATATAAGAACGAGTTGGTCTTTGAATTGTTCAAGTATGAGCTCCCAGATTGGAGTTGGAGGCTCTTCTGCAATGGCTGTTTGTATGATTAGTGGGAGGTCTAATTGATGCGGCGCAAGGGACACAGGCTAAGGATGTGTTGCTTACCATTGCGACCGTATTTCTTTCTTGAAGCGATAACTTGAGCTTCTGTGAGACCTTGAGATTCGGATACGGAGAAATGCTCTAAGACCTCAGAGGTCGATTGGGCGTATGCACTGTCCATGATTGTATATGATGTCTTGTCTTCGTGGGGCAATGCGTCGAAGGCAGGATTGTAGCGATATGATAGCCACTTTGCTCAAATTGATTGTCTCATCTAATAAAAAGGAAGACTTTTGGACAGATCTCCTTAAGAAAACGAGAAACGAAGAAATCAATAGGAAAACGAATTCTATGTATTCTATTCAAGCAATTCGATGGGATCAATTCAAAAAAGAATTGAAACTTTTGAGATTCAAAAAAGAGATAAGAAAGCTGATTGATGGATTGATTGTTTACTAGGTAAGGTTAAAGTTAGTATTGACTACTCCGTATCCAGAGCATTTTCTTGAACAGAGTGTCCTTCTGTGAAGTTCTTATGATGTAATTTGGTGACTTGATTGGTTGAATTAATCCATTCTGTTAGTAAAGTGGCCTCGCGAAACGGAACGATGATGCCGAGCGCATTGTTTAAAGTGAAGGTTGATTGTTGGTTGGTCAGTGAGTGTTGACAGAGAATAGAAAGCAGTGGAAGTTGGAAGGTTAGAGAATCTTTGTTTTTACTCGTATAGGTAGGTGTTACCTATCTGTCCAAGACTCCATCTTCATTTACATATATATACTCCGTACAAATATGTAACCGATTTATTAAATCTTTGATAACCTCCAGAATTCAGAATTCTAACTGCAAACACTCTACTCTGCCTCCACGGCAGTGGCCCTCGGAGAGCCAGCGGAGCGTCACTTCAATGGGTGGATGGATTACGAGGTTGCACTGTGACGACAAAGACATCATGGAATGGAGAGATGGAAGTTACATCTCAAGAGTACCTATATCGTTCTGTAAACAATAGTCTTACAAACCCGGTTCTCTACAGGTATTGCTTCTATAACTTCACGTCCTTTTGAACAACTCGAATTCTACAGGCATACCCATATCTCCATCTGATACAACCGGTCCACTGCCTAAGCTGGCTCTCTTTGCAGTCATTTGCCAGATGCCGAGTCAGCGTCAGCGGAGTACCTTAGTAGTATAGTCCCCGAATCTTAACTCCGAGTGAACGACTATATCCATGATGAGGATGAGCTTGGTATACAGCGCATTAGCAGTATTAACAGAGTGTGTTGATCTTGCGATCGGTGTTTATCCCGTCTTCTTTGAACCCTCATGTTTGTTGAAAGATTTCCACAAGGATGAGCCTCAGAAACTTTACTTTACGGAGTAGAAAGAATCCAGAGGGGCAAGGCAATGCAAGTACAGTACGCGGTATTCCGTGGCCGTGAGTAGGTACTAATAAGTAAGAGCCTAGCTAAGAAGGGATGCAGCTGTGATACTCCGTAGATAACCTAGGACATTCATATGCGTTTCTTCACATCCATCAAATGAAGTTTGTTGTAACATGCAGCCGCCCTCGTTTCTTTCTGGGTCCTCCTATCAATTACTCCGTAGGTTCTAAGAAAATTTCCATCCCAACTCATCAATAGTCGGCCCCCGATTGGTCATAATATTTAATCCTTGCTTACCACGAGGTAGGCAGAGATAACCGTTCGTCACCCATTCTTTCTCAAATGGGACGGAAAAACGTAGGTGCTGGCATACTGTCAACTCCTTCATCGAACAATTTAAACCGCCAGTTGTACAATACCAAACTTCTCAACACACATTCCCCACCATATCGAAACTCGTCACTGTAATTTTTTGCCGTATTGGGACTCTATGGGGGAAGTAAAGATGCTAGTCATGAAATGGTATATTGCCGTTGAATTATACAGAAGTTGAGAGCTTAATAACTTCGGATGATGGCTTGAACTGGCTGATGTCAAGTTCACAGGTAGTTCATCTGAATGCAATGCAATGAAATTGAGCAGACAGGGGCTTTGTCGATCTCGATCAAATGGAAGGCGGATAACTTGTTCTTGAACCAATATGTAGGAAATAGACTTGAGACACGAACCCTTGATAGTTCCCTCATATCAGATTGCCGGAAGTTCTATCTTCAATTCCTAGCCTTTCTAGAGTGCACACCAGGCCTTCGTATTGCTGGGCAAGCTTAGCTACTCCCTAGACAATAAGACAATAAGACACAATATTGATAAAATGTTCTAGGTATACTTAACAAAGACCAATATCTCATTTCTCTATACCCAGACTAGAACAATGCTGCGGGACACTCCATACCTAGGTACTCTGTACTGGCTTTGAAGTTTGAAAGTTGTAGGTAGGGGGAGAAGGAGGAGGTAGGTTTCCAGCTGTCACAAGGGAATCCACATCTACGTGGGGCAGAAATTCAACACCAACACCCTTTAATGGGACCAACAAGACTCCTGACTTCACTCAGAGTTGAGGCCAGACTGACTTTTTAGGAGAATCGGAATGTATGATGGTCCATGGATGCACATCGATATTCTCTATGGTCTTGGTCGTAAGGGAGTAAGTAGTACATGATAAAGTTTACTACTACTGGGTAGGTAGAGATACAACAAAACTTGACTCATTCATTCATCATTTGTTTATTTGTTTATGATTATTCATTAATCAGCCAGCCAGATTTCAAGTTTCCATCATCTGGTTTTGATAGGATGGGATATACCCAAGATGAGGCCATATGTAATAGGAGATAGATACCGTCTTATTGAACCCCTCATTTAATCAAACCCAATGAAATAATAATGATTTGTTTGATACTTCACTTGCTTCACTCTCACGACCTACTACGTATGCACAGTTTTGAATATACATAGTATATATCATTATTGCTTTTTTATAAGAATCCTCTAAATATTTGGGATCTTCATATCCTGTGGTTGTATGAGAGTAGTATACAATTCATTCGCAATGAGCCCTTTTTTGATACAGTCACACTGTAGATTATCTGTAGATACTACCTATGCTTTGTTTGACACAGGCTCTATAATGTCTACTCCATCTATTGGAACATGATAATTGTCAATTGATAATTTAACCATAAAATATTTAGCATTATTGGAATATTTCACTTCCCACAAGGATCAAATTACATGTAATTTTACTTCTTTTACATTTTATTCCAATCATTTCTTCCCCTTACCCCAAATAATACCATCTCATTCACTCCATTCACACATTCACATTCGCAATCACATCCATCTATCAACTTACCAACAAATTATTGACCGCTCGGTTATTGAATCAATCAGAATTAGCGTCAATTTCTCCATTATTACCTTCACACCAGATCCATGGATTGATCTCCTCGCACTTACACCCATCTCTTGCACTTGCAAATCTTCCCATCTTTCTCTAAATAAACCACCAAGATTCCCAACCACGAAAACCCTCTTTCCATCTAATCACTCCGTCTCTCTCTACCTTATACCCATCTACAAAAAAATCAAATTCTTCAAACATCAGACAATATGACCACCGAAGTAAGTTCAAATCTATTTGCTGTTACCCTGAAAGTGTTTTAATTTCACTTTTCCCTTTATTTTGTTTCCCCTCCATTGTCGGTCTGCCAATATCCGAACCTTACTACCCTCACCTGCCATCCAGCGGCATGTTTGTTGTTGGTTTGTTTGTTTACTCCTCTTGAGCTCATGCTAATACTTTGGTGATTTGCAGCGTGAAAGGTATGATTCGATTTGTTTCCATGCGGCTCCCAAATTCTCCTTTCCTCCACGTACGTGGTACTAACGACTACCCTACAGCAAGACTTTCCTTGCTAGGCTCTGCGAGCAGGCTGAGCGCTACGATGAGATGGTTACATACATGAAGGAGGTGGCCAAGGTATGCGACTCTAAAGTTCTTTTTTTATTTGTTACAGATTGCGGCGCGATGGATGGAAATACTGACGATGCGTGACGCAGTTGGGCGGGGAACTCACCGTTGACGAGCGAAACCTCTTATCTGTCGCCTACAAGAACGTTGTCGGTACCAGACGTGCTTCTTGGCGCATCATCTCCTCGATCGAGCAGAAAGAGGAGTCTAAGGGTACCGATAAGCACGTCTCCACCATCCGTGATTACCGTCAAAAGATTGAGACCGAGTTGGAGAAGGTCTGCCAAGATGTCCTCGACGTCTTGGATGAGTCTTTGATTCCAAAGGCTGAATCCGGAGAGTCAAAGGTCTTCTACCACAAGATGTAAGTCTTATCGCCTGACAAATTTGTGCGCCGGGTTCGACGGCTTCCAGAGCTTTTGACTGATGATTGTTATAGGAAGGGAGATTACCACCGTTATTTGGCTGAGTTTGCCTCCGGTGAGAAGCGCAAGGTCGCTGCCACCGCTGCTCACGAGGCTTACAAGGTATGCATCACTCTAACCTCATTTTTCAAGAATCTCACGGACTAATCATGCAATTAGAACGCTACTGATGTCGCACAAACTGAACTGACCCCCACTCACCCAATCCGTCTTGGTTTGGCCCTCAACTTCTCTGTCTTTTACTACGAGATCTTGAACTCCCCAGACCGTGCATGCCATCTCGCCAAGCAAGCCTTCGATGATGCTATTGCCGAGCTTGACTCCCTTTCTGAGGAGTCTTACCGCGACAGCACTCTTATCATGCAACTTCTCAGGGATAACTTGACCCTCTGGACTTCATCTGACAACGGTGAAGCTGAGGCTGCTGGTGACGCACCAAAAGAGGCTGACAAAGCAGTTGAGGCCGAGACCAAGGCAGACGAGCCAGCTACCGAAGCCGCACCTGCACCTGAATCTTAGATCTCTTTGCACTGTCTCGAAATCTCTTCGTCTTCGTTCTTTAATGTTGTTCATCTTCTGGAGTGGCTGGAATATACCTGGCTTGCCGGTGGAGTGATTGCAGCATGATGGCTGGGGGATAGGAGTTGATATGAAAAGCAGAATTAGGGTGCATATTTGCAAATACTTGCAATCTGTCAAAGGCACTAAGATTTTGTGAATCCTGATGATCAATGTTTTTTCTTTTCTGATTGCGATGTTTCCTTGCGGTCATTCTCACGTCAGTCACTTGTCTTTTTTAAACACATGGTTACCCTTTTCTCCTCATTCGCAAGAGACGAGGCTTCTCAAGGTTTCAAACGTACAAGTCTCTGCTCGAAGGAATGCACACTTTCCCCTCAGAACACTCGGTGCCTCTACGGTAGCACAATAGATTACCCAATTTCGTAATTTCTTTCAGAGTTTTTACAGATCGGGGCCTTGCGTACTCTGTGGTTGGCGTGCTTTTCTGGTCTAGATATCCCTCGGATTTCTTACATCCCAATGTTGTCATAGCGAAATAGCCTAACGTACTCACTTACAATATTTTACCGTCTCCAAATCAATGTAATCGCTTGACAGGAACTGGATTTTGAATGATTTCATAAACGTTGCATGAAGGCAGGAGAACTTTTTGAATATGAATGTGACTGATTGTGATTGTAGTATGATGTACATGTACCAGGTAGATTATGTGATTTTAGATTCTAAGGTTGGGAATTAATGACTTGTGATCTTTTCATGGACCTCCGATTGTATGTTATGGTAGGGAGAGTTTATTGCTTGGAGGATATGTTAACTAATGCCTCATATTAAAGGCCTCATCTACATCCACCACGTGATCAATCATCTTTCACCCGCGCGAGAAGATCAAGGAATGGGCCGTACGGGTACGAGTATCTAGGTACCTACCTGGTCCCAAGGCAGATTTGAGACGCGCAAGAATTGGAAGGCACGAATAAATTCGTAACCGTTCTTTTATTACGTTTCTGGTCTCATTTCATTTACTTGACTATTTATATTATCCATTTAAATGATTGCTTACTAAATCCTACTTTGCCTCCTCACGATAAACTTTATTAACTCAAACTTTGGCTATCCATCCATTTGGTTATTTCCCTTTCTTCCTCCTTCCTCCTTCCTCCTCTTCTTTTCCTGCTTCCTCATCCGATTTTCTCTCAACTGATTTAAACCAAATAATAAGAAGAATAAATAAAGAAGAATAACTAACAACAATCAAACCCCATCCATCTATCCTGGAAAATATACCGTCAAAAATGGCATCATCCACAGAAGCAAGAGAATTAGAACTTGTAGGCAAAGTCGAAATGCGTATTGCGCTGGCGAAAGATGATAAACTTGAAGCGATGCTGAAAACTTATTTGGCGCCGCTGTTGTTGAAATTGGGGAGTGAGCATTTGGCGGTTAGGAATAAGGTGTGTGCATTTGGATTCTTTTTATGCGTGTGTGTTTGGTTTTTTGATGGTTTTGATTTTTGGGGGAATGGTGGATTTGGGGGAGGGGAAGGGGAGGTGTGGGTGAATGGCGGCGAGTGGGAAAGGGAGGAGAGAAGAGAGGATAGAATTTATTTTATTGTCTTTGCTAGACTTGATATGGAGTCCAAGGAGCCTATTTTCGTGGTGGTGGTTTGGGTTGACGGGGAAGGAGGGGAAAGACTTTCAATGTCCCTGTATCTTATCTCCAAGTAGTCTCCCTCCATGCTAGTGGCCTGGGGCTGGGAAGAACGAGCGCTAGAATGGGTGAATGATGGAAAAGGAAAGGGTTCCCATTCAACCTTCCTATTATTATTATTATTATTTTCTCATAACCAAATATTCTGCCTTCACGGCAGTGGCCCCGGAGGGCCGGCGGGGCGTCATTCATTTTACTGGGTTTTTATAGACATAAATTCTCTATAGCTGACATATTGCGAGCGTGGGACTAATTATTGGGAATATTCGCTGATTTGCTCATCATAGGTTATATCAACATGTCAACATATCAAAATTCGCCTTGCTGGCAACAAGTCGGTGGTTCCTGCTCAATCATTCTGATCATTCACTAATTAACTCCTAGGGGTATTGTCTTGCCAGTCGCAGCTCTTTTAAAGCAATATAAAGAACATCCACAGTCATCAATGTTACGGCATTTTGATCTTATGTTCATTCAACAAAGTGTGGGCAAATTGTCTTCTAAGGTACGTATCCATCCATGACATTTTTGCGGACTGGCCGATCTAATTCTTATCCAGGAACAAATGGACTTAATACCTACACTAATACATGGTTTGGCTCAAGATTCTGAAAAGCCAACTTGTGCTACCATATTTAATTTGTTTCTTCGTCTGTTACCGCAACTGAAAGTACCTTCTCGCGGTAGTAAAGAAGATACAGAATTGAGACACCAGCTAGGTCTTGATGAACATCAAGAAGACTCAAAGTTTATAGCATCGTGGTTTGGGAAACTTGTACTACTCTCAATTGTACGAGGAGCATCACCTGGAGTGACGAGTCCAGGACTTACGGTTAAAGAGTACGAATTTTTGACGCTCAATGGAAAACAAGAAGCATGGGATCCAAGCTCAGATGAAGGTTTGAATCTTACACAAACAAAAATCACAGTTCTAAATTTCCTCGCCTCTAGTGCTTTCACAGATGAAGAGCGCTTCTTACCTGCGTTGTTTGCATCTGCCAACACCAACTCTCGGATTTCGAGCATTGGTGACGACCTAGTGAAGCGTTCAAGCGTTTCATTGGAAGATACTGAAATGGTACGCGATTTGCTAGGCATCTATTTCCTTCTCGGACCGGCATTAAAGACGAGGGTGCTTGTACTCTTAACAAAATCCGCTATTTCAACTACTTTTCCTATTGATATTGTCAGAATTGTGCAAGATGGAATTCAACCTCATGACAACACAAACCTCCCTGCGCCAGGTTTAGAGACTATTAAATTTCGAAATGCATTGTTCAACTACATGAATTGGGTATCTCGCATGGGATCAGTTCATGATCTAAGTCAGGTTGCACCACAGCTTGTTGGATTTTTGAGAACTTATATAGAGGATCAAGGCTGGCCTGTGCCTCACGAGAGATCCTCTGATGCAGCTTCATTACGCGCTTTAGCATATGAAACTCTCGGTTCACTTGCTAAGACTACGCCTTCAATCGTTGTTGAGGAGAATCTTTCTCTGATCCGTTGGCTATTTCGTTCACTCACTGAAGAAGGATCATCCGATGATATCTTTGTGAGCATAGAAGGAGCACTAGCGAGTTTGTTGAGTGCGTTCAAATCACCTTTATCTTCGAATCTCCGAGATGAACTCAGGTTGTTGCTTCTCAAGTACATGACGCTCAAGGAAGAGGGCGAGATTGTCAGAAGTGCTCGTTTTGCGACTGTTCGTTGGGCAAATCGATGCTTGGAGTATAGTGATATTGTGGCTCGTTGGATAGGTATTCTTGCTCTTAGTGCACGCACAGATGAGCGCAGCGATGTTGTTGAGGAAGGTGCAAAGGGTTTGGTGAGTTCTTTTCTATGCGTATTCCAATAGTCTGGACAGCCGCTCGACGATGAGATATTTCTCGTTACTAAAGTCGTTTTACATACGGATCTTTCTGGTGTAATCGAGCTACCCTAAATGGAAATCTTAGAAGCATTCCTCTTGGGCTACATCCGGGTTACTGGAAACCCTGTACTAAGAAGTCAGACTAATTCATCTAGGACCCATACTGGTATCGACTTCTTAATTCTACCGGCGCCTCAGTCGAATGTCCGCTTCCTGAATGGAGCGAGATGATTAAAGTCTTTTTTGGTACCCAGGCCTTGGTTGAGAATTCCAATATCGCTAATGCCATGAAGACTGGTATGGAAGTTGACAGCGTGTCCGTGTTTGGCAACTTCTCTGGGACAAGGATAAATGCTTTTCCAGCAGCCATAAACTATAGTAGGAGAATATTATTGCTGCGTGCTTTGGAGAAGACCGATACACCTCTTGGAATCGATGCAGACTGGGAGCGTCAATTAGACGTGCTTTTTCGCTCCGACAAAGGTTCAAGAAAAGCCATGAAAGACCACATTATGACTGTCGATCAGGATGTATTACACACATATCTGTCGGCAGCTTTTGAGGGTATGCTACGCAATGATGGAAACGGACTAGGAGAATGTGGCAAATGTTTCGTAGAAATCGCTTCAATCGCGCCAAGTAGTGTTATAGGTCGACTGGCAGATAGGGCTGTTGAGCTCTTACCGTCTATTAGATCTAACAATGTTGCAACTCGATTCCTAGCAGCTCAGGCAATTGGTATTCTTGCACCTCATCCAGATAGAGATGAAGAATCTCTCAAGAAGCTTATTGAGACATTCATGACGGACGTGGAGCCTTGGTCAACGGCTGTAGGTGCTGATGCTAATAAAGTACACGGATCGATTCTTGCACTCGGCTATGTGTTGAGTAGGGCATCTTATTACGGTCGTGGTAACTTTATTGAAGGAGATATTGTTAGAGGAGTCCTCGCACAATTTCTTTCAATAATCGAAGGTGTCAGGGATGTATCAACAAGAGAAGCCGTGCTGAACGCCATTGGTCAGACGAGCGCATCTGGAGTTTTGACAACTGATATTATAGAAAATTCATCACTCAAGGTCGATGGGCTTATTAAACTTCTGCTTGCTGAAGCTAAAAAGAGGAATGAAAAGGCAATGTCTACTCTAGGTAGACTTTCCATCATATTTGATGAACCCGCAACTTCTGTAGAAGATGGTCCACTTCATACTATTATCAACGGTCTTTATGACTTGTATGAGCTGAAGCAACCTGAAATTCACTTCACTATTGGTGAAGCTCTTAGTTGCGTCGGTGCTCGTTGGGAATCAGATGTCTTACAGATCAGCCTGGACGTTGATGCTAAATATGATGGACGCCCTAAGCGATCGCATACTTTCGAAAAGATCCTTGAAAAGCTTTTACAGGACTGCAAGACCACAAAGCCATCGCTTAAAAAAGCATCCGGTATATGGCTCTTCTGCTTGATTCAATACAGTGGGCATTTGGAGCAAATACAAGCCAGACTACGAGAGTGTCAAGCTGCGTTTATGGGTTTGCTCTCAGCACGAGAAGAAATCGTACAAGAGACTGCTTCTCGAGGTTTGAGTCTTGTTTATGAACAAGGTGATAAAGAACTTAGAGAGAGACTTGTCAAAGATCTTGTGGCAAGCTTTACGGGCACAAGCACCCAGATTAAAGTCCATGAAGAAACCGAACTATTTGAACCTGGTGCACTTCCTACTGGGGAGGGTAAATCTATCACCTCTTATAAGGATATTGTAAGCCTCGCCAATGAGGTTGGCGATCAAAGTTTAGTCTATAAATTCATGTCGCTCGCTACAAATGCTGCTACCTGGTCTACCCGAGCAGCATTCGGTCGGTAAGTAATTGGTTCTTTAATTTCACATTTCCAGAATTCCCTATTACTCAACACTGTTTGAATATCCCAAAGCTATCTCGAAAAATTGCTGACCCTCCAATTTTACAGATTTGGTTTAAGCAACATTCTCTCCGAGTCTGAAATCGATCCTAAGCTATACCCAAAATTGTATCGATACCGATTCGATCCAAACCCCAACGTCCAACGATCCATGAATGATATCTGGAGTGCACTCGTCAAAGATTCAAATGCAACTGTCAATGAACATTTCGATGAAATTCTTACAGATTTATTAAAGAGCATTCTAGGAAAGGAATGGCGAACGAGAGAGGCGAGTTGTGCTGCTATTGCTGATCTTGTTCAAGGTAGAGATTTTGAGAAGTATGAGAAATATCTAAATGACATTTGGCATGTGGCTTTTAAGGTTCTAGATGATATTAAGGGGTCGGTGAGAAAGGCAGCGTTGTCGCTTAGGTATGTTGTGATCTCTTTCGTAGTCCGAAATCTCTAACGAAGTTTGAATGTTTCGCTTTTATATCTTCTCTATTTCCTCTCCTCTTTTCCTCCCGCGGTCTATTCGAGGTTTTTAGCTCTAACTGATGGCTTAATTCCTTGCTTCACTTCACAATCCTCCGACATGCATTTACTGACCGCTATATTCTAGTATGGCTCTTACCGGTATACTTGTTCGACAAGTAGAGGCAGGTACATCTTCAAAGCATGCACAAGCAATGTTAAAAGATGTCTTACCATTCTTACTTTCAGATCAAGGTTTAGAGAGCTCCGCTGAGGAAGTCCGAACTTTCGCGACCATTACCGTACTTAAACTTATCAAGAGTGGCGGCAAAGCACTTCTCCCATTCGTACCTAATCTTGTCGAGAGACTATTGGGCCTTTTGAGTACCATGGAAATGGAAGGTATTGACTACATATACCTACGTGCTGCGCATTACAATCTCACGGAAGAGAAAATTGACAGTGCCCGCACGAATGCTGTTACTCAATCTCCTCTCATGGAAGCTATAGAACGTTGTCTTGACATAATCGACGAACCTACGATGAAGGAATTTGTTCCTCACCTCGAAAATGTTATTAAGACCACAGTCGGTATGCCCTCCAAAGTCGGCTGCGGTGGTGTCCTTGTTAGTCTCGCAACTCGCCATAGTGTCACTTTCCGTCCTCATGCCGATCACTTCCTGAAAATTCTTGAAAAGTCTGTCCTTGATCGTAATAATGCTGTTAGCGCATCTTATGCTCGTGCAGCTGGATATGTCTCTCGATTGGCTTCTGATAAAGCACTTCTCAGACTTCTCACTTATTCACAAGATCTCTACTTTAATGCAGAAGATGAAACTCGTCGTCAAGTGTCATCTGATTTGATTTATGCTGTGTCCAAATTTGCGACTGATCACTTCAACTCGTTAGCATCAGATTTCCGTAAGTCCCACCTGTCCTTTGATAGCTAGCATCGTTTCAAATTCTACGAAGTTTGAGCATTAATCTAGTGATAAGCATTACTGACTCTCTATTTTACAGTTCCCTTTGTATTCTTCGCTAAACACGATTTTGATGATGCCACTAAGAAGCAATTCGAGAAAACTTGGGATGAAAACGTTGGAGGAAGCAGAGCAGTCTTGTTATACACAAGAGAAATCAACGAGCTAGTACTCAAACATATTGAGTCACCCAAATGGACCATCAAGCACACGGCAGCTTTAACCATTGCTGACGTTGTCAAATCCACAACTTCCACCACAACCCCAATGATTCCTGCAGAAACTTCTGCGCTCATTTGGCCTCCTCTAGAAAAAGCTCTCGCGCTTAAAACTTTTGCAGGCAAGGAAATCGTGCTGGAGAGTTTTACAAAATTCGTAAAGGCTTCTACAGCATTTCTAGATGTAGACTCTAGTATTGCAGCTCAAACTAAGAAGATTGCTATCAGAGAAGCTAAACGCAACAATGATATCTATCGGCCATTTGCCTTTACAGAATTAGGAAAATATGCAGAAGCCAGAACTGATGTGGATATGTGGGATGAGATCCACAACATCGTTACACCTATATTGGAAGAATTGAGTAGTGAAGATCATATGGATACATCTACTTCGACTTCTGACTCTAAGAAGAAAGATGGAGCAAGCAAAGGAGGCGAATCTACTGAATCGGCAACGATAACTGCAGGTATTGAAGCTCTCTTCCGAGGAATCAATATCAAACTTCTCGATCCATCACCTCTTACTCATCTCCCAAAACTTCTTGAAAGTATAACTCCTGTTCTCAAATCACCTCTCATGACAATTAGTACGCGTTCAACACTTTACGAACGTGTTAAAGTGTTATTTGATGGGTTACGAAAGAGCACGCATGCGCAGAAGGAAAAGGAAAAGGAAAAGGAAAATAATTCTAAAATATGTGCAGAATTTTTCGAGATATTAGAATTGGGTAGTGGAGCTGGTAGTGAAGGGATTAGGATTAAGAGGGGAGAAGCTGCGGAAATGATTGTGGAAGCGTGGAAGGCTGGGGTTTTTGGTGTGTGGAAGGGGGGGAAGGAGGAAGTGGGGGTTAGTATGGTGAAGAGGCTGGATGAGGCGTTGGAGGGGGAAAGAAATGAAAGTGTGAAGGTTGTTTTGAGGAGACTGAGGAAGTTGTTTGAGGAGTAGAGTATGGGGGTGGTATTGGTATTGGTTTATTGGGGAATGGTGGATGATGTGGATTTAGTGGATGGGAAAGAATGGGTAGATAGTTGTGGAGAGAGTAGATGAGAACAATTGAGTCAATCCTATACTGTGATAAAGTGTGGGATGAATAGCTTATTACATTACTTGTCTATATATATCAGGAACGGGCGAAACTCGGTTCTTATTATGTTTGGATAAATTTGATGAACAGTGTTTAAAAGTTTAATATCACATCAATCCTACAACTCAAACAAACATAAATAGATAGATACCCCACCGACCCTATCTAATATATCCTCAGAGTATATAATCTCATCCCCAAAACCTCAAAACAGCTACAAAATATTTATTTTCCCGAATCACGATCGATGAAGTGGGGAAGTTGCGTCATCAAGTGTGTATCGTTTATACATTTGATATTAGCGATGAGCTTGCGAAGCTGGGAGAATGATGATAATGACCTCCGAGTAGGTTGTGTTTAGTGGGCTTGGGGTCAGGGAGTAAATGAGGTTCGAGGATATGGGCTGGTGGAAGATTACTTAGGGATTGGGTGGGGTAGTAGAAGTTGGAAATGGGAACGAAGGTGATGGGTAGTGCGGTTTTAAGGGGAGCTAGTGTATGTAGCGGCAATGACTAAGATGACAGGAACTGTGATGCGACGAGAGGTTGGAGATCTGTAGAATACAAAGTCAACAATGTGTATTAGTTGAGTGTCAAAAGGGTTACGTAGTCGTATACAGTTGGTCACATTGATGGGTATATTCAACCTTTGCGACGGCTTTATCGAAGAGCCTGGCTATCGCTTCGGATGAGCTGCTAGAGTAGGGAGAGTTATATGGTAGGGGGTATTGCTAAATTAGGAGGGGTTGAATGACATTGTGCGTAAATTTTTGTTGGCACCTTAAAGAAGGGTAAGGTGGTAAGGCTATTTCGGAGGGAGCAGAAGATATTCTTCTTGAATTCATGTTGAAAAGAAGAGAAAGTAATTGATTGTAAGCTTGTTAGATTTCTACTACAGTAGTCTAGTAGTGGTCTCTTCCTTCGTTGGTAAAAAAAAAGAGAAGATTAAAATGTATTCAAAGGAGAATCTTGAATATTTAGCAGTAAGTCTGGATAGGATGATAGTAGAGTATAATTCTATTTTCAATTGGACGTGCAAAAATGTTGAAGCTTGAAAAAGAAGAATTTTGGTTGAATGCCCCTGAAGAATTGCCGAGTTTTGTCGGGCTTCCGTATGATCCATCTATGATGTTCTGTTGATACAATCCGTAGTGTTTTTCTAACAATCCACTGGCCATGGGGGACAAAACTTTTATTCACTTCTGCACACTGGACAACAACAATGGCACATGGCAGAATGTTGGTAAAGGAGAACAATAGAAGCATGATTATTTCTGTGTCGAAAGAAATGGCAGTTCAGGTGCATTTAAACGCGAACAGCGTAAAAAGCCAATGACTGGCTGTAATTATTGTGTGTATGCCTTACGGGCTGGCCCCAAGCCAAGTAGAAGATTCGTGAAGTGTACTACGGATACTGGAGTCCGTTTCGCTTCCACCAGTGTTCTTCAAAATATATATCATAGAGTGGAGTTACCGCGCCATGATTCCAGAGTCAAATGTAGCTCGGCGAGATCATACAAAAACATCTTAATAGGTGAAGAGAAGATGGGCCACAGGCACCACGCGCGAAAAACGGGTTGTAATAGGAGAGAAATACCAGACCTAGATCGTTCGATGTGTACGGGAACAAATACTAATTACCAAACAGAAATGTGGAGGCTAGCAGTAAAAAGCCAAATGATGGTTTTTGATCCGGTACGCTGAAAGCACTTGAGCATTCTTGGTAAGATAATTATGAAGACGAAAAGATGCCTCAAATCAATGGGAGTTCAATATCTTGATCCCAGATACTTCTAAAGAGGTTTCCAGACTGACAGACGAGGAAAAGAAGTAGCAGCAGAGAAGACGTAGTAATAGGAGGAAGAAGAGTGTGAAGACAAGACAGATATTAGAATGTCAAACTTGCAAGTAGTGTGCTTGCAGGTGAATCTAGACGAATCCCAACAAGATTAGGTCTATCAGCTTTCTAGATGGGAGAATCTCTTGGAGAGGAACAGAAATCGACCAGAAGGAAAGAAAACCGATTTATCAGTGAAGTGGAAAAGATTTGGTGATTGTGTGCAAGTTCATGAGTGAGGTGTGAAGTTATGAGGACATTCGCCTATGATTATAATCACACCCCAAATATCAGCTTCATTTGGTTAAATTATCGCTAAGGACACACCCCTGAACAGGTTAATAATTGGATTGGATTTTGCAACCTTCTCACCTTGTTTTTTCCACGCCAACCGCATTACGGCAATTTCAATCACCCTTCATACATTCAGATCAGACGACCCTATCAAAGTACAAGTAAAATACAAATAAAATACCAGTACTGCTTCCAAGTTGCTTTATCTTGCGGCCTGATTATGGGTGAATGTCTTGGCGCGCTGACTTTCCTACTGGTCCGCTGCCTTTGGTCAATGTTGGTTGAGAGTGTACAACTTTCGAGGCGGTCCCCTTTCGCTGGGAGTGTGAATTGGCTTTGTAGGTCTGATGGATTGTGCGGAGATTGAGCGAAAGGTAATATCGATGTGGACGAGATTATCTGTGTTTGAGATCTCACGGTAATCATTCAACCAATACATAAAAAGACATTGCTGCATTTGAGCGATGTTTAGATCGAGTGGTCTAACCTTCGCACACTATCGCCGCAATACTGTTGAATTCCTGTTAATGCTCAAATTCTGTTGGATTTCACACGGCAAGCGGTTGTTCATGGCATGGAGTTGATGGATTTGCCGGTGCCTTCACTCACTGTTGGTGATAGGACGTTTTTTTTTTATTAGTTCTAACTGTTAGCCTGGGCTATTTCCTCATTTCTCTTCCACTGCGCCAATCCCCTGTTCCTCTGTTGCCTTTCGTGCTATGAACGATAAGATCCAGCAGTGTGTACTTTTTTTTTTTCAAAGCATTTGCTTCCAGCATTTCCGGCCTTTTGGTGCTGCAATTTTACATACATCGCTGCGCCAATAAACTAACTCGACGACCTTGACATCCTTATGCATCTCCTGTAGAAAGCTTTCGGCTTTATTTACCATTTTTTCGGGAAGCGACTTGACGAGCTGTCGTGGTGTCTTCTACATTGAGGTGGAGGTTGGGATCTGTTTTCTTCTCTCCGAACCTTGAAACTCGTTAATCATATGCGCCTTTTTTTATCATGGTTTTGATATATTTGAATATTAAAATTTTTATAACACCGGAGAAAGTATTTCTAGTGTCATGCGAGGAATCATTGGATTACTTTTAGAGCGTCAGCACATCGTGATCGCACCAGGCCGAGCCGGGACGGAGACCTGCAAGCCCCGGCCGCGTCTGATGACCTCCTTTCCTTCCTTTAGAACTACCTACATAATCTCCGAATCAATGGCCTTAACCATTCATTTCTTTCGAATATTAAGTTTCGGTCCTATTACACTACTAAGATTAATGACCACCGTATTTTTTTCAAGCTTTTTGTATTTGCCGTTCATGTAAGGATCGCTTCTCTCCTTTTCCGGTGAGCTATTGATAGAAACGAGCCGTAGTTCTGGCTTGCTCCGGTTCATACTTCTTTCACTGGGTCTTTAAATTTCAGGATAAGAGCTTCCCTAATTTTATGCCAAAAACTTGTCCGTGTCGTTGATTCAAGCTTCTCTTCAGCTCATAACACGGTCTACGAATAGCGGCTGATACTAGGGTACATGTTTCAGTAGTTAATACGGGTCTTTCTTAAATACTTAGTGATACAGATTCGAAATCAACATTAACTAAACATAAACAAGAAAACTCTACGAAGTATGAGACAACTGATATTTCAACCGTGAACTTGCTAGTATAAATTACGTGATATTCCTCATTTCATTTTATCTTATGCCTCACTTCTTTCATGCGGTAATCACAATTTGTGATTCAGACGGTTGGTATCGAGACACGGCGATTTTCCGGCCTTACATCGGTGCCAGGATGTTCAAGTGATACCAGATGACCATGCGAGTCCATCTTACTGGAATGCGGGGTGCAGGTTGGATAAATATATATTATGAGACATGTGGCTTCGAAGGCTTATCCGCTTATTTGGTTTGTGGAGAGGAAGTTCAGGAAGCTCTTTTAAACCTTCAGTTGTACGGAGTACAGGGTTTGAAATATCGAAAACAACCAATAATAATCCTCCGAATATATATTTTTTGCTTGTTGGTGAGATATTAGAACAGACGCTTGAATTAGGCTGTGATACAATGAAAAGAATTCTATATGAAACCGACGAAAGCCCGTCTCCGTCCATTACCTGACGTCGTGTTTATTGATGCATGGCTTCAGTTACACAAACTTCAAAATGCAACTTTGGTTTGGCACCACAGATCAATTACCATTTATGTTCGTCTGACCACTTCGAACCTTGAAACTGCCATCTCATCGTACGAAAATGTCATTTCCCATCTCTTAACCATGGTCCAACGATGCAGTTAAGGAAGATATGATTCCGAAATGTCGTTGATTCGACGGCACATAATGCCCAGGTACTAGGTAAAAGTGCCGCGGGTCCCGATTCACTTTTGCATGGTATGACAGTTCCGGTAATGTTGGTGCTCGTATGACTTCCCGGCAATTCAGGAGATCACTTCAGGTTAAAATTGGATTGAAATCTGGGGAAAGTTGTGGGGATTAAGAAATCTATTTCTACCTGTCGATCTTCTACTTAAGACAGACGAGTTACACCTCCAGATTTTCATCTTTCAATCAATTGTGTCAACAAATTTTCCAGTTTCGTCCTCAACATGCGTGCCTCTCAAGCACTTTCCATCGTTGCGTTTGCCCTCACAGCAACTTGCATGACAATCAAGCGTCAAGATGAGCAGACCAATCTTAAGAGAGAGGGTTGGACATCAGCTGGCTGCTACACTGATAATGTTTCCGGTCGTGCTCTGACTACACCAGGAGGAGTTCCCGGAGGACCCAGCACCATGACCAATGAAGCTTGTCAAACTGCTTGTGCGGGAGCTGGTTTCTCGTGGGCTGGTACCGAGTACGGAGGAGAATGCTGTACGTCGCCTTCTTCTTTTCCCGTCACCTCACAAATCTTTACTGATTATCTACGAATAGGGTGTGGCAACTCAATCATCAATGGAAATGGACCCGCTCCAGATGGAAATACTGGTTGTAACATGGCGTGCAATGGTAACGGCGGACAAACATGCGGTGGACCAAATCGTCTTACTGCGTTTCAAACCGGTGGTGGTGGATCCAGCACGCCTCCCTCCAACCCTGCGCCGAGCAAATCTGGAAAACGTGGTTTAGCATATGATTCCAATAATAAGTATGGTGATGCGTCTTTTGGTAATATGTTCAGGCAATACAGTAAGGTTAGTTGGGGTTATAATTGGGGATATACGAATCATGGTTTAGATTCAAGTCTTGATTTGTGAGTTACTTCAATTTTATTCTTCTCTTTCCTCATTTCTTTGGATTCCTTAATCAAATGATACGATCTTGAATGAAACTAATCAACATTCTCAGCGTTCCAATGCTTTGGGGAAACCCCAAAACTGTTGATCAGAATTGGGTTACAGCAGCTCAAAGCGCGAAGAGTGTCCTCGGCTTTAACGAACCAGATCTCACTTATGAACAATCTTCCAACATGCTTCCTGAAGTAGCAGCTCAAGGATACAAATCGTGGATTCAACCATTCGCAGGTCAGGTTCGCATTGGTGGTCCGGGTGTTTTGTGGAATAATTGGAATAGTGTAAGTAATTTCCTCTCTTAGACATCCGATGCCCATCAAGTTACTCCTAATATCACCTCATTCTTATTTACCCCACGGAACCTTACTAAACCCCATTTAGTGGTCCTCAGGCGGCGGCTACAGCTCCCGCGTCTGGACCCAATACTTCATGGGCAACTGTACCGGGTGCCACATCGATTTCGCCGCCATCCACTACTATCAAGACTGTGTTCCCAAATCAGGCGAATCTGGAACCGATTGGTTTATCACCAACATAACCAATGCCCACGATACACTCAATCTGCCGATCTGGATTACGGAATTCCAATGTTATGGCACGGATGAGCAACAGGCGCAATTTTTGAGGACGGTTTTGCCGTGGTTGGATAGTCAGGGTTATGTAGAGAGATATGCGTATTTTGGGGCTTTTCCCAATTTTTTGCTTAATGTTGATGGGTCGGCTTTGAGTCTGGCGGGGCAGGCGTATGTTAATTAGGGAGGGAGTGGGATGGTTTTGGTTGGGTTAGGTTTAGGATTTTAGAGGTTAGGGAATGGTTGTTTGGCGGGCGGCTTTCTGATGGAGCTTTTACTTTGGGCGCTTCACTGATCTGATCTATCTGAAGATGTTACAAGCACCTTGGATATGAATGATTATTCGATCAAGAGGCTACTTTTTAGGTTGATTAGTGGGTAATTAAAAAGACTGCAATGATATCTATCTACCTATCTATGAGAAGGGATTAAGACTTAAAGTGCATGCTATCATTTCATATGTCCATAAATTATGACTTGAATTTGTAATTCTGGATAATTGGAATGAGATATGAAGTGATATTATTATTACTATTCTGAAGCTAGAAATCTCTAGGGTGGTATTTACTAATTGACTATCTCAAATTTATAAACCTACAAAAAAGGATCAAATGATTTCCCAAACAATTAACACATAATTAACATTCCTTCAAGATCAACTTTTGCAAACCCTCATCATCTTTAAACTTCTCAAGCGCAATTAATTTCCACTCATCCCAAGAAACCCAACCATTAGAATCAAAATCCCAAGATTGAATTCGAAGCAGCGTACTAAAATTTTCAATGTAGGAAGAGATATCCCAATCCGAGATCTCATTCCCCATAATAAAATTAAATCTCTGTATCATTTTTCCCTTTTCCATATACTGGCTTAATCTTAATCCCTGATTTCGTGTACTATCCTCAAAGTCATGATCAAGTAAGCTAGCGAATTCCACTTCTTCTCTACTGAGAGTTGATTTGCCGTCGAAGAAATCCCCTTACGTTCCAGAGCATCATTGGTGATGTGAAGGCGATTGTTGCGGGGGTGGTGAATGCCCATTCCCAATCTATTATTCCGGTGATGTTGTAGTTTTCATCAATCATGATGTGAGTTCCTTGATCATCAGGATGTTTAAGATAGAATTTCCCATTTCCGGAAGATGAAAGTGATTGAGAGATGGAATTTGAAGAAGATAATTCGTGGAGAGAAAGATGGATGAGGTAAGTTTCTCTTAGCCATGAAGTATAAAGCACACCGTCTACAATCATACTGAGGATTCGTGCGATGATTTCCTCGTAATAATGAGCTGAATCTTGAAAAGGACCAAGGGTTTTGAGACTTTCAATATTATCAGAAGAATCCGAATCGGACAGGAGTTCTGAAGCAAGCGAACCAACGAAATACCTAGGCTCGGAATCTTGAAGATGTAACGAACCCATAATCTCGAAAGGATAGCGATAAAGCTCCTTATAAATGAAGGCAATTTGTTTCATAACCCTATATCTCTGCTCAACAGTCGGCACACACTTCGAAAAAGGCCGTCCGGGAACCTTCTCCATCAGGATATATGGCACACCGACTGCATTATCCGAGTTGGCGCAGAAATCAAATACAAGCGGAGCAGGCACTTGAGTATTTTGTAAGAAACGATATGTAGCAACTTCGCTTTCGATAACGAGGTTCTGTACCGACTTCAATGGCGTCGTTACATTTTGGCGTTTGATTCGAGCAATCCAGCGCACGTTATCGCTGAATTGAAGTTCAAGATGGAGATTTACATCTCCCATCATGGTGGAGAGATTATTTAAATCCGCGGGAATGATCATGCAAGAGAGGTTTCGTAAAAGTGATGCGCGTTTTGCTAAGGCATCTTGATTGATTCGAGATAGGAGGGTTTTAATTTCTACAATTTGGGCATTTAAGATTGCGGAATCGTATATATCATCCTGTATAAAACGTTAACATCAAATCAACTGCAAGCTAGTTGGAAGGATGAGTTATAACTAACGAACCTCTCGCTGGGGACATATATGACTAGGTCGTTCTAAATGCTGCGGGCATAGATGACGTTGGCAAAGCATACAATCACAGTGAAGTCTTACAGAAGGTCTCTGATAGTTTAGTGTATCACAAGTAAATGACATTGTGGAAAGAATAAACTTGATGATATGATTGTTTGTTAAGTATTAGCGGTTCAAGAAGAGGAAATGACTGGAGGGCTTGTTTAATAATCTGATGGAACTTTGCGACAAGCCCCTTGGATCTTTATCTTCAATATATAATAAAACTTTCTTATATTAATATAAGAATTTCATTATTTAAAATTTTAATAATTTTTTTTAATGTGACGCCTCACACCTTCGGGTCACGTGGCATGCCCCGTTTGTATTTAATCACAGGAAAACTCGTTACTCTTGTTCAAACGATGGCTACCCCAAGCCCCCCAAACCTCTCTAAAACACTTCCGACAAGGCCAGCAACCTTCTCAATAAGGTCAACGATGCTCAATCCATCTTCAACCCAGTTACCCAACTCCTAGATACCTACCTAGGCTCTAAGGAAGTCCGCCGCTCTCCCACCGAGTTCACGAAAACTCCTCACCTCCCTTTGCCTTGAGTTTAAGGCAACCATCGAACAGCACTTCGACGCCTTTATTACTGGTCATCCCCCCCCTAGGGGAGGTACTACTCTGTCTGTCACCCCCCTTTCCCCTTTTTCCCCCCCAACCACCACTCACACAAATACACTTACAATGCCTATAGACCCCAAACCCTTCTATATTCAGAAAGCCTCTACTTCAATCATTGCCCTCACAAACAAGACTCCCTTTGATAACCACTTATTCGTACGAATCAACCAAATGTACCCAACCCGAAGCGCTGGATCTTTTGCAATCCTCACAGCCCTAAAGAAAGTCCTCGGACCAAACGCCTCCCTCTTAAGGGAGGTTTAAGAGGTCAAAACAGGCTTCGCTCTCTGCACCAACTCAATAGCCAATCTATTAGCCCTTGAAAAACAGAAAGCCATTATATCATCCGCAATCGGAGACTGCAAAATTAAGGCCCAAAAGAAATGGACCACTTACCGTCTAAACTACGTCCCCAAGAAAGTCACCATCTTCAATGACCAATTCAAAATAGACTCCATTTTAATTACAAAAGATACGATCTCCGACACTATAAAGGAATACTCTGATCAGGTGCTTATTCATATTATCCAATCCCAAACGAACCCCTTACCTAATAAGTATTACTCAATATAGATAATAAACTTCAAGACAGGAGCAAAACCACTCAAAAAGAACCTGAAGATTCTAAAGGCTAACATCAGCACATCCCTTCTAGTACAAAAACCAAAGATCACTCAATGCAATCGTTGCTTTCAATGACACAACACAAGAACATGCCTCAAATCACAAATCTGCTGCCTATACAATTCGGGAAAGTATACAGAGAGCAATCATATTACCAATTGTGGTACTGAACACATATGCCCACCTAAATGCCTTCACTACAACGGCCCCCACCCTATAGATAACCCCAAATGCCCCCTTTGCCTATAAGGGAGAGAAAGGAAATCAAAATCAGAACACCAAACAATCCGGAAGATATACCTCGAAAACAGAAACTCTGTTTGTGTAAAGGCTGGATGTTCAAAGCTATCATCCGATGCACAAATCCCCTTCTATCCCTACCCCTCCCTCCCCCTTGGACCAACTTAGGCCAAGAACCCCTACCCACCTATTCGGCTCCACTCACTCCATAATTCTCTTCAGCACCCGCTCCGCTAATCGATTTGCAACAATCGCCAATCCAACCTTTATCCTGTTTAATGAACTATAAATTACTTATAATAACCCAAACTAATATAGGTAAAGAAGGGATCTCATACGATCTCGTCCTCAATCTAGCAAATATGGATCAAATTGATATCATCACAATCCAGAAGCCATATATATACAAAGATACCTCAAAAAAAATCACCAAAACTCACCTCTTCTACAAAATCTTCACTTTATTAAACGATTAGAAGAAAAACCCTTATATCCTCATCTATATCAAAAAAGAAATAGGAATTCAGATCAATCAGATCAGACCGATAATCTTCAGAGACCTAATATTTATACAATTAATATCTATAAATAATACAATATTTACCATTATAAATATTTACAACGTTTCAATACAATATACAGATGGCAATCAAGCTATCAAGACACTCTTTGAACTCCAAAACTTCCTAAACAACACCATCTTACTAAGCGACTTCAACCTCCACCACCCCAACTAGAATCCCCTCCATCCATCCCCTTCAACGCTAACCGAACCCTTTATAGAATGATCAAACTCCTGGAATCTACACCTCATCTCCCCAATCGGAACTCCTACTCACTTAAAGAGAAACATCTTGGACCTTACCTTCCTTTCAGAGCCCTATACAGTATATACCGCCCTCGCTGAACAACTAGAGTGCACCTCAGATTACAGCACCCTAAAAACCTACCTTCATTGGAATTACCGAAACCAAAAGCCTGCAAAGAAACTCAAGCTAAATACATTGAATGAAACGCTCTTTAAAGACCTACTAAAAACTAATCTTACCAACATTACAGCTATCCCCAGAATACCCTCTCTAAAAGACCTAGATCAAGCTGCATCATCCCTTACACAAGCCCTTACAAAAGCCTATACAGGATCTGCAAGAAGATCCATAAACAAACTTTTTCAATAATCTTAATGAAACAAAGACTATATAAAGACTATATATAAATATAGAATCATCAATACACCTACATCCAAATACTCTCTTCAGAAAACAATCCGAAAAGCAAAACATATTTTCTATATTACAAAAGTGGATAAAATAGAAGATATAAACGATATATATCGAATAACCAAATGATATCAATCTATAGGAATATACTATACCCCCTCTTTAACAGATCTATCAAAACAAACTATTGCAAATATTATCGAAGAGAAAAGGGAAACCTTCGCCAACAACCTACTAACAAACCTAACCGAGGTTGATGATATCCCATTCGATACCCCTACAACCTCAAGCAGATCTATCACCTTCTCTGATATAATTATACAAGATATAGAGCTGGCTATTTTAAAAGCAGGGAACATAGTATCTGATGCAGACGAAATCCCAACAAAAATCCTACAAATCGTATGGCTACAAATAAAAGAAGTAACTCTATCCCTTTTCAAAGGTTGTCTATATTTAGGACACTACCTAAAATGCTTCCGATTAGTTATCATCGTAATCATCCCTAAACCCAACAAGTCAGATTATACTAACCCAAGATTATACCGATCAATTGCCTTGTTCTCGGTCCTAGGCAAAGGCCTCGAAAGATTCATTACGAAGAAGGTATTATGGCTTGCTCTAAACTACCAAGTCCTAGCGAACCAACAATTCGGAGCTCTACCCTTGCGATCCTCAGTGGACCTCACCACTTGCGTTACATATGACATTGAGGTATCCTTAAAACAAGGGTTAAAGACTACCCTGTTTATAATGAATGTAAAAGATGCTTTTGATGCAGTGCTACCAAAAAGATTAGTGAATCGCCTTCGGGAACAAGGATAGCCAAACAACCTGGTTAGATGGGTTCAGTCCTTCGCCACTAATCGATCCATCAAGATCCGACTAGACAACGAGACTGGCCCGGAAACAAAGCTAGAATGCAGTCTTCCTCAAGGTTCACCGATCTCCCCGATCCTGTTCATACTCTACATTATGCCTCTCTTCTGGATAGGCAAACCACAAAACAGATTCGGATATACAGACGATATTGCGATACTAGCAACATCAAACTCATTACAAACAAACTATAATTCTCTAAAAATAAATATACAAGAAACTCTCGAATAAGAAAAAACCGAAGGTATTACTTTTGACCTTAAGAAATCTGAGCTTATACACTTCTATAAAGGATACTGAATACTAATAGATACCTTTACAATACACACCAGATCTATAAATATAGAGATCAAACCTAGCCCGCTCAAATAACTCGGAGTCCATTTCGATAGGAAACTATACTTCAAACCACATATCCAGATCCTCGCAACCAAAGCCCTCAAGGGAGCCAACGCACTGAGATCCCTCAGCAATATACACCGAGGGATACCCCCATATCTCACCAGGAAAGTAGCTGAAGCTTGCATACTCAAAAAGTGCTATTTCGCCTCGGAAACATAATAGCTAGGCCGAATCAAAACAAAGAAGAATGCCCTAAACAACCTGATCTCGATCTCAAATATAGTGGACAACTATCTAAGCTTACTCAACAAAATGGTAATCATTTATACAAGGGCAATCCTCCCAATATACAAAACCACAAACATAACAGTACTCTACAAGGAAGCCAAACTCAGACCATCCGAGATCGAGCTAAACCTGATTTCACAATTATATACAGCACAAACCATCAGACTAGACCTTTACTATCCTCTCAGGATCAGAGCAAAGAACATAATCAAAGCCAGAGAATATAATTACACCCCAGATACAAGATTCGCAAGGCTCATTACAACATTATTAAAGATTGAACACATAAACCCCTTAGCCTTCCCACCCTGGAAAATCAGAGAGTCAAGGGCAAAGGCCGAGGCCTGCATCAATAGTCCGATAAACAGAACGAAGACACAAGCAACCGAAGACTTCAAAGCCTTCCACGCCAAGATCCCAAGAAGCGATATACAAATCTTCTCAGATGGCTCAAAAAGTGAAAGCAAGGATGGTGCAACTGGGGGCGGATTCATAATCTCACAATTCGATATTCAGATAGTATATTATTCTTTTTCATTAGGTATAAATACAGAAGTATTCGATGCAGAAGTCACAGCCGCAGTAGCAGGGGCAGCAAAAGCCCTTACTCTAGTATCAATCAAATTGGCCACAGATCTCTGGATCTTTTTAGACAACCACAAGACTGCTCTCCGATTAGGATCCCACTTCAATGGTTCCTCACAGAGAGTCTTTGAAGACTTTCTGAAGTTCACACAAGCTTGGGCTGTTAGATCAAGGCTCCTACACACCTCCCCCGGGAAAATCCGCGTCCGATGGGTCCCAGGGCACCTGGATATCCCTAGCAACGAAATAACTGACAAAGCCGCTAAGGAAGGAACAAAACTCCCTTTTCCCCTCAACCCGATCTATATACTAGCATCCCTAAAAAGAATGATTAAAATAAAGACCAACAAAGCAAACAAACAATTATAGAATACAATCAGCCTATAATACTACAAAGATCTCCAATTCAACTACACTTCTAATACAGACACCCTCTCTCTGAAGAGAGCCACACTCCACTATATTCTCGCTATCAGATCACAGTATAACAACTTCGCAGCATACTATGAATACTTCAATCATACTATAGTCTATGTTCATTGCTTGTATGGTAAAAGGAAAACTCTATTACACTTTTTCTTTTGCAAAAAAGGAAAAGCCTTCAAAGCACTTATAAAGAGCCCCTTCTCCGAAGTTATCCCCTAGTTTCTAAGAAATCCCACCGGTATAGCCAAACTAGCCGAATAGCTAGAATACACCAAGTTCTACACAAAAATCTGCCTGTAACACACAGGTGCAAGATAAAAAAAAAAAAAAAAAAACTTTCTTTCTTTTATTGGATTCAAATAGAGTTAATAAATCTCTAAGGGTGCTTTTCCTTCTTTTTCTTTCCTTTTTTTCATTATTCCCTTTTCTTTCATTAAAAAAAAAAAAAAAAAAAAACAAGTATACATACGAACAACCAAAACAAGTACAAGGAGACAGGGAGAGAGATCAAGAGGTAGTGATCTAATGGACGAGGATGACCACAATTACAACCCCAAAAGGCCTACCGGCCCAAACCCCCCTTGCGAAGGCAATCATGTAAACCCTGCCCTAGCCCCCTTTAAATTGTATAAAAATACTCCCCCTAGCTAGCTAGTAAACCACTCAGAGGCTTCTCCTCTGAACGTCATTTGTCCAAAACTGGAATAGATAGCTAAGGTTATCATGTGCCAAGACGCGTGGGCCTACAGTCTATGACGATAAATACAATCAATCAATCAATTAATCGTTACTCTTGTTGGGATGCGAAGATTCAACATCTGTATACGGTATATCCTACAAATCTCTAGTTCTCTTATGAGAGTCTGCAAAGCTAAGTTTGAGTTATTTGATGGAGTCGTGGTAATTGGAAGAGGAAAAGGCGCCCGATCACAACGTTTTTACCCGTTTGCGGTTTTTTGATAGTTATATTATCGAAATACACTCTTTACAACACTATCTTTATTACAAAACAAAGGACAATATCATCATCTACAACAATATGCCACGAAATCATTTCATTTCTTAAAAGTAAGACTCCTCTGGAATATATAGTACAACTCAATATCTTTAATATATATATGTTATATATTGTATACCTCCCATGATCGATACAATTGAAACAACAACAATTTATATACCTTTCATACGGGAACACCGGAGGAGTACTGTTGAAGGACCTGAGCTGATGACGAAACTTACTCTGCTCTCATTCAGCGGAGGTATGTTACTTACAGAATTGGGATATCTATACAAGCTATTATCTGTATATATTATAGTTATATTATATAAGGATTGGTGCTCCTTTATAAGCTTTCTATTGGCAGGATGATCAGAATGAGGACGAGGCAATCCTGATGGTGGGCGATTACAATACGTTCTGGTATATAAGGAGTAATTGGATTGATGGTATCGGGAAGGGGATCAGGGATGAAGGGTTTTCGAATATAATGTTTTAATAGTATAAGGGGAAGGGAGAGAGATCAAGAGCTAGTGATCTAGTGGACGAGGATGACCACAATTACAACCCCAAAAGGCCTACCGGCCCAAACCCCCCCTGCGAAGGCAATCATGTAAATCCTGCCCTAGCCCCCTTTAAATTGTATATAAATACTCCCCCTAGCTAGCTAGTAAATTACTCAGAGGCTTCTCCTCTGAGCGTCATTTGTCCAAAACTGGAATAGATGGCTAAGGTTATCACGCGCCAAGGCGCGTGGGCCTACGGCCTATGACGATAAACACAATCAATCAATCAATCAATCAATCGTTACTCTTGTTTTCCTTCTTCTTTTCTCCTTAGCTTAGTATTTTCTAATACAAGATACTCTACCCAGTATTCTTGAGTGTGACATTTAAAATAATATAAAATTAATTAAATGTTTTACTATATATCATAAGTATAAAAAACTTATTTTAAAATATATAACTTTTAAAATAAAATAATCAAATAAATTCAATTAAAAAAAGTTTTAAATCAATTAGATTATTTAAAATATCTCAATTTATGTTTATATAAATTTAATCTTACAAGATAATCTCAGATCTTATCTAAAATCTTGATTAAAATGAAATAAGGAAAGGAAATGAGAGGTGATGAAAAGTAATGAAAGAAAAGAAAAAAGACAGTTAGTATTGGGTTTATTGAGACCAGAAAGAGCATCAGATTGAATTGATTCTCTAGCTAAGCAGTTAAGCTGCGAGTATATATTCAAAAAAAAAAGGAATAAGGTTAGGTATTCAGCCTTCGGAATTAAAAGTGCTTTGAAATCAAAATATTGAAAGCAAACAAACAGTATACCAAAAAGGAAAGAATGAATTAAAGGTTGAGTTTGTTTGCTCCTTATATGCATCATGCAATATATATGCATATGCTGCCAAGATCCCAGGAGGTCAACAGTTAGCTAGCTAGCTATACTAAGTCTAATAGTAAGATTATCATAAGATATATACTCGTGAAATAATTATTAATCATCTTTAGACTCTCCTTCTATTCCTATCTTCTCGTAAATTCAACGAGTGCTAATGAAACGCGCTGACCTGTATGGCTGGTATATATAACAATTTCATCATGAGAAAAAGAAGCAACAAAAATATAACGCAAGGACAATTGCGTTATCCTCCCTAAAATAGTATCTCCTAATCCAATTTCATAAATATCATCTCCTCGTGTACTAAAGGTTTGACACCTCCACATGCCATTCCATTCCACTCCATCCTATATCCCAAACTCCTTTCTTCCTCCCGCTTGCAAAAGAATAAACACCTCAGTACCCACTATCCCAAATCTCCTCTTCACTCTTTATTAATTCCACCACCGGTGTCCTAGGCATAGCTTTCTTCATCTTCTTCCTATCTTCTTTCGTCACCAAGCGCGGTGTAATTGGCATCATGGGTGTAAATGGTTGATAAGGACTATATGGTACTGTGCCACCACTGAAAGGTGTTTTAAGACCCCCAGTTCTAAGTCCTCCAGTCTTTTGTCCATTATCCCTAGGGACACGTTCGAGAACGGTCATTTTAGTAGGAAGATTGGGGGAAAGCGTGTTTTGTTGGAATTGTTCTCGGAAGGGGAGGGAGCGGGTTGGGTTGACAGCAGAGGCAGTTTGAGTATTGTTAGTCGAAGTGGAGCCGATGACTGTGGATGATGATGGAGAATCAGGAGACGCCGAGGGACTGTTTGAGATTTTTGGGTTATTAGGGAGAGATAGTTTTGAAGAGGTAGACCGGAGAGGTCTGGAAAACATGGTTCTAGTGCGGTCGCTTGTTGCAGATTGAGGAGAAGCGGTATTCATTTCGGATTTGAGGGAGATTTGGAGATTACGAGTATTGAGGGAAGGAAGACTTCGTTGAGGAGATACAGGTGATATTGTTTCGAGAGTCTCTGCTATACTCCGAGTAGGTGATTCACCATTGGCTGATGTGGAGCCATAGGGAAGTTGATTTTTTGGAATTGGTGGTGGGGCTCGATGCACATATTCTCGTGGTGTTAAAGGCTCTTCATCCGATGCAGCATGTGAGAAAGTGGTGGAGTGTGGTGTTGCCATTGGAGATGAAATTCGTAATCCCCGGATTCCTTTTCTTCTTGGGGATTTAGGAGATTTCGGGGCTGATCTAGGAGAAGTAAGAGCTGAAATTATGGAGGATGCTCGAGAGTGGGTTTTGGTTGATATATTGTCATTGGTGTTGATTTCTGTTGGTTTATGTTTGCCGAACTTCTTTGATTGCGGTTGTTGTTGTAGTGCTGTCGCAGATACTTCGCCTGGTACTTTTGGAGGAGGCATACTTCTTACATCCACCCCTGCAGCCTTCGCCTCCTCCTGCTCCATAACATGAGCATATAAATCCTCAAGATTTCGATTCATCATTTCTCGATCAGCTTCAACAACCTTATTATCGATACTAAGGTTACTTTGGTGTGAATATACACTCTGGTGTATACTGTGATGTCTTTGCGTAGGGTAAACGTAAGAGGTCTCGTATGATTGGTGTATCGGAGGAAAAACAAAAGCGCTTGGGTCAGGATTTATTCCTGGTGCAAAGTATTTCTTATCAGGAGATGGCCAAGAAAAGTTTCGAAGATTTGCTGGAGTAAGTGGTGTTGGACCTGAAGACCCTGTGTTAATGCCACCATATGCTGAGTCTACCAATTCTACCTCCAAAGCTCTAGCATCCAATTCAAGTTGTCTTCGTAGTCTTCTTCCGAGAGTGATTATGAGAATTGCGACGACGCAAAGGGAAAATAAATATGCTCCAATAATACCACCAATCTGAGCTGGTAAAAGTTCTTTATTTCGTGAAGCTCCAGCTGAAAATGGTGGACCGTTTTCTGGTGGTGGCGCTGGTGACCAATCTATTCCTAACGGATTACTTCGAGGAACTTTTGTCGCCGAGATTGGTTTCGCAAATACCTTGATAGGTAAGAGAGCGAAAGTCGAGTAGATGAAGAGAAGGGATAACAATGACGAAGGGAATGCTGAGCAGATCAAACGAATGGAAGATAATAAATAGGCACAGCCTGATTCACTTTGAACCATCTTGTGTATGTAGATGATACAGTTGACCACTTTTATAGCCTCAACATCTCAAACAGACCGAAGTGTGTAACCTTCCATTGAAACCACTGGTGAAGTTATTATTTTCAGATCATATAAAGTGACATGAAGTGTTCCAGCTTTTCACACTTCAAGGGGGTATGAATTGACGTATATACCGGTACGGGACTGAAATCCTCCCAAGCTGAGAATGTTGCATATTACCTAGTAGGTATTGATTATTCGTGAAATGCACGATGTGTCGAGTATAGATGGGAAGTATTTGGCTTTCTTGCAATTGTATTGGCTGGAGAGTGAAAAAGTGATGGAGCTTTTGTTTGGTTGATGAGTATTTTGATAGCGGTTGGAAAATAGATTGACCAATAGAAAATCAGATGATCAAGTATTCATGGGATTATCAGCAGATTTAGTCAGTGCAGATACTGGATTAGGAAATAACCCTCGTTGAAGGTTGCAGTGACATTTTCGTCCAGTCCGGATGTGATGGTGATAAATGTTGTGGTTGGTTGAGGAGATAGCGTGCTGTGTCCTGTCATCCCTATGAAGGTTTCTGATTGGATGATTGTTTTATTATTATCATACCTTTTCCCGGGCGCTTAAAAAGACAAAGCATAATGGGGTCTAATTAAAGTGGTACCTGGTGTACCTACATAGGTAGGGACTGGAAGTAGCATTTATCATTTATCGGAAAGTTGGTTACAACTACCGAAGCTGGGGAAAATAGTCAAATTATCTTATTGAAGGTGCTGTCATCCATCAATCACGTATCACACATCACATCACACCAATGACTTCTGAACTTCGATATTGTAACTATTGAATTCCCTTTGCGGCCAATCAATACGAACAGCATCAAATGTTGTCTTCTTCCCTGGTCATCTCTCAAGGAAGATGATATCCTATATGATATGTGCACAGTAATTAACATACTGCGGCGATGTACGTATCTATCTGACAAGAAGATCTAGAAACCCAGCGGCTCACCAATGCCTTCAGGCTGCGATATGGCACAATACTATTCTATGTATGGCTCAAACGCAACGAATTAGGATACTAGGTAATCATAGGGGCTGTACTATTTTCACTCAGTCACACATTGTAAGATAGGTACACAATTCAAGTCGGACATGGTGTTGACTTACACCAACCCGAACAATTCCTTGCAGCTCAGAGGCTCAAGCCTGGTTTATGGATCCGTGCGCCGTGAACATTATATCGGTACTGGCGAAGCTATATATTAATAGAACTTAAACGACCTACGTAGGAGACCTTAACTGAGCTTCATATTACATTCACGGCCTTATTCCAGATACATGCCATCAAACATATGTTTGAATGCTAGGTATTCTCGGTGTCGTTATTTTGATCGAGAGTCTAGCATAAATTGGATTTTAATCCTTAACCTTCACAAAATCTTGCCGTAGTCGAGCAAATATAAATAGCTAAACGTATAACCACTAAATACATTATGCACATTTCGGACTACAGTGCCATAATTGGAAGCAGTACATTGATGATAGATATCATTAGCTTGGGGTTCAGAGCCTGACCTAGAGCTTACTTTTGAGCTAGTCGAGGCCTTGAAAAAGGCATGAATCAGCAGTTGATTGATGGACTGAAAACACAGTGTTACTGTGTGAACGAAGTGAATGACTTCAATTCAATTACTACTGTAATAAAGAACTAAGCGAACGCGAAAGAGACTAGCTCTTTTAGTAAGTCTATATAAGACTTACTACTTTCAATATGTAGCTAGCTCTTTAGACAGAATACAATTAGATATACAGGACCTACGTAATCCGTGGGTGCTACGTCTTCCGTATCCTTCTCGTACCAACAGTTACAGTACCTAGTCTCAATATCTGAACTGTTTCGACCTTGCAAAAAACCAACATACAAATACCAAATCAACTGGGACTTCTTCCAAATAATTTCATACGTTCAAAATCAGGTTAGTGATAACCAGGAAAAAGAGGAATGTCGCGAGTTTGTTCAATCGTTGGACAAGGGCGAAGATGTCTTCATGTCTCGATCGCAGTTCATAGGAAGGAGTATTATTATGTTGATACTCGCAGGGTGGAGGTCTGAATACCTAGAAGCTAGAAGGAGGTGAGGAAGTATGGTTATTTCGTTGCAGAATAGCTAGTTTCTCTCCGATTACAGACGAATTCTAAAAGAGTTTATAATATTTTGAATCATGCATAGTTTATAAAAAAGCCTTCACACTGATATCTCTATTCCGCCTGCATTCATCCACTTATTCCCTACAATACTTCTACTCCCATTTAAAGAACAAATTCATGGCACTAATTACTCAAGCATTCACCATGTAATTCTTGCATGACGTAGAGATATGGACATGGATATGGATATGGATATGGATAAGAATATTCACTACCATGATATCATACTAAGAGCGAAGATTAGCTCCAACCCGTTATTTACTTGATCTATATTATTATCTATTCATTTAAAAAACACCATCCTTCAATGCGCACAGAAATACTCGATCTCGTTTAAATCTCCTTACAACAACCTCGTGTTCATTATAAAAATAATACTAGTCTTGGCTCTTCACTCCTTGTATTTACGTCAAATGTCTTGCGTATTATTATCCTATGAGCATTGCAACTATTATGACAGACAACAGATATCTCATCTAATTGTAACGATACTGTACTGGAGGCAGCGGCTGCCTGAGGTTTCGTCTGGTTGGTAGTTATTGGTTAAGGCTTTATCACTGGTATTCACTTGGGAGTGAATTCGTTACTAGATCAAGTAGAATGTAGGTAAACTAATTGATAACTAAGTTGAGCACGAAGCTCCTAAACTATGAAACTACTCTGACTATATAATGATCGATAAAGGGAGCCCCCAGGAGCTTTCTGGCTCCTCAGGGCTCCTTATCACGTGATTCATTTTCATCCCAGGACACTAATCCCAATGGTGAATCGTGACAGGAAGCTGATAGGGCAGATCTGAGGCTATATTGGCTTTTATAAGAATCACCCCTTATCTTAGTTCTTGTTACGAGGGTAGCCGTCTAGATCACGTGGAAGTGCTCTAGGCTCTCGAGGTAGGTTTATAACTAGGCGTCAAGTAGGGACTTAAAGTAATGACAATAATGATATGCTATTCGTAACTAATAGTAGAGTATACTAAATGATTGATCTTGAGCACGAAGCTCTATACAAAGGAAATCCATCTTGATTATATAGACCTTCATGCTTCTATGATCACTACTGATCACTTGTAATCACGTGCCTTGGTCATGTAATGGTAGTTGTGTAGCCCGTCGTAACAGTTCTACGGAAGTGCGAAGCTCTCCTACAGAGAGCTGTCACGATTCATTAATTCACGTGACCTCGAGGACCTTTTGGACCTTAGGGTCCCAGAGGTCCTCAAAAGATGATATAGGGTATATAAACATTCATTTAGTCTCGTAGTTAAGGAGCTTCGTGCTCAACTTAGTTATCAATTAGTTTACCTACATTCTACTTGATCTAGTAACGACTTCACTTCCAAGTGAAGACCAGTGATAAAGCCTTAACCCACAACTACCAACCAGACGAAACCTTAGGCAGCCGCTGCCTCCAGTACAGTATCGTTACAAGAGCTTCTCAATCTAGTCCTAATAGGACTAGTGCCCTGTGCACGTGCTACGCAGGAACCATTCACTTTAACAGAATAATTTATTTTCTGAGTATATTTATATTATTTAATTAGAATTTAAATAATTAATATATAATATTCAATACTCAAATTACAATCCAATGACAAGAACCTATTAAATAAATACCAAAAAATATTTCAAAAAATCCAATCACTCGAAACCCAACCAAGCTTAAAAAACCCCAACAAACACAAAACAACAGCAACTTCCTCAAAACCACCTATCTACCTACACACAAACACAAACAATCCCCCCATCCGAATCGGCCCAACCATCTCCCCGACACCACACTCAACCACGCATACATAAGGTACAACTAACTCCGTGCCCGGTCGATCACTTAATAAAATAAACCTAGTAAATAACCTTACAGAAAAAGAACAACATTCCAGACTCCGACTCCGACTCCGACTCCGACTCCTAAATATCATCTGGTTGTAGGATTTTTATGTATATTATCTTTTTTTTTTTTTTTTTTTTTTTTTTTTTTTTAAAAAAAAAAAAGAATTTAAATTTTGTTTACTTTATTTTACTTTGTTCAGATTGATCTTCATAGACCTTTATGGAGTACTTAAGCTTTTGTGTTGTGTTATGTTGGATTGGATTTTCGATGAAGAGAAAAAAGAAGATAAAAGTAAAAAAGTGAAAAAAATTAAAAGTGTATCGGATTGTTATCTTAAGTTTGTAAATTAAAGCATGTATTGGTATGGCCATGTGCATGGGTGCACATTGGACACAGTTTGTCCTTGTACATACATACATACATGTAATGTAGTATACCCGTCCACTTGGTTAAAGTTAATCGTAAGATGAGATGAGATCAGATGAGATGAGACAACATGAGGCACATTTTCAGGATCGATCACCAGATAGATCTAGTGGGGTGATAATTCGTCGATTTTTGAAACTATCTTTCGATGTTTGTTTGGAAGTGTTTGAAATGCTCTTGCTAGCTATAGCTCTTTTGTGGACGGTAATAAAGGTGTAATTTGCAGGAATGATTTGAGGATTAATTTCAATCAAGTCAAGTGAGAACTTGCAATTGGATGTGGAGTGATCTTGAGATTTATGTATGTATGTATGACTCCATTGCAGATTTTTCCTCGCAAACTTAATAGAATGAGTTTCCAACAAGGGCAATACCTGCAGCTAACAGTGCTGCAGGAACTATAACAAAAGTAATACCGCATTTCCTCATATTTCCATAGATCAGATCTAGGAAATACTACTGTAGTACCAAATATTCTCAACATGATAAGTAATCGATACATCAAGCCCAGATCAATAATAGCTCCATCCACAAAATAAGCTGCACCTGCCCACTACCAAGTACATGCACATCAATCATCATGCAGTCAACCCTGAACCGCATGTACCAGTTCGATGAACACACACAGGTGATATTTTGACAACCGTTGGTATCAGCTTGGAGATGTTGAAAGTATAGTGCCAAGAACTCGATTCCATGCCGTAATATCTATATCCTTACTGATCTGATCGTATTCATGGGGAGATAAAGCTAAAAAAAACAATAAAAAGCTTCGAGGCTAAGCAACTCGCTAGCTCGTATAGCTCCTGGTACTCCTTCATGTCACATATGGCTGTGCAGACAATAACTATTGCACTCACAATTGTGTGGCTTCTACTCTATATAGTAGATAGATTGATATAATTGCGTCTCAATCACTTGCACCGGCGCATCCATCCATAGCTTGTGAAATTCAGCCGTATTCGGCGGTTGAATGTTACAATCAAGATCTAGTTGCTCTGTTGATAACCACCATGATAATATTCAGCCGTATAAACAATTAGACATCTTGTCCAGGATATATAAGTCTATCAGCCAGGCCAGCCAAGCAGCGCACCACTCGAAGAATAAAGCTAATCTAGATTAGCCCTAGATTTTCGCATGGATAGCAACGATTCATACACAAACCGTTTGTGCTCTTAGTGTCATTCCCAAGAGTCAGTGTCATTCGTTGTGTGAAAGCCGCTATACCAAGTCCAGTCAAAATAGCGACGGCGATTTCCATGTCTCAACTTAAAAAACTAGAGATAGAAAATTCGACGGCCGAAAAAGCAAGAAGAAAAGAAGCTTCTTTTATAGCAGGAAGCGAGAAGGGAAACTTGCATGCATGAAGCCTTGCAAAAAGTTTGGGAATATAGGGAATTCAACAATAATCGGGGACGATCTGAGGTAAATAAATTAAAACCCGACAGTTAAGCATGATCTGCAAACTCCCTATGAAAGCTCTACCCATTTGCCAATCACCGATGATGCGCCTGCCGCGTCGCAGTATATTATAAAACGTCTACCCCTGGTTTCCGGACTCTCGGAATGGGATTTCCGTCGGCTTCAGAAGGATTTCAACCAAGCATGGTAATTTAGTCGACGACCGACGTTAAACCTTCTTTAGACATTTGATGTTGTGATTGGTAAATGAAGCCCAGTGGGTGGGGAATATTTGGGATTCTGGGATTCTGGGATTCTGCAGCACTTGGAATCCCCTAGCTTTGTCAACTCCCGCTGTCTCCCGAGTCCCGCTGCAGGACCGGAGAAATATTACCGGACAGGTAATCTCGTTATTACTCTAGCATCATCTAGATGATGAGTAAACGTTTTATCATTTCTTTCCTCGGATCGATACTTCCCATGATTGTTCAATATCGCAAGTAGACATGCTCTTATGCATGATCGAATCATGTTGAAGACTTTGTACGGAGAAGGCTGTGACGAACAATACCATCTTGAGAGAGACGGTATTGCCGTCAATCAGGAATCGCCAAGGAAACCCCGTTGTAAATGTGAGTCTGAGGAGATGAAATCCGATTCTTCAGGAACATTAATGAACATTCTGTCAATATAAGCATCATATTGCTGAATAATAGGTTAAAGGGTAGTCAGTCCGATTACGACTCCTAACAAAGTTCACCTGGCAAAATCCAGTCCACCTAGCAATTCCAGTCCACATCATTCAGAATTAGATCCCGTATCAAAGCATGCGCATCAGATAAGATCACTACGTGTCCCCAACACCAGGATGCATGAATTAAAATTATCGGGCAAAAAGAGCAAAAAAAGAGATTTTTTCATGCCGTAGACTCCTACAAAATGTTTCTCGACATGGATGGCCCAAACCCCATTTTACAAAAAAATTTATACTTTCCCTCATCCCTTAATCCGTGCTGTGGGTAGGTAGAAAGATGCCTGCTGCGTATCTCTATTTTCGAATCCCCATGGTCAAATACCATCCATCCATACAAAGTATACTTTCATGTGCTTTTATAATAATGGATGATCCCGTCATCCCAAGAGTCTGCCATGACGTTCTTTTGTTCCGTGTTTTGATCTACTGATGCTTCTTGCTCCATTCTCGATATCTTCCTCAGCGTGTTGATAATGTCATCGCTGATAGCCGCGGCACCTGCTCCCGTGGGATATGTCGTGGATTTTGCCAATCCGGCGAGGAAGGGGGATATAACGGGCTATTGGGTTTTTGGCGTGGGAATGGTGTTGAGTTTTGCGTTTTTGTGTATGAGGATTTATACCAAGGTGGCTGTGGCGAGGAACTTTGCTACTGAGGATGGTAGGTCATCTTTCTCTGGAAACCATGTGTGGCTAGGATTTGCTAACGTCTTTGGTGAATGCAGCTTGTTTGATTTTGGCTTGGGTAAGTCCCTTGGCTTGAGTTACTTGGTGTTGCGTTGTATTGATCGATGGAATAGCTTGCCGGGGTAAGTGTGCAGGCTCTTCTCGTTTGTAAGTTGAGAAGCTATTGTGAGAAATAAAGCTGATGGGATATAGTCATGTGGCTGAACAAAGCTATTGGAGTCCATATATACGAAATGCCCGTGGAAGTATTTAATTTATACACCAAAGTAAGTACTCTACTCATCACTCACTCATCGCTACTCACCATTCCCCAATCCATCTAACAGCTTTGATATAGATTATTATGAGCGCCTTTATAATATACGTAGCTTGTCTCGGCCTGTCCAAAATTTCCCTCCTCCTCTTTTACAACCGTTTATCACCCATACGATGGTTTCGCACAGCGGTTTACTTCCTCATGTTTGTTGTATTCGCCTATAGCGTCGCCTTCATCTTCGCACTTATCTTCCCATGCAGGCCCGTGGCAAGGAATTGGGATATTCGCATTACCGATGGAGAATGTATTAATCGTGCAGCGATATATACTGCTGCCGCGGCTGTGAATATAACTACCGATATTGCACTTCTCGCCTTACCCATTCCAATGATTGTGGATTTGCAGATGCCCAAGATCCAGAAGGCGGGGTTGATTTTTATCTTTATGGTTGGTTCGATGTAGGTGGATGATTTCTTTGCTTAAACTGATTTCTAATATGAGAGGTAGTGCTGATGTTTGATGATACAGGACGTGTGTAACGAGTATAATTCGTTTAAAGGTCATATTACCTCTCCTCGTAGATAACGATGAGACATGGGAAGTTTCCGTTCCATGCATATGGACGTAAGTATCTTTCTCAATTTTAACACCCGGAAATCAAAACCAAGCTTGCGAAAATACTAATCCTAATCTCACCCCCACAGTATCGTAGAAGCCAACCTAGTAATAATCTGCGGTTCCTTCCCTATCACGCGCCAATTCTTAAAACACGTCGTCCCTCGCTGGATAGGCGAGTCATCATCCCCTGCCGCAAACTCCAGATACCGCAGCAGACATCCATATGATCTCGAAACCATCGGGCACCGATCATCAAAGAAGAAGCGTTCACGATACGGCATGGAATCACTAGACGACGGCGATAACGAAAACGATTTAGAGCTCGATGGAAGATTCGCGGAACATAAAGTTGAGATTGAGGCGACGGGAGGGGAGAGAAGTAGGGATAGTGGAGAAGAAGTAGAGGATACGGGAAGTGAAACGGGGATTGTAAAGACGAATGTTACGAAAGTGACGTTTTCGAAGAGAGAAACTAATGGATGGGAAGACAAGGACTCGCTTGCGTCATGAAGCGAGGGGCGAATCTATTTTTGTGCTACTAACTAAAAAATACAATTACAATTATGGTTTCTGGTTGTGGATGATAATCTAGAGAAGAAGAAAAGGCAGAGTAATTTTATTCATTGTTCATGTTAATTGGGTATCGCAGTTCTTTACGAGATTATTTCAGGGAAAACTTGGTGGTCAAGATTCAAGTGGAACTTTTCCCCCTCTCCTAGCTAGTGTCAACGGTATTTATATATCTAAGTTTAGATATAACGGAAAAATTAGTCACCGTATATAATTTTTACATCTACATCTACATCTACATCTACATCTTCAAATCCAATCCAACCCTATCCTATCCAAACCAAACAAGTTTCTCATTTTGCAAATAATCAACTGTACTATCATATATCGGTCAATCTTTAAATTTTAATTGTATCTACGAGCTTACTATAATTATACAAAATTACATTCTGTCTTTTCTCAAAACGACCCTCATTCGATATCATCATCAAATCATCCCCATCATCCCCTCTTGAATCAACAACAAAACCCTTTAAACAGCACCAACAGCATTGACAATAAAGTCACTCGCGGTCTGCGCATCCTCGGAGTATGTCAAATCTAGACATCAGTCAGCAAATAAATCCCCATAGCCGCAAATCCCCAAATCCACAGCCCTTCGAATCACCACGATCGAGGAGAAAAAAAAAAGAAAGAAAAAAAGAAAAACTCACGAGTAGTAAACCATCCAAGTTTAGTGCAGATAATATCCTGATTATGGCAAATACTCAAGACCTTGCTTGTTGGGACAGTACCCACAGCTTGTCCATTATCTGGATCACCGAACATGACTACGGCGGCAATTCTGGCCGTTACAGCTGCAGAGAGTGTTTTGGCAGCGTTGTGGACAAGTTGGGCACCTTGGGAGTAGCCGGAGAGAACGAGTTTTGCAGAGGGACATTTTGCGGCGGCGGTGTTGGTGAGGTTGGCCATGGTTGTTGAGCCGGTTGGGTCACCGCCTTCGAGGTAGCTGTGCGTGGGTTAGTTTTGCTTGAATGGTATGGGACGGGATGGAAAGAACGTACCCGAGGACATTGGCGGCGTAGTCAACTCCTTGTACTGTTACTTTGGCGGAAGTAAGTGAAGCTCTCAAGTCGGTAAAGACGTAAGGTCCAACATCTTGGCCGACATTTCCCTCTGATGTATAGTTAGCAGGTGATGATCGTAGGGAGATTAGAAAATCTGGAAATTCTCAGGCTAACACACCTTCATTAGTACCCCTTGCAAAAATCACAATAACAGGTTTGCAGGCATCAGTTGTGAGACCATTTTCCGTTGTTACAACACTGGGTGTAGCTGAGGCAGCGGCAGCAGCTACTACGGCTGATTCTTCAAAGAAGTGCGCGGTCGAAGCGAGGTGATCAGTCGTGGTTTTATCCGCTACTGCTTCGGATCGGACTTCTGTCTCTGCGACAGGAAGAGCTAGGGCGATGGAGGAGAGGGAAAGGAGGAGGGAAACTGAGAACTTCATTTTGAGGATGAAGATTGGTTTGCCTGACTGAGGAGTTGATAGGGTGAGGTTGAGGAGAAGGAGGAGAGATGAGATAAGATGAGATGACCGAAGAGAGCACTTTAAAGATGGCACTCAAGCTTAAAGAATCTAAGAAATCGAGGACGGGAATGAGTATTTATACCACAAATCCCAATATGCAACCTCAAACTCTAACTCCCAATTCATCACGTAACATCTGCAAGTCCCCCCTCCCGTTTGAATTTGACATCCCGAGGTGCTTCCCACAAACACTGAACCACCAAAGGCCACGTAACGTAGAACTCCAAACGCACTCACGCATTTGCATACATACATACAGTATCTCCAGACTAGGATTCTAAGCGACCCCAAAACCCCATTCAGAAGCTTATCTAGCTATATTCCTTCCTTCCTAATTTCCTCCGAGCTGCAGCCAAGCCCTTGTACTGAAGTTTAAACTGCAGAGTATATGTGATTGCTCCGACAGACCGGTAGCTTGATTTCTCCATGTGTGAGCCTGTGAGGAGACCGAGGTTGTTTTCCTGCATGTTAAATTGTTGTTGCTTATCATACTGTCAAAATAGCAATAGCAATGTTAACTTTAAAGAAGGAATTGATCCAACCGGGCAGGTGCCATCTGATCAATCACCTGCAGGTCCAATACGCAGGTCCGAAGCCATCAAAATGCATGGATGGCTAATCATATCATGGATCAGACGAGTGACCAAGCCATTCGAAAAATTGCGGGGTGAGCTTATGCTGGGGCTTAGTTCTTGTGTGATTCTTGGCTGCAGATGATGAGAAGAGGGTTCGTCTAGGATGAGGTGAGATGTCGGATGTGGACATGTGTTCTGGAAAAGGAAACAAGATATGTGTGTACTTTCCGTATGTGAAGGTAAATTAGTTGGAAGATAGCTAATCCAATCTAGTAAGGTTTCGGTTGTTAAATGCCTATCTCCTAGAAGTACCGTAAAATAGAGCGGCAGTCCCCGTCCCGTCCCGCTGCGTTTTAATTGCAGATATCGATCATTGCGTATATCTTGCTATCTACCAAGTAGACATGTTTCTCGTTTAATATATTCCAAACACGAGGTCATTATCATTACAAACTTTTAGATAACTAATCAACCCGCCCCCGAGTTCAACTAATGACGGAGTATAATGATTTCATCCCATACATATGCACCCCTCACACCAAAACAATCCGTCATATGCATCCCCCTTGTAGCCCTAAGCTTATACCCAAGATCAACCACAATCCTTCCGAAAAAGAGATATCCTCCGTCTCTGCATCCAGTAACTGACTCATCACTGATCCTGAAATAAACCAAAACACCAACCATCCTCAAGTAAAACGCAGAATCGGTAAACAAGAGCCCGAACAATTTCCATTTCACCAGCTATTATTTCCGGTACCTACGGAGGTACTAGGTGCTCATTACAATAAGCCGTTATATAGCCGTTATCAGGCGTATCCATGAAGAAAGTTGAAACTAGACTCAACTAAGTACCGACATAACTCTAGCGGATAGAAAATATACTCCGTCACAAAACTCCGAAAGCTAAGATTTGTAGGAAAATAATTATTGTTATTAGACCGATGGAACAACTAACGGCATCATTTCAAGAATTTTCCCACCGCTTTCTTAACACCGATTTATTATAACCTTTCGGAGTTTTTATAAGTCTTACTTTCTATTCTAATTTCGCACGAGTTATTAACGTGTTCGCGGTGTAAATATTCAGGATACGTTGATACATGGGATTTATCTATCCTTGTAGATACATTAACATACATCTAGGATATTTCCCCGCAAGAACCTAACGAAATTCCCCAAGAGGAAGGTGGCGGATCATATAGTTAGTGATTCCTGCCTAACGAAGCTCGGTTGATGTATTGCACCATGTCAATTAGCCATCTCACCAATAACATTTCACAGAATCACCCCGCATTTTACTATTTGGGTACCTTATGCGACTAGAGAAGTTGGGCACATTTCACTTTAGGCATGTGTTTGCTGATGATAAAGTACAAATGGGATAGTTAGTAGTTTATTTTGCTAAGGCCTGGTGGGCGTGCTACTGTATAAATTATCTAATAGGTCATTCAGTTTAAGTCTAAATCCTATTATGTCCGGTTGATTACATTCCTCTTCCTCGCAATACGGAAATACAGTAGATTAGTCCTAAAAGCGATTATTATCAAGAACAATAAAAAGTATCTATATAATATAATAGAACCTCGTTATATCAAAATCACGTCTATCAAATCTAATATATTAAAATTATAAAAGTTTACTTAATATAATCAAAACTTCAAAAACTTTAATATACCTAAATAAAAAATATAATTTTATAAAATAAATTTCTAATACTAAAACATCTAATACAACAAAATCTATTATAATCATCAAATAAAACAAAATAAAAAATCTCAATAATAATTTCAAATTTTAAAAAATATTTATACTATATACCTACTCTACTCTATACATTAAAGACCGGATGAAACGGAATACTATGTATGCAGCAGGGAAATTAAACGAGTGGCGGGTGGAATGGATTGAAAGAATTGTACTATATGATTATATGCGATGAATTTCTTATTGTGATTTTGATATTTTTTTATACCTATGTAATTATAGATTTCTATCTCTTCTCATCCCATCCATCTACTCATCTCATCTAATCCTATCTACTTTATCTATTTCATTTTATTTCTCATTTCATCTCTTCTCTTCCCATCCACATAATTCATTTTATCTCATCTCTCATTATATTCATCCCAATCCACAACACAACTACCAATCCCACAACCGCCGACCCATAACTACTAAGTATCATAAAACATATAATAATATGATTTTATTTCTATGTATTTATTTACTATATTGTAGATATATCATTCATTTCACAATATACCATATACATATAAAAGCCCAAAGTATCGATTTCTTCCAATCATCGATTCCTTTCCCCATCTCCATTATATCCAATACCCAATACAAAATACCCAATATAAAATCCCCCTTCCCCCCTCAAATACTTATCCCTCAAAAACTTACCAATCAATCCAAACACCGCCCGGCAAAACCCCCCTCATAACTCCCCAATGACCCACCGCACTCTTAACCTGCCACTCCATTAACCTTCCCGTCTCATTCCTCCTCAAAACTCCCGAGAATTCTTCCTCTCCCTTTTCTTGTCCTCTTCTCAATTCAGCTTCACTTATTTCCCACTTCGGTGATAGGTATGCTCTTCTCGAGTTACATCCTAAGAAATCTTTTTCTACTGGTTCTCGGAATGTGATTGATGATTTCACAGAAGATTCTGAGTCTCTGATTTCATGTGTTTCGGAAAGAGGTTTGGTGCAGAAGATTACCATATTTGTGAAATCTTGTCCTGTTTCCGCAATGTGTTCATCTGTTGGGGCTTCGGCTTCGCGGTAGATGCGGCAAGTAGGGAATAGCGAGCGGATTGTGCTATGGATGATTAGGAAAGGAGGGAGAACGAAGTCTCCAGCGTAGTTCTAGGGGATTATTAGTATGGAAATCAAGAAAGTTGCATAAAATAAGAACACATACAATAGCGATAACACCGCCCGGTTCTAGGATATCATAAAGATCCTTCAAAAACTCATATGTGAATAGTTCAACAGGTTCAGCTCCACCTGTAAATACATCGTGAACGATGTAATTGAACTTTTTCCCTTGAGCAGCGAAATTTGATGCAACAGATACCGCATCATCAATGATAGTTTCTTGAGGCTCAGGAAGAGCGAAATATTCACGAGCAAAATCTACCACAACAGGATCAATCTCTACCAAAGTAGTATGGATTCCATGAGATATCAGAGCAGCTGGTGTCGTACCAACACCGAGACCGCTATTTGATATCAGTAAGATGAAGATTCGAAAAGATCTTGGGAAACTCACATGATCAATGCACTAGCATCCTCGTCCTTAATCGGCTTCTCCACTTCAACCAGACGTACTGCCTCTAGCATTACAAAGATTCCATAAATGGGTTCAGGAATTCCTTTAGCTTTCTTCCCATTAACCAACCATTCTCCTCCTAACAGACTATGATCACAGCGCATAGCACGGAACCCACCACCTATCGACGAACTTTCAATAACAGAAATATATCCGGTTAAAGATTCTTTTCGATCAAGGATCGACCATTCATGAGAATTCATGGTAGTATTGAGTTTATTTAAAGCATATGGCGTGGGAACATGTGAATTAAATAATGCAGTATGAATTACCGCTGGGAATATCCAAAGAAGGAGTTTCGAAGGCGCGAAGGCGGCATACAAAGCTTGGAGAACAATTTCCATTCCAAGACGTGTGAAGATGAAGGATTGGCCTATGTATCGAGAAATTTGATTTGCAGATACATATTCAACAGTTTTGAAGAAAGCATATGAGATCATACCTGGTGCTGCATCGGAAATCCAAGGCCATCGACCAGATGTGAGTTCCAAATCGTCCAATGTAGTGGCCGTACACGAGGCGGAAAGGATGAGTAAAGGTAGAAATGTGAACCCTTCGGTAATAGGAGGTCCAAAATTAGCTCCCATGAGACCGCTTAGATTGAAAAGTAAATACTGGGTCATTGGAATATAGGCCGCGATAAAGGGAAGAAGTTGAACTGGTTTCCTGACTGGAAGATAACGTCTGATGAATAGATTTGATGACCAGCCTAAGAAGCAAGCTGTCATGACTCCTTTCGAATGCCATTTTCCAGCTGGATATGATCCATAAACTGGAGAGAGAGCGAGTTGAGAAACATTTGAATATATGGCAGCGAGTGAGAGGAGGGTAGCTGATTTAGCCAAGATCCAAAGTTGAGATAAGAGAAATCTGGTTGTAGTCTCTTCTTGAGCTTTTAAAGCTAAAGCCTTAAGTTCCTTTTCAAAGTTCTCTTGAGTAAATGATTGTAATTGTTCATCATTTATTATTTTTGGCTTCGATGTTTTGGAGGGCTTTGGTGATGGTTTCGGTGCCATGATCTTTGATTTGAGGTGGTTCGAAAAATGGAAATAGATGAGGATCCTCAAGCGATATTCAGACTTCCACAAGTGAGCTATCGAGCAAAAATACAGTAGATTAAAATATCAACATCACCTCCCACATGAGATGGGATTTGGATTTATATAATGATGAATTGATGAATTTAACTTTGAATACGTTGCGATAAATGTTTTGTTTTAGGCCAATGCGCGAATCCTGAAACGAGAAAAAACCACAAAACACACGTGATGTTTTGAATGAGAGAGGGGGAAGAAAGTCCTCGCTCGGAGTTTGATGTTTCCAATCCGTAAAAAGGTTTATTAGCATGAATAGGGTAAATTGGAGTTTTGACCATGGGATGAACTAATAGCTTGGGTGACGCCTTGGTACTACCCACGGAGCATGAAACTCTCTTTCCATGGATACAAGGTTATATATATATAATTAGTTTATGGACAAAATATAGATAGATAGCTGGTTTAGGGAAGGGGACCCTACGTGTCCCCTCTCCTTGAAATCCCTCCTCCAGTGTCGTTTGATAGCGGCTTTGCTGTCCTCGCCTCTCTCAATCGAATGAATCCTACTTTTAATCCATTAATGATCTCGATTTCAATTAATTAAACCCCTTTTAATGATTATTTATCACTTGCTCAAGTATGGATTTGTATCATGTGAAATTTACTAGACAAATTCTTTGAAATAGATGATCGCTGAATGGCGCTCATAGTCCTAGTTTAGGAAAAATTAAGAGCATGAACGTGTGTGTACCTTTATCGTGGTTAATGGATCAAGTTATAGAACTTCAATAATCACCTGTCACTGAGCTGTCGAATGAATCAAAATAATAAATTGGTATATAAATAATGGTACTACAGTTTTAGGATAACAAATATGTTATACAGGATGCCATCGTTGCCCTGCGGAAGAGGGCCCAACATGAAAACCCTCGACCCCCATTGGGATGAAACATAATCATACAGGATGCCATCGTTGCCCTGCTGCCGATGACTCAACATTAATATCATCGACACCCCTCACAACTCCACCGACAACATAAATTAGATCTTGATACCCTCCAATATAGGCTTAGCCTCTTCACTCTTCCACCAGCTGACTCCATCCTTTCCTGGGAACTCATATCGATCCATACTTGCTGCCTTCATTTCAACACTGTATCCTGGCTCCAATGGAGTCTGGTAGTAACCACCCTTGATGACGGATGGGTTCTCGAAGTGCTCATGGAGATGGTCAACGTATTCCAAAACGCTCAACTTTCCACTGACTACAACGTAGTCAATGGTACTCAAATGTTGAGTGTACTCTGGAAGTCCAACACCACCACTGTGTGGAACAATTGGGACACCGAATTTCTTTGCGATAAGCAAAACAGCCAAGACCTCGTTGACACCTCCCATACGACAAGCATCAATCTGGCAGACATCAATGGCTCCACTGGCTAGAAGTTGTTTGAAGATAACTCTGTTTTGACACATCTCACCGGTTGCAACACCGATTCCATATGGTTTTAGAGCTTCACGAATAGCTTTGTGGCCGAGGATATCATCAGGAGAAGTAGGCTCCTCGATAAACCATGGCTTAAACTCTTTGAGTTGTTGCATGTATTCGATAGCTTCAGGGACAGACCAGACCTATAAGAATGTTAGTTCTGGAACTGAATAACACTACGACAAGGTATCATACCTGGTTTGCGTCAACCATAAGAATATTACCCTTGTCATATCCAATGACTTCTCTGGCAATTGATAAACGTTCACGATCAGCCTCAACGGATGTTCCAACCTTGAGCTTGAAATGTCTGTATCCCTTTGCCAAAGTTTCCTCCAAGAGCCCCTTCATCTTCTCCTTACCATAACCCAACCATCCGGCACTTGTAGTATAAGCGGGAACAGCTTTGTTGTTCAAAGCATCTTCGATTCTCTTAGCCTTTCCTCCCTCTTCGGCCTTGAGCATAGCAATGGCTTCTTCAGGTGTAATAGCATCCGTAATGTAACGGAAATCAATACAGCTGACGAACTCTTCTGGGCTCATATCTGCCACAATTCTCCACACAGGCTTGTTGAGTGTCTTTGCCCATAAATCCCAGATAGCATTGACAACGGCTCCAAGGGCAAGATGAATGACACCCTTTTCTGGACCAATCCATCTAAGTTGTGAATCGGAAACGAGATATCTCCAGGTTTGACCCCAATTCGCGACGAGGGAGGAAAGGGTACGTCCCTTGAGACGGTCGGCGACATGATTGATTGCAGCACATACGATATCGTTTCCACGACCGATTGTGAAAGTCTGCGAGGGGAAATTGTGTTAGCAGAGTATATAAACAGGGGAATTGACAGAAAGGAACAATAGTCTTACCATGCCATGGCCAGAGAATTCAGAATCAGTCTTGAGAATACAGTATGCAGAACTGTAATCTCCAGCGGCGTTCATAGCATCCGATCCAGTCTTGTCGAGAGAAGTGGGGAATCGAACATCTCGAGTATCCCAACCTGTGATGGTGATTTCAGCCATGATGATTGATGTGATGGATGAGGGTAGGTGAAGAAAGGAGGTATATGGAAAAGTATGAGGGGGGGAGTGATGGAAGAGAAGAGAAAATAGGGAAGAAGGATTTACACTCAAGGAAAGAAGCAGACACATATATATATATAATTAATTGAGCCATTCAAACTGTTTGAAAAGCAGTCGAGGGAGTATGAACAATTGGCCCAAGAGTGGGGCAATTTGACGGAAGTCAAAAAGTCCACGATGATTTCTGGTTATTTTCCTTTTTCGTGTTAAATATTCAAGGATCCAGAGATTTTTATTGGTGGAAGAATATCGTTTCCAGTTCAACCCCGCGCTCCAGACTATTTTTGATTATTACGACGTAGGAAGTACAATTACCTCACACGGTCCTCATCTTTCCATTCACTTGACCTTCCCCCATCACTCCATTCACACTTCAAGGTCGCCAAAACCAACCCCTCATATCCCCTGATTCCGAAACCCCAACCCCCACATTGTTCGAGAATTTGGCGGGAGAAAGAAAATCCGGGTAAAAGGTAGAACTTTTGGTCCATTCATCCATTCCTTCATGCCATTATTACAATTAAAATGCAAATAAAAAGTAAATACGAAATATAATATCAAAGCGACTAATAGTCAGGAGTAATCCATCCATTCATTCAATAACAAGACTACATTAGCCACGTTTGCAGTATCACTTGATTCACTTCCCCATGTTTTTAGCCTTTCGATGCATTCTAAACTTGGTATAACCTCGTCCTTTTCGCATTCAATTTCCCCATTTATGGCCCAGCTATCGTTTCGAAGGTCCCTCCTTGAAATCCTACACTACATTGTCTATTTTTCGATCAAAGCGGAACGTAAATGAGATGCTCGTGACACTTCATACTTTGCAATGCCAATTCGTGAGTCTAGACTTACTTAACCTGTGGCTCGATTGCTGAGGTGCTTCGGTAGGAGTAGTGAGGTTTCAAATAGTCTTGTTATTCCACTCATTTCTTAGGTTGTGAAATTTGGCTGAAGTTAAAGACTCTATTTGTTTTCTCCTGGTGAATGCATTTCATGGAATGGTATTACTTTTTATCAAATCATTTGCAATGATATTTTAACACAATCCTTCTATCTTCATATCAACACATCCGAAAACTCTGGACCAACAGGATCTGGCCCTTCCAGGCCGTACACTGCTTTGACGCGCTGTCTTTGAATCAGAGCTATCAACGTACCATTATACATCTTTGCAAGGACATATATCAATTATGACCAATTCCAGCTTTCGCTCAACCCGAAAAGCATCCAGCCCATTATGCATGAAGCTGAGAGTACTTAGGAAGCGGAAATAGACAGGGATTACAATGACCATTTCTCTAACTTCAATTGAGGTAAAGCGACTTGAATAATAATCAAGCAAATACAAGCGTGTTAAGAGTTAAAAATATTGAGGTTTTGGGATAAGAAGAAGGATGGTTGACCCTTTCTTGCCTTGCTGAAGCACTACATACATAATATATGTGCCTGGCGTCCAATTTGTTCGAAGTCATCTATGATCTTGGCATTTTTCGAGGCATAATTCATAAGTGTGATGAAAGCCTGCATTTGCTGCGATTCTTTTTGATGAAGCCATCACCAATAAGTGTGCTTGATTTTGACACTGTGTTGCTATTATCGGGTCGGCACAGTTGCCGTTCAATTTGACAAATTTATGGAGTTTCAAAGTAATTCTTCAACCCGATGGACACCAAATTTCACTTGAATACAAAGTCAAAGGCGCGCGCAGAAGATCAATAAGAGCTCGCGGTTTACCCAGTCTTGAGTCAACAATTTACGATGTAAAAGTAAACATGGATGTAAACCAGGAGTATGAGTGAGTGATATGTTGATTTCTATAAATTTTTAGATGAAGACGATGTCTTCGGCGATGGTGATGGTAAGTAAACGGGTTACTGTATTGATTAGTTAATTGGCTAGAAATTGGAGGAAGCGCTAGAAGTGAAGAGGTTGAGATATTTTGTTTATGATATGTGGGAAGGGAAGGGGTCTGGATGGGTGTTTAGGTTCGATTAGATTAGATGAGGATGGGGATGAAGATGAAGAGGTTAGGTTTAAGAAGGGAAGTGCGTATTGTTGATGTTAGGGCTATAGCATCCCAGGTTGTATGTATATCTATTCCCCCCTATAAAATAATTGACTTTGGATATAGAACTGATGATGATATTGAAGTTCAAATTTCCCGCGTATAGTATTCTTAGGTTAGGTATCTAGTGTACATATACGGAATAAATAAGTATCATCATAAACAGAAATAAATATAAATATAGATAGAATTACTTCATACATTACTAGTTCCATTATAATATCATCAACTATCAACCATTAACTGCTGAACTTAAAACAAGTAGAATTAAACAGATATCAAGTCCTCAAGAACGAACTGAGCAGAACGCAACAGAACGGATCTTCCTCTTTCCTCTTTCCTCCACATACGAATCTATAATCCACTCAGGGTATCAATATTTTGCCAGCCAGTAAGTACACCATACACCATACATCATACGCCATTCCAATCCAATCCATTCCCAAAACTCCATCTCATCCATCAACAAACCAACCAAAAGTTTTGACCCAATACAACCAAAAACAAAGCTCTTTAGACAGTAAAAGTAAAAGTAGTACTCCATACACCATACATCATCATCATATCATCTAATCAACACATCCACCGTGTCCATATCATCAAAACCTGCTTCTTCAACCGTAGACTCCACATCCAACTGATCACCATCAAAGCTGAGAATAATTTTCTTCTCCGCCGGAATTCTATTCATACTCCTAAAGCCATCTACCAATTTCTGAACCGTCGTCGTAGCTTTCACATATGTTTTGAATTCCTTGATGTCCTTCGATTGCGCCTTGAGTATTAATCGCATCTTAGTTATTGGTTCCGGAACAACTTCAACGGCTTCTTCCTCATCGTCGCTGATTTCTTCCGCGGAGGCTGCTTTACAACATTCATCCCAGAGATCATTGGTCCATGCTTCCATGTGGATTCTACCGCTGTTGAATCCATCGCCTGTGCTATCGAGATCGCCGTTTGTATTGAAGTCCAAATTTAGTGATGCGCATGTCATAGAGTCGAATAATCTCTTATTTCTCCATGTGAGTAATATGGCATCTTTTAATTCTTCTGGCATGGGTACTCCATCCCATTGTTGTTTGTCGCACCAAGCTTGTCGAACTTCTCGTAATCGTTGATGTAGTTTCCTCTTGATAACTAAATTCTTGGTATTTTCAAGTCGAGATGAGATGAAGATTTCTAGAACTGGTTCCCCTTTTCGTTTATCCTGGAAGACGTCGTCGTCTGCGGCACTCCGGTCTGGCTCATGATTCCTATTTGCCCATTCGGCATTACTTCTCTGTTGCGCTAAATCTGCAAGCCGTTTATTCTCTCGAGCCTTTGCTAATAATTCCGGAAACTCCTCCTCAGAGAACGCATCTTCATCGTCATCGTCAATAATAGATGTCGGGTTGGCCGACGCTACAACCGGAGAGGAACTCCTGCTTATAGTTTGCCTAACAGGCACGGTATCCTCGGTTTCGCTATCGCTCAGTGATATATAACCCTTTGTAACAGCTTTACTATCCCCACTCTTGTTCCTTTTCTTTTGTACATCTTTCGCAAAACGACCCATCAAACTCGCAGGCGACCGACGCTTTTGTTGCGAGGATCTTATTTGTGACTTGCTACTATCAGGAGTAGATAATGAAGATTCCCTAAATCCCCAATCAGCATACATTCATGATAAGATCACACTCGCAGTCCATAAATACCTAGCCCTCAATTCCTCATCTTCCGTCTCACTACCCAAATCATTCACATCCACCTTCACATCCTCATCCCCGACTTTTCTCCTCTTCTCCAACCTCGGACTCGAAGATGATTTCTCCCTACTCTGCGAGGAACGTTTTCTCTCTGAAGTTGCAGCTTTCTTTTCTCTCTTAATTTCCTTCTCCTTAACATGTAACGGAAAGAGATCTTTCGCGCGACTAAAAGCATCCGTATGATTTTGACCCGGTTTAATATTTGGAGCTGGCGACTGGGTTAACTTTTTTTTGAACAGCGAGAACTTCTTTTTCACAGGAGGTGCTTCTACAGTATTGAGGTCTGCCATGTTTTGTTTGCTGTTTCTGCGATTTGATTGTGATTCTTAGAATTGTATTTATATTTGTAAAGTATTGTAATTCCGAGGTTGAAAGTGTGAACCTACAGTGGAAATTTTGGTGGGCTTCCAGGCCGGGCTGCATCTGCATGCGCTAAAAGTACCGGTAGCGATACCGATGCTTTATTCACTGCCATTGTCTTTGTAGGACGCGACTACGGTACGACGTTCAAAATTATTTTTCAATCAAAGAAAGAAACAATTCCGTGAAATCCAAATCGGTATCGCGAAACAAGATATGGAGAACGGAGCATTAAATCAAGGCGAAGGCAAGGATCCTTCATCCTTCCTGTCAGATATCATTGGGTCAAGAGTCATTGTGAAGCTCAATAACTCTCTCGTCTTCAAAGGTTAGCTACTAGTAACCCCTCCGTTGCATAGTTCCATCCTCACATATACGCAGGAGAATTACAATCAGTCGATGGATATATGAATATTGCGCTAGAGAAATGTGAGGAATGGGTTCATGGAAAGAAGAAGACGGTTCATGGAGATGCTTTTGTGCGGGGCAATAATGGTGAGGATTCTTCCTTCTGGACATCATCTCAATATGCGAAGCTAATTCCGTTTGTCTTTTAGTCATGTACATCTCGGCCGATGACTCTGCATAATAGCACAATGGTGAAAAAGCATTGGGTGGGAGTTATGGAGTGCTATACAGGAAGGATCCTTTTACGAAATTCATGATATTCAAAAGACGACGATGGGATGCGGTAAACCAGGAGAAGGACGGTGAAATACGTGCATGGCCATATGAAAATCGATATTCCAATATTTGGAAACTGTCGGAATAGAACAATGGGGTGGCTTCTGAAGCTATCTATGCCATCTATCTACTCATACCCTTGAGGTCCAGAAGAAATAAGTTTTCCCATGCAACGCAACCTCGCCTTTCTCATTACGCTCTGCATCCAATTCCTTCAACGAGTTGAGAACCTTCTGCTTTATCTGTTCTTTCTTCTCCGGCTCTAATACCGTAATCGCGCTCAAAGTCCCAAATCTATTCCAAATAGCCTCATCACTCAACCATGCCGTCCACTCAACATGATCTTCTCCCAACGGCAATGAGAACTGCGGGAAATCCTGCATGAATGTATCTTTCAAGGTTTGCAATGGAGTAGAATCCAATTGGTCCTCAAACACTTGTTTCCATTTCCCATTACGAAAGCGAGGAAGTCCATCTTCAGTACTTTCCACAATATCCTTTAGGACTTGTTCCCATTTTGTTGCTGTTGCTCGACCATCTCGTGGTGTGTTATCTATATTTGTGATTAGTAGTAGTTGAACAGATAGATTTGTGTACCATACAATCTTCGATGTTCCACTAAACATTCACATGTTAGTAACTGCATCTGACCTCCATATTTCAGGAATCCTTACAATCAGCCCAAGTACTCCTCCAGGTCTTAACACTCTATGAATCTCCTTCAAAGACTCCTTAGTAGCAAACCTTCTCGATAATCAGTTAAATCTTCCCCCATACTACAAATACATAACCTATCACTCACCAATGCCAAGACTAACCACAACACCAAGTCAGCGGAAACTCCCCCCATCAAAAACCACACAACCACTCACTCACCTGCGAAGCAATAACCGCATCAGCCCAACCCTCCTGCACCTCCATGCCCGCCGCATGACCCTCCACAATCCTCACCTTCCCCTTCCCCTCCCCCTCCCCAAATTTCCCCCTCAAAACCTCTCTCATCTCCTCATGAGGCTCCACACACAAAATCTCAAACCCCTCCTCCCTCTGCGCAAGCAAACTAGTAAACTTCCCCGTTCCAGCACCTACATCAATAATTCTCGCTCCCTCTACATTTTCCACTCCTAGATTACGTAGAAGTATAGTGAGTGCCTCGAGAGGGTAACTCGGACGATGTTTATCGTAGCTAGAGGCGTCGGAGAAGCCAGCTAGGGCTTCGGGTGCTATGGTTGACATTTTTGGGGGATATTCTGTTTCGGATTTATTGAGATGTATAGGTGGTACTGAGAAGATTATTTAAGGCTTCGTTGGAGGTGTATTTATTTACGTTGATTCGAAACTACGTCAGTGATGTGCGGCCCGGAAACCGGATGGCGTACTCCGTAAACCGCATCGCATTCACAAATGATGGGGAGGGTGTGATTGATTGTAAATACATTGTGAAGGGTTACTATGATTTCCCAAGAAATACCGATTATTATATATATATAAATAAGTAGAGTGAAACAAGGAAATCTAAGAAGGATAATACCATGCCAAACACCCCACGCTTTCAAAGACAGTTTACTACAATTTCAACACCACTAGAATTACTACCACAGCCGACATTCTTCTTGCATTCGCCAAACCCACCCTGAGCAGTAGATTTCTACCACCCAACTCTCCTTCTGCATCCCTTCGATATCCAACTCAAACGTGAAGCTTCCCCTAGAAGCCAGTAAGGCATCTAGTATGGAATTCCATTGGTCAAAAGCTGGAACTGATCATAGACTCCAGTGGAATAACTACCATAACTTCTCTTAATTAAGCCTCTCATGAACGTCGCGGCGTCAGCTTCCGTTTTGTCCAGCACAAATCTATCTCTGAAATGCTGAATAGTCTCAGGCTTGAAGCAAGGAAGGCCAGAATCCATCATGAGCATGACGAGCTGCGACAACTTCTCAGTGTATGGGCGCGAGGCCAAATAAGCTTTGACACAGAGTTCTTCAAACCATTTGAATGCTTGATGCTCTGTGCTTCCTCCCATCACAGCGACCATTTCTGTTGTGAGTTTGAATGGTGCTCTCTCGAATTTGACACCACCAGGTGCGATGTCGAAGCAGAATCCAAAATCAATGTGTAGAATGTGCCCAGCATCATCAATCATGATGTTGCCGTTATGTCGGTCCTTGAATTGCAACAAGAAAGAGATAACTGAGTATGCAGCCATACTTTTAACAAAGTTGGCTCGCGCTTCTTGGAATCTGAGGGAATCCTCGTTTCCGTACTTAGATATGAAATAGTCAAATAGACCATTCACAGCCTCTCTTCCAAGCATATCACGCGAGATGGAGTTTGGCAAAACGTCAATAACACCGCAACCAGGTGCTGTCGCAGTAACACGATAGGGAAAGACGTAAACATCAAGCCCCACGTTATTGAAGATTCCGCGGAAAGCAGCGATCATTTGAAGAGCTAGGACGTCTTGACGACAGTCATCACCAACCTTGAAAATAGCTGATTGCCAAATCTCGATAGAATTGTCATTCGAGGTGCTTCCATTTTTGTTGGTCTCTTCAAGCATGTCATCCGTGCCTTCCATGTCATTACCTATACTTTTCTTAATGCGGAAGGTTGCCATGTACGGCGCTTTAGCATGACTTTGAAGTGGCTTTCCGGATTGTCGATCAATACCAATTACCACACCATCAGGGTTACTAGGGAGGTAGACTCCAACCTCCACCTTGATTTTGCGCAATTCTTCTTCAATTTTCTGTTTCTTCTCTGGCTTTGGCCGTTTGATGTATGGCTTCAGCTTGCCGGAAATGCTAGTGACTTCGTCAAAGAATGTGAATTCGCGCTCATAGAACGTTTTATCAACACCCGAGAAGGACTCAATCATGCGGTTCATAACTTTATCGAGTGTGGGTTTGACAGGATCAGGCTAGATTTATTAGCTTAGCAATTTGAGATATACAAGTCACTTACAATTTGAGAATCTTCATCTTTGAAAGCATTGGCCTTCATGTTCCAAATAATTTGATGAGCAAAAAGCTGTGAAAACTTCGCAGTTTCGACAATATACCGCTCAACATATCCTAAGTCATCGTAGCGCAACGTTTGAACTATCTGGGGTACGTAAAAGAAAGTGACGTCTACAGGGTGACTTTCCAAAGCCCGCATAGCATATTGAATGATGAAAGGATGATTTCGGTATGACGGTAAGAAATACGTAACAGCAGATATCGGATTAACAGAAGCCCAGTATAAAAGGTACTACTTTTGTCAGCTTATTTTCAAATATTAGAGGCCTTTCATATCACTTACCTTCATTTGGAATGTCACATCAGGTGGCAAAGTGTCGCCAAGTAACACATGGAGTGCTTCAGGCTCCGATACTGCTTTGTCGGGAAATTGAAGCAAGAGCGAGCGGATTTCCTGGTGCAACCTCGCCGAAGGAAATCTAGAAGCAAGCTGTATAGCCAAAGATGGGCTTTCGTTCCAAGCTGTTTGCACCAGAGGAAGTAGCACTGCATCGTTAGCGACTCTGGCGGGAGTGGGAACTTGGATATCGCGTCCTTGACGTAAAGGATCAAGCCAAACATTCAACCTAGTCTGTTCGCTTTCTATCAAAATGTGCAAAAGCTCCTCCTTCGCCTGCATCAGTTGGAGTATAGCAGTGGGCTTGGAACCTGTCATTGTAACGCTTCTAAACGCTAGAACGACGTCGTTCAATAGGCGAGTCTCGGCCTTCAATTGCAGGCGGTTACCACCAAATGACCAACGTGGCGGGAATGTAAACCAACTGAGAGCAGCAGAAAGAATCTTGTCCTTCAGCCTACACTTAGACGGAAAGTCGAGAGAAGTGGTGTGTCTTAGGACTCTTAAGCCAAACAAGACGATTTGGAATCTAATCTCTCGAGCAAGCGGGTGCCCAGTAGAATGTTTCAAGCTATCTAGTGTATAGTTCAGGATTCTGATGAATGTCTTTTCTGTGTGCGAGCTTCCAAGACGAGTGGCATTGAAATGACTACTAAGGAGCTGTAGAAGTCGCATGTGGGGAGCAAGCATATTGTTAACAGCGTGTTGCTTTTTGGCCAGCACTGTCCTGTCGCTAGGTGCGAACTCCTCCTTGATGTAGAAAGGGTCCTGATGGCTATGGAAGATTAGTTTTTGATAGAGTATGGACATACGATTGTACTTACATGAACATGCCATTGAAGATCCCTATCTTACGATGTGAAGTCTGTTCCCATTGTTGGGCGATTTCCATGAGAATTCTAGGCTCCATGCTGGGATTTTCGTTGATGACACCCAGCCATAATGAACCTCCTAGTTTGATTGACTGCTTGGTGAAGATAGCGAAGGGTATGGAAACAAGATAGCGTATGATAGCACACTCATCCTTGTCACTTCGGCAAAGCAAAGCAGCAGCTCTCCTCAGTACATCACGGATTTCGCTAATAGCTATGTGTTTCTTTTTGTGAATTTGTGCTTCGAGTTTGGCCAAAAGTGATACCGCGTCATCACAATCTTTGTCAGGTTTAGATGTGATCGAAGGTTTGCGTTCATCGAGATGCATAGAACGCAGCCATTCAGCGTTGTGGTCCGGAAGAGCTTCTGCATAGCGGTACTCTTGCCTTGTAGTATATTGAGCAATGAAATCAGAGGCCGTGTTGATATTACAATCTCCGTGGCGATCGATCGCCTCAAGCCTGTGGTCCATACTTGGAATGATAGCTCCCATCTCTGTAGCAAACGACCGTCCCAGGGATATATGACCATAAGCGCCTTCATCGTCATACTCCGAGAGATATGTCTGTAGCAAGCCCTTTACATCTGCAGGAGCAATATTAATCACTGCTGTGACCCATCCTTTGGCTTTCCTGTATAGAGCATCAAGCGTACGACGACGGAGGCCATAATCATCGGATAATTCAATGGTTATTTTTGATTTCTCAGACGTAAAGGAAGATCTCAGTCCGTACTCATCTGTTTCGGCTTCCAAACAACTCATCCAAAGGAGTGACAACAGTTCAAGAAGTGCAAATAAAGAGGACTTTTGACAAAGGGCAGATGGGACATCTCGTATTATCCTATCCGCGCAGTTCATTGCAGCTTGCTGTACCCTTTCAATTCGATAACAACAACCGGTAAATATTGATGCCAACTGCTTAGCAACATAGGGAGCCGAAAATGTTGGGGTTAGGCCCGCTAAAGTTTTGCGCAAATAAATCTCCATCACGGAACCTGTGACAGCTTCCATCGTGCTGCTCATCTCACCTCTGCGCATGCTAGGCTCAAGAAAGTATCTCAGGGCTTTGCTACAGTCACCTGCATCAGCCCGTAGCGTTTCCACTAAATAAGCAGCCTGAAGAAAGATGACTTTGCGATAACTAAGTGCATTGATTTCTCTAGCTCTACTAGGAAGGAGAGCTGTGAGGCGCTTTTTCTGTGTTGTTTCATGGTCTTGACTGATCCCTCGGCGTAACACCGTATTGAGTTCAATGTCACTCTCTACTTGCTCACCTCGCTGCTCCGCAACAAGAGGTTTTGAATGGACCGCCAGAATGCGCAACTCTTTCAAGTAGAGCTGTCCACGCTCAGTGTTGGTGGTAAAGCCATGAACGACAATATTGAACCAAGCATCTCGTACCAAAGACAACATCTCCTCGCTGAGATCATTGTCGGAAACCATATTATTGGTAGAAAAAAAGACTGCCAGGGGCTGCAGTAACTGCGCAATCTCCTTAGCTGCAGATTCTACATCGCCTTCCCGCGTGCTGTGCCCTTGATGGACGTCTCCTTTGCTAATGATGTCCTCTAGTAAATTCCCGAGATATATGTCATGTAGAGGGGAATCTTTGCGCAAATTAGAGGAAAGGAAATTCCGGCCTTTCATTACCTAGACCGGGTTAGATGATGTGGGACTTCAAAGTTATTTTTATGAACTTACAGCATGTAGTATGATTTCGTTGTTTTTCATGACACCTAGATGCGTGATTTTTCCATAAAGCTTGAGCAATGACCGGAACTCTAGCGGCCCTCCACATAATGACAATTCTGCTGCAGCTGTGACGATACGAGCATCGATTAGTTGGTTGATTTTATCGATCTTTTGCAGGAGCATGGATTGGGCCAAAGCAATAATTTTAGCATCTTTACAGTCTCCAGCGATAGCACATATAGCCTGTACAACATTACCATAGACGGCAGAAGTGTCTTCTTCTGTGAATATTTCCAAGGATATAGAACTGCCATTAGAATTCTTTCCATAGAGAGTTGTCTGTGCAGCTCCATCCAGCGCCAGGTCTCCGTTAGGTACAGAAGGAGCTTTATCCGCATGACTTGCACCAGAGGTGAGAACATTTCCTAGCGTATAAAGGGTAGTTATTATAGCATCCTGGGATAAATTATGAAGAACATATGCGAGGCATGCGCAGGCAGCCCCAATTGTATTCCCTTGTGGATTGCCCTGAACAATGAATCGTGGTAGAAGACGACTGACTTCTGGTGCGAACTGAGGGGCGAGTTTGGAGATCAAGGCCATTGAGCGAAGGACAACATTGGCCAATGTCTCATCTGCCATTTGTACAGGATCCGCCAGGGTGTCCTCAAGCCAGGACATGAGTGTTTCGGGTTCAACTTCATCATCATTCACATTCAACATTGCACAATTCAGATAGGTTGTTATAGCACTTGCTTTGACTGAAAATGCCAGTCTTTGTTGCCAAGCAGAGCCCAAACGGAGATAATCTGCGCCGTCCTCGAGAAGACTTATTTCAATCGAAGCAATATTTGACAGGGTATTAACTGTGTCGGAATCAACCTGTTCGTTACGGGGTGAGTTAGGCCTCGAATCCTCAAGACGAGACATCAGAATGCTCAAAACATCATGGCGTTTAAGACTGTCGGCATCAACGAGAAGGAGTGATGAGCTTGCGACGAGTAGCCACATAAAGCTCCGTTGTAAAAGCATGGCACCCAACGGCCGACCAATAGCTGCATAATGACGAACATATCTCTTCCACTCTTTTACGTGACTGCTTTGGAGGTGGGTATTGCGAATAGTTGAGAAGGCCGTCTCTATCGCCACCAAAAAGCCTTCTGACAAAATAACCTTAACGCGTTCACATAGATCCAATCTCTCCCTTGCACTCCAAAAATTGGCCTGAGAAGCTACTGCGTCTAAAAAGCCCAAAAGAGATATCGTTACAGTTGCAACGTGGATTGCCTCTTCGATATCAGTAGCATATTCTGAACTAACTCCTCGATTTTCCGTGGCAGTCTCACTGGCATGTACACAATTGTCTAGATATATCGATAACTTTTCGGAAATGAGTCTTTGTAGATGGCCATGTTTTGTACCAATGGATAGGAGAGCCGTTGTGAGGTTGTAGCTTAGTGCTTCGACGGGAGACGGTTCGATCGCGCGAAAAAGGGGGGATTGCACAAACAATTGAGTATGGGCCTCGAGAACGTATGGGCTCAACTGACTGGTGAGTTTCTCTGCGCTGTATGTATTATCGATTAGAGGTGCTGCTTTGCACAAAGCCAGAAGTACTTCAAACTCCCTAATATTCTGCTCTGAGTATTAGCATTCTGCCTATTGAGAGATGTCCCCCTTTTCCGTACCATAGGAGAGCCCGCCAGAGAGCCCGAATGATCACTGTTAACTCCATTCACACGCCCAGATAACTTATTATTGCCAGAAGAAACTCTACAGAGCCTCTCAATATCAGAACCCTCAAAATTTTCAGTTGATGACGTCGCAGAGAGCTCAGCTATTTTAGCCAGCGCATTTCGCCGTATGCTTCTTGGGAGACTGTAAACAAACGTTTAGTATTTGGAAAGTATTGAAATATAAGTAAACTATAACTACACATACCTGGCCATTTTTGTTTGTAAATAGCAATCTGCTATTCAGGCATAATTAATTATCTTGAATTGTAGTGACTGGCTTCTTCATTCCCTATTAATACTAAGATCTTACAATAAAGTTGTTCCGTGCAGCTACCCCTGTCAGAAAGATTGGCGCTAGTTATCACCAGGCTGAAGGTCGACGCGACATCTACAGTGAGATACCTTTGTACCTCAAATTCCAAACTTCTACAACATTTATCAGATTCTCACAAAATTCATCGTATTCCAAGTTCAGAGACATCCAAATACGATAATCAAGATGTCCATGTTCAGCCAAAATCCTCTCATGAATGGTCCAAATTACTCCTTCAATCAAGCTCCAACCAAGCAAGGTGATGGTTTCACACAACATCATGGTTTCTACCCGTACGAATATCTTTCGACTTTGATGGCCTTGCAAAACTAATATTTTTCTAGATACACAGATAACGGTGGTTCTACTCTAGCAATCTCGGGTTCTGACTTCACCATCGTCGCCGGCGACACTCGTTCCACATCCGGATACAACATCAACACAAGATACCAACCCAAAGTCTTCAAGATCGGTGGAACAACCGCATCTCAAGATGATGCGACTCTCGTCCTCTCCGTCGTAGGATTTGCTGCAGATGGTGAAGCACTTAAGGAACGCCTCGACGCAATTGTCAAGATGTACCGTTATCAGCACGGCAAACCCATGAGTGTTAAAGCTTGCGCTCAACGATTAGCAACCATTTTATATAGCAAGCGATTCTTCCCATACTACGTTACCGCGATTCTTGGAGGGTTGGATGAGGAGGGAAAGGGAGCAGTTTACAGTTATGATCCTGTTGGAAGTTACGAGAGGGAACAGTGTAGGGCCGCAGGTGCTGCAGCCAGTTTGATCATGCCTTTCTTGGACAACCAGGTCAACTTTAAGAATCAATATATTCCGGGCAGTGGGGTGGGTCATGAATTGGCAGAAAGAGAAAAGATTCCATTGCCTAGAAATGAAGTGGAGGACTTGGTTAAGGATGCTTTTGACAGTGCGGTGGAAAGACATATTGAGGTCGGTGATGGTTTACAGATGTTAATCATTACGAAAGATGGCATTGAGGAGATTTATAAGCCATTGAAGAGGGATTAAGGTGCTTTTAGGACAGAGCGGTGATGCGGACTTGTATTAGTAGCAAGGCATGTGCATTCTTTAGCGACCGCCTTTACGAGACCAGGTGTTGCTTCTGAATTCATGAACTTTGTCAGAGCATTCAAATGAATTTGCATGTGGTGACCTGATTAACATATTTGCAGCCCGAAGGCATATCACATACAATAAAAGCTTTGACAACTAAACACAGGTCAAACATAATCACATAGGCACACACTCTCATTCAAGATTTTGGGAAAAAAAGTTTAATTGTACTAGTAACACATATTTACTGGTTGGTTAACTTCGGACTGATAAAGAATTCAGGTGAGCCGACTCTCGGGAGGAGCGACATAATGATTTTGTTGAAGGCGTCCGTAGGGCGGAATCATGAAAATGTTATAATGTAGAAGCTCTGCTAACGAAGTTCGAACCACACACCAACTGACCGGGTTTTGGAGCACTATCTCAAAGTTCCATATTCTACTCCGGATGAATAACAATGTTTTCAAAGTCTCGAATAGCTCCAACCGACTGAGTATCTGTGTATCTTGAGCACAATAAGTTAAGCTTAGTACTTGCATCTTCTCCCACCATGACACCTTTAACAGAAGTATCAAAGATGCACTCAATATCTGTATCATCATCGCCATAATATACTGCTTTAGAATCCGCGTCGAGTCTCCAGGATTCGAGCAACTGCTTCATTGCGGACAGTTTCGTGTCCCCTGACGTCAAGATAGTGCTTACTCCAGTATCCCCAAGCAAAGGACCCCTGATGAGGCCATTTTCGTCGGGATAGTTCGCTAGAATGGGTATGTCGATGTACTTTCTGAGGCACTGTTCCAAAACGCCTTTGATGAAGTCCTTCGAGAAACTGGCTGAGACGACTCCCCAGACACCATTTCGTCTCTCTATCTGTTGCACAAGCCCGCCGAAGCCTCTTCTGATTTTTACAGCCCCTGACAGGACAGCGACCCTACCAGCAGATTCCCACTCTTCTTTAGAAATGCCCGCAAACAGACCTGTTTTGTTGATACGGTCGATGCTTCTCAACTGTACTTCTTTCAGAGCTCTATTCACACCAATCGCGCCGGGCAATGGTAGTAACTTGGGCATCCGGAGGAGGTATTGTGCAACGCATGGAGCATGGTCAGCGGCGTATGATTTGACTAAGTCCTCCCATGTCTCCGACAAATCATAGCCTAGGACTCGTTGATGGGCAATTCCGACATCTGCAATGAGTTTGGTAGTGTCTTCTGTGGTGATTGTTCCGTCGAAATCAAAGATAAAATGAGTACCATGAGCCCAAAGATGCGCCATGATGTAAGGTTACTGTATTCTTGCTTGGTGTAACAGACAATTGGGATTTGAACCGGAAGGGTATGAGAAGAAGATTTGTGAATTGGAAGAGAGATGGTGGGAAGCATGGCTTCGAAAACAATAAAAGGCCGCCATTCAAATCGAACTTGCCATAACGATAAGATTGTGGCAGGCCACTTCCCTATAACTGATAACTACTACCTAATAGGGCTCATAGCACCTTCAAACATTCCACTTCAAAATTTCACAATAAAATAAAATCCTTAAGATTTTGAATTGCACTCGGGATATTTAAATAGGAGTAACGATTAGATAATCCTTTCATTAGCCTTTTGTGCTTCGTTAATGCTGTGAATCACGTGCCAGTTGTTTATTTTAGTATTGTCTTGTCCACAGCCGCGTGATAAGCACATGATCATGACTTTAGCCCTGTTAAAATGCTGCCAAGACCAATCTAGTGGCTAAATATTTGGGTGTTTGATTACTAAGCGGAAACACCAAAACACCTTGACCACCACTCGAGCTACTTTGTCTTCTTCGTCTTCATTTCCATTAACCATTAACTCTCACATTGAACATAATATCTCATCGGTATATGGAGTGGTCAGGGACTTACTTAATAGTTTGAGTTTGATTTTCGTCATCTTATTGAATATCAAATGATTGTTACAATTATAAGCAAAATATTCTCACCCATCTAGCAAGTTTCTAGCATTTTCCAGCATTTTCTAGCATTTTCCAGTGATTATTGCTGATGCTTCATGCTTCATGCTTCAATGACCTAATATCTCCTGACATCTATTTACCCCTCATTTGTTCTTTTCATTTCTATTTGCCCTCAAATATTGAAGTCGTCATTCTAGAACATGCCGGCGCTCAATTGAATATTGATTATTACATCACCCAAAGTAATTTCCAGCGCATGCTAGAAAGTCCCAACAGTCCATCAGATCAAATATTTAAAGGTAGGCTCTGTCTCTGTATATGCTCCTCTCTTTTTTCTACATCAACACAAGAATCATCAAAACAATTCATGCAATCTTGCTATCGAAAAGCTACAAAACTTCCAGTCGCAACAACTATCAAACGAATTCTCAAACCACAAACAACCACACGCAAAATGTCTCTCTTCCCAAGATCCTACCTCACAAACGAAGCTACCTCCTTCCACCCTCTTTTCCGCCTTCTCGATGACTTCGATCAATACAGCAGCGGTCGTAGCGGCGATGGCCACCGTCATGGCCGCAACAACGTCATGAAGACCTGGACTCCTAAATTTGACGTTAAGGAAGCCGGCGAGGTTTACGAACTTCAAGGTGAACTCCCAGGTATCGAACAAAAAGACATTGATATCGAATTCATCGACGATCAAACACTCAACATCCGTGGACGTACCGAGCGGTCTTACACTTCCGGCACTCCACCAGCTGGTTTCGTCGAGGATGCACCCACATCTGGTCAAATTACTGAAGGTGGTGAGGGCGAGCACAAAGACAAGGCCCATCAACCAACCGTCGAAGACGAAGATGCAGAAAATCAACAGGGTAACCAACAAGTTACCAAACATGAACAGAAAAAGTCCAAGGAGCCTGAGCACAGATACTGGGTTTCTGAGCGTAGCGTTGGTGAATTCTCTCGATCATTCAGCTTCCCAGTTCGCGTCAACCAGGATGAAGTTAAGGCTAGCATGAAGAATGGTATTCTTAGCATCATCGTTCCAAAGGCTAAGAAGCAAGAAAGCCGCAAGATCACTATTCAGTAAATCATCACTTTACGATTTTCTGATCACCTTTACGAAATTACGAAGGAATTGATGAAAAGGAGTTAGCAATGAGTATTTGGAATTGGCATTTCTAGTGATGGATTAGCTACGGTGTTTCGTGAGGGAAAGCTGGAGGATCACAAATGAAAATGAATTCGGTGTCGGAGAGGTGTTGATGGAGGAATTTCAGAGTGCGAGAGTTTAATTTTCTACTTCTTTGCTACAATTGCTTTAATCATATCAATTCAATCCTTTCTGTACACAGAATTTAATAAAAAGCGGTTTCTATCAAGATTTGTTGTCTGATAATATGCTAGTGAATTTGAAAGTGATAGAAGAATAGTCTTAAAATGTATAAATACTACACCGTACATACTCAATAGTTGACATATCCAAACGACTATGACTACTACTGCATATATATCAGAGTGAAGTACCATCCCAACTACCACATGACTTTTCCAACCATATATAGCACACCACACGCCTACATACACATACCAACCAGTATCATCCATCCATTCATTCACGCATACAACAAACATATCATCTACCAAACTTCCTTAATTAAATTACTTAATATATACTCTTACCCTATCATATACCATATGCATATATAAGATCTTATCTCGCATCTTACCTACTCACTAAATAAGTATATCAATCATAAACATATCACCCACATCTTTTGCATACGAGGGTATTTCGGAATCTTTGCCCCTCTTTGATTACCGGTGCTTCATTATCCTGTTATATTTTGTGCGTATTTCTTATACTTTATATCTCATACCTTGTACTTTATACTTTTTGTAGAATATAAAAAATGTGGTGGGGGGTTGTTCAGTTAGTATATACATGAGATTTATTAACTGCGTCCACCCCCGCCTTGCTTAGTCAAAAAGTCAAGCTATCGCGGGTGATTCGATCAACAAGATCAATCTGTATATTCTCGATTTCTGATAAGGCACAAAGACTATTTGTCGTCTTCAAGTCATTTTTAACAATCTCTTATCCAACACCGATCCAGCTCGAGCCTCTAGGATGAAAAAGCCACATGGAGAGTTAAAATATCGTCTGCAGAACGCTTAGGAACGAGCGTTGTACCTTCAACATGCCATAAAAGCCCTTGAATGAGATCCTCTTTCCACAAACCTAGCCACGTATGCAGGGTTCTGAATCATGTCGCTATATATTCTAGCTAGACCTGAGATGGCCACGAGACGATGGCTGATCCGAATCAAACCTTCTCTGAGTATAATCCTCGACGAGGTCATACCACAAACGAAATGTTCCTGAGTGCGACCACAATATTAATGGATAATCCAAATTGGAGGGTAAATAGTTTTTAGATGTTTTGAACTTCAAAAATGCCGGTGATTTCTAGATGAATTCAGATCCAAATGTCCCAATCAGAATAAGTCAAGATCTCAGATATTATATCTTCGACACATTCTGTTACGTGCGCCCCTTGCAAGTCTCTATTCCTTAGGTACTTACAGCATTTCCAGATAATTTGAGAAGCGGCGTGGTACAATAAACGATTGAGAAGTAATCAGTCCCTCTTGAAATTAATATCCAGTCCCGTTTAATCCAAGGCCAGTTATATTCGTCTTCACTAATTATCATACCATTCTGATGATAAGAATAGTTTTTTTGCTCTGTGGTTATATATCTGCTAGGTCGATGAAATATGCAACAGGAATATGATTAATTGAGGTTATGTTCCTTCAGGAATCCATTCTTTTATCAAAACAGAATCTGAACTTGCAATAATTAACAAGAATCACTATTTACCCTCCATATATTTCTTTCATCTTGGAGATCTCTTCGCTCTACTCCTTATACTTACCATCTTGAAGGATACAAAGTGCATCGATCCAAATATACGAGATTCCCAAGCTCGAGTAACTAGTACGGCATCTTGAATTGTATCCTAGCATCGAAATTGAAATTAGTTAAAGGGATTCCATTCTTCAACTCATTCATAGTATAGTGTCATTAATAATTAAGTTTCATCGAAGACTCTCTCTTCTCCCCAGCGATAATTAGCTTAGCGAAATCCATTTCACTAGGTAATTAATTGGGGACCAGGGAAATCTTCTACCAAAAAGGTATTTTGAGTTTTATCACTGACGTGAATCAGTCGTCTAGCTATAGGCAGTTTGTGAAACTCGGTAATTATGACGAGGCCTGCTGGAGGAAGGAATGATTCTCTACGTATACACAGTTATTTAACCAAACCAACGGGAAGCAATTTGAAATGACCTTTTAGAGGCAGCATCCGTCTCCTTATTTTAAATTGAAAATAATTAAGCGGCGAATTATCCCCTTTATCTGATTTACTCGGAAAAGTTCTTTGAAGTAATTGCTGCTGCTGCTGCTGCTACTGCTACTGCTCAATTTAAGACGAATATAATACCAAAGCAGGTGACGTTGAAAATCATCCATTCGAATGATTCCAATTTATGTATAAGGTTAACCGAAGTATTTAACCTTAGCCATAATTTATAAGAAAATCCCAAGTATGTAGGTAGCCAGAGATTTCCTACAAGTATTATTTTTGATTGTTCGGTTCACCAGTTTATTTGCTTTGAGGGATGTGTATGGATTCTCCTTATTGAGTAACTAGAGGGAATTTGGTGGAATGAGTAGATAGATATTTATATTATTTTGTTTTATTTTTTTTTTTTTAAAAAAAAAAGAAAAATCTGCAAGATCTTTTGGATATTATAATATTTAGATTTTTCCTTCACTTGAGAGCAAACTATGAATTTATTTTCACAGGGAGATTTCCTAGATAGTCGGATAGTTGGAGAGTTGGATAGATGATTAGATGAAGTTTCATCTAGGTAGATGTTGATTTGATAAAGTGACTACTTGACAGGAATGACAGGTATAACGTAACATGACATAACATAACATAGCTACCATGCATGCATGAAAATAAACAGACAAACAGACAGGAAGAAATGCACCGAAATTGCAGATCAGATCAAAATCGAAACCATGACCATGACCATGACCATAAAACTCCCTTGCTCATACAATCATCGACTAGCAAGAACATTTCACCTCTTTTCTGAAAAATTCAACCTCAAACCTCCAACTCAACCTCCGCTCAACCCCGCTCAACCCCATCTCATGGATATAGTTTGTGATAATCGTGACTCGTAAAAGTCATTTGCAACATATGATTCGCATCAATCCAAAATCTTCCAACCCTTCAAAGATATGTCCTCAAAAGAGAATGTCAATTTTTAACGTGAATTATCAGGAATACATCATACAATAAAGAAAAATGTCCAAGTCAACTCAAAAAAGAAGAAAAAATATGAAACTTTTCCGCGTGCCTTTTCCATCTGATATCCACATCAATATCCTTTTTGAACCTTAATTATATGGACGCATCTGTGGATATCCACCTGGAGGCATCATTTGAATAGGCATTCCCATTCCCATTCCCTGCATCTGAGGCATATTAGGCGCAACAGGACTTTGAATCCTATGAAAAAGTCCCACCAATCTTTTCCCAATACTCGTTTCCAACTCAGTACCATCCCTTGCAATCTTGACTTCACGATTTGAGTTCCACGGATTGCGGAGTCCACGCGTACGATAAAATGGTAATCGAGTCGTCGATATCCATTCCAGTTTGAAAGGTTTACCCCAAGCCTTTGAAGATGCATCGCCGTCAACATCACTCTTGCCACTTTGAGATTTATCGTCTTCATCTACATCTTCTGAATCGTCGCGCTCGATTTCCCAGAAAATAGTTCCGCGTGCCGAATCATCAATAATGCGTCCTTTAGGTGCGAATTCAGAAGCTGGTGTTGGGATTGCTTTGGGAAGATCAGGATCCTCGACCGTTTGAGCCTTGGGCGCGAATTCAATGGCGGCAGCTGGATCATTATTGATGGGTGATATCATACGTGCGTATCCGAAATATTCTCCTGATTTATTGGCGGAAAATATTAGGTAGACATTATCTGCTGTCTATCACCATCTGTTAGTATGGATCCGGTTATAGTTCGGCTTAAACATACCTGGTATGCCTTATTCAAAGCTTCTTCATTATGTGTTTGTGTAGCCCAAATCCCGTTGCGCACACTTAATTCTAAGTCCTCTACTGTGAGACTCTTAACCACAAAGTATTTGTCCTTTGAGAGCGGTGAAGACTCTCCATCCGGCATTTGTTGCTTTTCAACAGCCTCTTTTGACGCCTTTTCATTTTCTGAAACCGGTGATGGAATTTGTGATAGCTGTGGAGGTGTTAAAGCTGCTGGGCCTGTAGGAACTGAGACACCTCCGACAGTCCCGAGTGATGCCTTGCGTAATCGGCTAACCAAGCGTACAGTTTGGAATCTCGAATCATGAATCTTAAGTTGCGCTGCGACACATGCAGCCTCGTCCTTGAAATTTGCAAAGGCGCAGTTACTTTTGGAGATCAAGAATAACGACTCAAGACCAACAGTCTCTTTGCAGACATGAAGTACGAGACTCATGAGATCTGTCTGCGGTGGCAAATTACCGATCCACTAAAGCATGACAAGGTCAGTGATCGCAATCAAAAAAAGAAAGTCTTTAGAGTAATCCAGAGAAAGAGACTCTTTCAAAACAGAACTTAAAGGCAAAATATGGAAATATAAATTGTGAAGGTTGTACAGAAAGAAGGAACCAATTATGCTTACGATCGCGTGCCCTAGCGCAAATTGTTAGCTCTGCCAATAATTCAATGAAAGTTAACTTAAAGACCAGTTTGAACATACCACTCTGACGAGGTTTTCGTGGAGGTCCTCTGACGACCGTTGATTGTGTTGGACTAGACGCTATGACTTCTTAGCTTCTACTTTCAATTACCAGTCTGCAAAGCCTAGAGCTTACCAACACTATTTGATCTCCCAGCTTGGCCTGTCACATTAATAAACAAATCATTGCGTTGTTGTGACAAAGGTCGATTGTCTCCAGAAAAGCTACCACGTTGTGGGTATTGTAATCCCATTTGATTTCCTGTATAATTTTGACCTTGCTGCCCAAAAGTGCCAGGTTGTATATAATATTGCGATCCTGCTTGTTGCTGTGGTTGTCCCATATATCCTTGGCTGACGTAAAACTGAGCGTTGTTTGTGGCCATATGCATGTGCTGTTGTTGCATTTGTTGGTTTGGATAAATTCCATATTGTGTCTGGTATGACGGGTTGAACGTTGAAGCGGTGGGTGGAGGGCTCATGATGCCTTGATTTGCGAACTGCGTCTGATACATGAAATGTGGAGGGGCGCCAGGGCTTTGAGGAAACCGCTGGCCATAGTGCTGGTAAGACATATCTGGCAAAGTAGCACCGAGTGTTGTCATATTGAAAGATTCCGGTGTTGCATGCGAGATGGGATGCTGGGAGTATGCCACGCTCGGAGGATAATTTGCAGAAGCACTGGGCAAGTGCGGAGGTCTGTTTGAACCTTTCCTTGCGCTATCCTGTTGGATTTCCGTTTCTAAATTCTGCGCAGGATTTGGCCCTGAAACTTGCGAAGTATCTGGGAATCCGCCATCGTTTGGTTTGGATCCGACGACTGATGAGTCTCCCATGGATTTCTGGATAATTGCTTTACTGAGGATTTTCGATCTGTTCTGAGTCAGTATTGACAGGTAGTCAGAAGGTCCCCACGTGCCAGTCACCACTTAAATGCAGAGCAAATGTGCAAGGTGATGCAGTGGATAAACAAAAGAGTGATTAGAGCTACGCCTCTAGCTTGTGCTGAAGTAAAAGGGTCGACGTAGAAAGT